TGGTGCTTGAGGACAGATTTTGCATTCTTGTATGCAAAGGCTACCAAGTAAGTGCTCGACCTAACGTCATCACACCTTGGAGAGCAGCAGGCTGGATGAGATCCACATGCCGTATGCACCAGTACGACCCGATGGGGATGGCAGACATGATGAACACGTGTTCCCAAAAAACAGCGCCGAGGACTTGGCCGACAGGTTGCAGCTGAAATCCTGAAGGAGCAGGTCCTTCTCAGACTGCTGCTGGGAGCTGCCTTTGGGAGCCATGGCGGAGCTGAAAACAGGAGCCTGGGAGCAGGAAAACCAGGAGGGCGCAGAAAGCCTGCATAGTCATAAGAATAAAGTTAAAAAATAAAATAATGTAGAAAAACATAATAAGCCACGTAAAGATGGAAATTACACAGAAAGTCTGGATTATGTTGTCTGTGGGATTTTTAACTAGAGAGAGAGACATTTGATTGTAAAGGCTGCTGAGTTAAACCAATATATGTATTTTAAAGGTATCTTGATTTTTAAAATTTATGTCTAAGGATATGTTGCTTTAGAAAAAGAGATTTTCCTTCTCTTTCCACAGAAGATGAGAAGCTGTGGATTCCTTCCAGGTTAATATGGTTCCATCAAGGAAGACCCCCTGAGAGGTCTCCAGATGATCCACCATCCAGAACAGCTTCAAGGCAACTGGAAAGATGTGTTGACCTCAGAATGGAAACCAGGATATGTCCTACATTGGGGAAGAGGTTTTGCTTTTGTTTCTGCAGGAGAAGAAAAGCTATGGATACCAACAAATTTAATAAAGATTCACTTTGAATAGGAGAAACCCCTTGATGAGGAGAAGTGATAGCTCATCCACCCATGTGACAACTCTATAAGTTGTAAGAAAAACTCAACAAACAAGGGTTGGGGCAGAGTTCTGTTTTTGTCTTTACAGGATAATAGGAACACCCATCTTCAAGAAGTCATAAGGCCTTGAGCACCCAGATGTCTACAGCAGAAGGGACGAACCTGTTGGTACCAGTGTACTTTACAGGGTAATATCTCACTGCCTAACAGCAATATCTCTTTAACTCTAGAGTAGTTGTGATCCCAATTCAATTATAAATCAAGCTGGCTTTGGAGTTGGAATGTAGCTCTCTCCTCTAAACCCAAACATGTTGCTAAAAGAAATAAGAGAAGAGTCTGTCTCATATTGGAAGAGCCAACTGGTGTGAGACAGAAGAAAACCAATAATCTAGGGACCATTGTTGTCAAGATTCTATTTCTCTCCATGCTTATTCTTGACTTCTGGAATCCTTCCTCATATGTCATGTCATCCTAAGACTCAAAACTCCATTTTGATATTAATAATGTTCAAGTTTTCCATAGTGAAAATAAGTCTTTCCAATAGCAATCTCTGAAGTCTCTAGAAGGAAGATGGGGCCCCACAATGATGACTCTACTCGGTCCAGAAAGATGCCATTGTGCCTAAGAACATTACTCAATGATCAGCTTTGGACTGAAAAGTTCAGAACAGTTCTAAGATGAGATGATCCATCATACTACACTTCTAGACAGAATCTCAGACACTCTTACTCATTACTCTGAGACTGGCTGCAGACTCTACCACTAGCCCTATTGAGACCTAACTATCTAAGCTGTCTTACAGGACCCCACAGAGATACCATCGACCCCTAAACAGCAGGAAGCAATTCTAAAAAAAACGACGCCCCTCTCCCAAAGGTTTCATTTTTCTCAGGTTTATAGATGGATAGTTATAGGGTTGAGGGTGGAACAATAAAATTTAGACTCAGTAGAGAAAAGAAAAAGGGGAATGGATAGGTATAGGATATTAAGGTAGATTATTGTATCTACTAGTAAACTGTTTTTAGCAAACTATCAGCCTTGGATAATTTGCACTGATATGAATTCTTGTGTATTTGATACAAATGTAAATTATTCTTATATTCCTATTTAATGTAATTTGTATATTGATACAAATAAAAAAACTATATATGTTGTATTGTACATATATTTCAACTCCTGTTTGAAATATTTTGTATATTGATACATATTAAGGATATTATTGTCATATTGCATATTGCACTATATATACATTTCTACCTCTGTTTAAGATATTTTGTGTATTGTCACAGTTTTGAGGTCATTGTCTTTCTACAGTACATCTGCTTACAGACTGTTTATCTTGTTAATGTGAAGCCTTAGTCTTTAGGTTATTTAGGTAGAGAAGACTTATAGAATTATAGTCACCCATGGTTTTCATTTCTGTAGTTATGTTAGTTAGATTGTCCAGATTTACAGAAACATATGTCAGATGGATAGGTAATCTTCAAACACTTCATAGACCTAGAGAATATGGCATTTAAATGTTTTGAGAACTTAGAAATTCTGTTGATGTGAGACACGATTGCTCCTGGCAGCACCGATCTGATCCCAAAAGAATGCTGGGCTTCTAGACATTTCCATTTTTTAAGTTTGTCTTCTTCTTGGCACAAAATGGCCTGCTGGACAAAGAACTGCCCTTGCCTTGACTGCTGACAGTATGAACACTGTCCTTTCCGGACAAGCAGGACACAAGGAAAAGCAACTACTGAACTCTGCTAAGACAGGGTAAGGTGGTTTTCAAAATTCCTGCTTCTGAAGATGGTCTGTCAGGTATTCTAGGCCTGTAGTCAAATTGGATGCTCCGACGATACTGAGAAACTTTAGGTGACTGTCCAGGCTGCCAGCTGTCTCTGTCTATTCTCACAAGAATTTCGGAAATTGCTTGCTTGCATTTCCCGTTTTCTCAGGTATTATTATGTTCCTTCTCAGGTCTTTGATGGAGTTGAAGACTAGATAATTACAGTTACAATCTTCTTGTAGCTTAGCTAGCACATATTAGTACTAGAGTTAGAATCTTCAGGATAGGACAGCTATTGGAGTAATCTCGGTAATTTGCCATTTACCTATGTTCTGGACATTTCTGGACATTTAACATGTCTTCCTTGTTTGATGTTATTCTTGTTGGTTGTTTTTTTGTTTTTTTTTATGTTATTACCCTTTGTTTTTCCTGGACAATACTTGATAATCATTCTTATTGTATATAGTTTGCAGTAAGTTTAGAACTTTCTTAGTTAGGCAGAAAGAGGAAATGTAATGGTATTTGCTCCGCCCATGACCTTGGGCTATAGGGCCCGAAAGAGGTGGTGCTTCCTGCCCTTGTACATGACCTCTTAAAAGGTGGATTCACTCCCAGTCAGATCAGAGGATGACTTCAGCTGTCTACTCTGTATTTGTGAGTGTATTTCTTCAATTTACCTTAATAAATTTTCCTAGTACTTCTTAAACAGACTCCCGTGGACTTACCGCTTTACACACACAAGTGCATATGTGTGCAGTCACGCCATCGTGTAACGTGGCGGTCAGAGGACAGCTCGTGGCCATTAATCTTTCCTTCACTGTGGGTCTGTGGGATCTGATGCAGGTCCTCAGGCAGGGAGCCAGGCACCTCCACCACTGAGCCGTCTGCTTGTCCTCATCATTTAACTTTTGAGACAAGATTTCTCTGTGTAACCCTGGCTGTCCTGGAACTCACTCTGTAGACCAGGCTGGCCTCTGCCTCCTGAGTGCTGGGATTAAAGGTGTGTACCACCACTTCCTGGCCAGTCTACTATCATTAGACTTTTAATTACTTTTACTGTTGTTAATTTTTTTTTTTTTTTTTTTGTTTTTTGTTTTTCGAGACAAGGTTTCTCTGTGTAGCTTTGCGCCTTTTCCTGGAACTCACTTGGCAGCCCAGGCTGGCCTTCATCTCACAGAGATCCGCCTGGCTCTGCCTCCCGAGTGCTGGGATTAAAGGCATGTGCCACCACCGCCCGGCATCTGTTGTTAATTTTTAAAGCAGTGTTTCATGTGGCCCAGGATGGCCTTGAACTTGCTCAGTAGCCTAGGCTGGACTTAAATTCCCTGTCCTCCTGCCTCTCCCTACCAAGTGCCCAAATTACAGCTGGCCAGTAACAATCCTGGCCTGAGAACCCGATTTCTTATTGTTGCATTGTGTTTATTTATCAGCTGAGTGCTTTTGTGAGCATGTGCACTGAGGTGTGCTGTTGAGCACACGTGGAAGTCAGAACAACTTGTGGGACTTAGTTCTTGCCTTCCACCATGGAGGTTCTGGATTCAAATTAGGTGGTCAGTCTTGGCAGCAAGCACCTTTAGCCACTGAGCCATAGAATGGGCCCAAGAACCTATGTGTTTTTTAAAGATTTATTTGCATTATTGTTATATTATGTGTTGTGTGTGTGTGTGTGTGTGTGTGTGTGTGTGTGTGTGTGTATGTGTGTGTTGTGTACAGGTGCCTGCAGAGTCCTGAAGAGGGTCATGGATCCCCTGTAGCTAGTGTTGTATTTTAAAAAGGGCAGGAAGGAGTCTCACCATACAACAGGGCCCACATGGGAGGTTTATCGAGGGGAGGGGAGAGATGGAGCAGAAAAGGGAGCAGAGACTGGTCCCTGGGGACAAGAGTGAAGGAAGAGAAAGAGAAAGAGACCGGAGGTAGGCAAGGCCTGCCTTTTACAAGGAAAGGAAACATAGCGAATGCACACAGGGGGTGCTCTTCGTGGCTGCAGCTGAGGTGTATCCTGCCAGGACCCTGAGGGCAGGCCAGCACAGATGCCTGAATGCCAATAGCTAGAGTTATAGGTGGCTGTGATCTGCCCAGCATGGATGCTGGGAATCAAACTCAGGTCCTCTTCTCTTGACTCAGGCCATGTCTCCAGCCCAAGAACCCACTATGTGTTTGCTTCGTTTTGTTTTCCAAGGCAGGGTTTCCCTGTGTAGCCCTGCCTGTCCTGGAACTCATTTGTAGACCAGGCTGGCCTGGAACTCAGCCATCCACCTGCCTCTGCCTCCCGAGACCTGGGATTAAAGGTGTGCGTCACCATCACCTGACAAGAACGTGATTTTTTAATGTCCAGCTGATCCTAACATTTGAGAAGCCCTGTTCTTAACATTCTTTCCTCTTTTAGGGAGGAAAAAGGAAGAAGAGAGATAAAATCTCTTCAGAAACAGTTAATTGATGTCAAAAAGGAATGTCAAATGCAAGTCCAGGTAAGACTTCCCCGTGAGGATGACACCAAAGCTACCGACCTAAACCCACGCCATGGAAGTCACCTTCCACAGAGGAGTTAACTAGGAAAGCCTTTGCTTTGCTGGGGCGCCTATTTAGTTTATTTGATTAATCAATCAATCAATCAATCAATTAATTTTTGATTAATTTTTGGGGACAAGGTTTCTCTGTGTAGCCCTGGCTGTCCTGGAAGTTGCTCTGTAGACCAGACTGGCCTCGAACTCGCAGAGATCCACCTGCCTCTGCCTCCCGAGTGCCGGGACTAAGGGTGGCAGCCACCACCGCCCGGCTCTGCTGTGGTGCCTTTGCAGGGGAGAGGAAGTTGCCGGGTGCACGCCTTTAATCCCAGCACTCAAGAGGCAGAGGCAGGCAAGCCTATCTGAGTTGTAGGCCAGCCAGGGCTCCGTGGTGAGATCCTGGAGGGAGAGACCAGAGATGGGGAAGAGAGAGAAGACAAAGAGAGAGGTGCGGGTGTGTCTGGACTCGAACTTCGGGGCACCGGCCCCTTGGAGCTCCTAGTCTGCGGTTGTCCTTGTGCGGCCCAAGCAGTCATTGGGGGTTTCAGTTTCAGAGGATGAGTCTGTCCATCATGGCAGCGAACGTAACCGCGGGCTCTGGAGCAGTAACTGAGAGCTTATAAGAGGGAGGGAGAGAGAGAGAGAGAGAGAGAGAGCTAACTGGGAATGAATGGCCTGGGCTTTTGAAACCTCAAAGCCACCCGAAGTGACACACTTTCTCCAACAAGGCCACACCTCCTAATCCTTCCCAAACAGTTCTACCAACAGGGAATCAGGTATTCAAATATATGAGCCCATGGGGCCATTCTCACTCAAACCACCATCCCACCTGAACCATCTCCTATGCCCCCATTTATCTATCTATCTATCTATCTATCTATCTATCTATCTATCTATCTATCTATCTATCTATCTATCCATCTATCTATGCAACGGGGACTCACTATGTAATTTTGGCTGACTTGGAACTCACTATATGTAGATCAGGATTGCCTCAGACTCATAGAAATCCACTTACCTCTCACTTCCAAGTGCTGAAATTAAAGACATACGCCACCATGCACGGCCAATTTTAATTTTTAAGTATTTTTCACTTATTTTATGTGTGTAGGTGTTTTGTCTGCATGTATATTTGTGTACCACTTATATGTGCTGGGAATTGAACCTGGGTCCTCTGGAAGAGCAGCCAGTGCTGCTGACTTCTGAGCCGTCTCTCTAGTCCTAAAATGGTTTTTGAAGTGGCCAAAGTATGATATCGCATGCCTGTAACCCCAGTACGCAGGAGAAAGAAGAGTGTGAATTTGAAGTTGGCTCAGGTCAAATAGCAAAACCCGAGAGAGAGAGGGAGAGGGAGAGGGAGAGGGGAGTTGGAAGGGTTGTTAAAAAAGATTGGTAGCAGCCAAGCATAATGGTACTAACCTGTAAACTCTACACTGGGGGAATGGGGGCTGAGGCAGGGGGATTGCAAGTTTGAGGACAACTTAGGCTATAGAGCAAGTATAACCCTGGCAATATAAGCAAGATCCTACTTCAGAAAAGTAAAATAAAGGGGAGCCTGGGAGGTATCTCAATGGGAAAGTACTTGCCTAGCATGTACAAAGCACTGGTTCATTATCTCCTGTGTGTGTGTGTATGCGTGTGTGCATGCATGTGTGCACGTGTGTGTGCCAGTGTACATGCATATGTAATGATGTATGCACATGTGGGTGCTGATGTGTGTGCCACTGTGAGATCACGTGGAAGCCAGAGGAAGATGTTGGGTATGTTGCTCTGTCACTCTCCACCTTATTGCCTTGAGACAGGGTCTCTCACTGACCCAGGCACTCACCATTTCAGCTAGGCTGGCTGCCAGCGCAATCCTGGGATCTCTGTCTTCACAACCTAGTAAAGGTTATAGTGGGGTATAGACACAGTGATAGCTGGCTTTAACACCTATTCATTATTGTTGTTGTTGTTATTATTATTATTATTATTTGTTAGATAGCATGTTACTTTGTAGTCCTGGAACTCACTATGTAGATCAGACTGGTCGGGAACTCTGAGAGATTCACCTGCTTATGACTCTGGAATATTGAGATTAAAGGCATGTGCTACCATGTCCAGAAATGCCTGGCTTTCAAGATGTTTTTAATTACGTTTGTTTGTTTTGTGTATGGGTGAGTGTGTGCATGTGTGTGTATGTGTACAGGTGTGTAGAGGTCAGAGGACAACTTGCAGGAGCTGGTTTTCTCCTTCCTGTAGGCGGACTTTTCTGTCCCACCAGTCAGTTCCCAAATAACCACACAGAGACTTATTATTATAAATGTTTGGTCAATAGCTTTGACTTGTTACTAACTAGCTCCTACAACTTAAATTAAGCCATATTTCTTATCTGCCCTCAGCCATGTGACTTGGTACCTTTTCTCAGCACAGCTGGTTTATCTTGCTTCTCTTCGTGTCTCCTCATGACTCTCGAGACTGCCCTCTTCTTCCCAGCATCCTTAGTCTTGTTCTCCTGCCTAACCTTATCCTGCCTAGCTATAGGCCAGTCAGCTTCTATATTAAACCAGTCACAGTGACATATGTTCACACAGTGTAAAGGAATGGTCCACATATCCCCTTTTTGTCTAATTAAAAAGGAAGATTTTAACTTTAACATAGTAAAATTATATAAAACAAAAACCGTTATCAAGTAAGAATTACAGTTACAATATTCAGTCCATTTATATTTGGCAAATTTAGAGAAAATACTCTATTTATCTTTGTGAGTCTAAAGTTTTATACCTAATTTACCTTTTATTATATAACTAAGGAAAACTTTAACTGTGACTGTCTAGCCTTCAAATTCACCAAAGACCCCAGAAGGGTGAAATGTTACCTAATGACAGGGACCTCTGGCTGCCTGGACAGTCACCCTAGGTTCTTCTGTAATGTTCAGGCATCCAACTTTGCCCTACAGGCCTACTATATCTGACAGACATTTTTGAGATACAGGGAATTTTGAAGGACTGTCCTACCTTGTCTTGGCAAAGTTTGGCAGTCACTTTTTTTTTTCTTTGTCCTGCTAGCCTAGTTTGGACAGTATACTTTTGCCACAAAGAAAGCCAATTCCATCTGAAGTAGATTGGTACTGCCAGGAGCAGACATGTCTCATTGTCATGAAAAGCCTTAGGTTATTAAACATATTAAATGTCATATTCTGTAGGTCTCTGAAGTATTTGAAGACTATTTATCTATCTAAAATATCTGTGTATATCAGAACAGTCAGGACTGTTATAGAGAGAAACCTTGCCTCAGAAAATAAAATGTGTGTGTGTGTGTGTGTGTGTGTGTGTGACCTTGAAGACATACCTAACATGATTATAAGTTTGGCTATTATAGATGACTAACTACTTACCTGTATTTTTTAATTATACATGACATTTTTTAATGAGTTGCATAAGCACAATATCCCAAATAAGAGTAGAAACATAATATCTATAACAAAAATAACTTTAAATTTGTATCAATAAACCAAAATCTATACCAAAGTAAAACATTTTGAGATTAATAGTTGTTTTTTGGATTAAAGTAGATTCAATAATCTACCCTTTTATCTCATCATTTCTATATCATATTTCCCTTTTTTCCTTTAGAAAGAGATCTTTGAATTTTACTCTTTTGTTTAGCTTTTTTCCTGTGACCAATAACAACTTATAACCAACCCCCCTAAACAATGACAAACACCCATAATCCATTGAATAACCCAAACCCATCCATACCTCATCTCTTGGGAATGTGGACATCATTCTCTAGACTACTTCCTGTTGTTTGTGGGCACTGGTATCTTTGGGGAAAGCTTGAGAAAATCAGGATAATTGTTACGTCTTGGCTGGAGTATTTGTGAAGCTCGACCATTGCAGCCTTGAAGCTGCTCTGGTTGTAGAACTCTGAGGAAACTGCAGCAGAGGCATTCTGAGAGGCTGGGTCACCTGGGCCATTTGTCTTTATTGGTGTCTGGTCCCCTTGTTTTGAAATTACATAAACTTTTAAAGGTATAGACATATCTGTATAGACTGTGTTGTACATAAGTCAGCCAAAGATGATTTTTTTTTTGTTTTATGTTTGAGCAGGTGAAATATACATTACATGTTTTGTAGTTTTTTTAGGTTTATTTCTTTATGTCTGTAGACAGGATTTTCAGGGGGTCTTCTGCGATCAAACCTGATCCATATCAACCTGGAATGAATCCATAGCCTTTCATTTTCTGAGGAAACAAAAGCATAACCTCTTCCCCAAAGCAACATATCATTTGACTTCCATTTTGAAGTTAAGACATTTTAAAAATACATAGGTTGGTTTCATCCAGCAGCCTTCACAATCCAAGTTGTCTTAGCAGCTGTCACTCATTCATCAACAATCAAAAAACTCAGACAGCACAATAACATACAGAATCCAGACTCTGTGTATTTCCCATCTTTACGTGGCTCATTACATATTTTTTTTTACTTTATTCCTTTTTTAAGGACTTTATTATTTTTAAACGTTTTAAATCTATGACTGTATGTATCCTTTTTCTTTACTCTCCTAAGCCTATGTATATTTTTAAACACACTGTAACCCATTTAGAAGATTTTTTTCCATATGGATCTGTCTTTACTGTATTAGTTTTTTGATCGCATGAGATGAATCTTAAATTGTTATGTCAGCTGCCGGCACTGCCCAGCTTAGTGAGTTGTGCTAGTGCATGGTGGTTGGCCGCTGGCTCCATCCACAGGCACGAGAGACATGAGACTAGGAAGTTGTGTTTTGTTCTCTTTCTGTGTGTTTAGAACCTTTTTTAAAAGCTTTCTCAGTTCTTATGTGGTTGTAGGTGCCCCATGTTAGAACACCATTTGTAGTCAAGAGTTTTTCATCGGGACTGCCAGCTAACCACTGCCAAATAACCACCCAGAGACTTATTATTATAAATGTTTGGTCAATAGCTTTGACTTGTTACTAACTAGCTCCTACAACTTAAATTAAGCCATATTTCTTATCTACCCTCAGCCATGTGGCTTGGTACCTTTTCTCAGTACAGCAGGTTTATCTTGCTTCTCTTCATGTGTCCTTGGGACTCCCGAGACTACCCTCTTCTTCCCAGCATCCTCTTAATCTGGTTCTCCTGCCTAGCTATAGGCCAGTCAGCTTCTATATTAAACCAGTCACAGTGACATATGTTCACACAGTAACAGAATTTTCCACACCTTCCACCACTGTGAGTACTGGGGATTGAATTCAGGCCAGCAGGCTTGGCAGCAAGTGCCTTTACCCACCGTCGGTGGGGATGTGCACTCAAGTCCTCGTGCTTGCATAACAAGACTCTTACCCACTGAACTTTCTCCCCAGCTTCCAAGACGTAATCTTCAAGTCTCCTTAACCAGCTGCTGAACCTCTAGTTGTTGTTCTGCCTTCTGGAGGGTTTTTAAAATGATTCTTTAAAATTATGTGTGTGCATGTATGTATGTATGTATGTATGTATGTATGTATGTATGTCTGAGTGCCTGTATAGTATTTGCCTGTGCATGCATATGCATGTGTGTCTGGGTGTGTGCATGCAAGTGTGCTGCTGCAGCTGTATGTGTGTGCTGCTTAAGGAGTCCACAAGATGGGCATCGAATCCCTGGAGCTAGAGTTACAGGTGGTTGAGAGCTGCCCAGCATGGGTGCTGGGAACCAAAGTCAGGTCCCCTGGAAGAACAGTCAGTGCTCTTAACCAGGTCACCACCTCTCCAGCCCTGACTTCTGGACAGTTTGATAAAACCAACCAGAACCTGGACATATCTTACACTGTGCTCAACTCGAGTTACAAATTTTCTTTCAAATTTCTAGAACATATCCAGGTCTTAGTTGACCGGAGACTCTAGCATGAACTTCACCTTTTCTTTTTTTTTTTTTTTTTTTTTTGGTTTTTCGAGACAGGGTTTCTCTGTGTAGCTTTGCGCCTGTCCTGGAACTCACTTGGTAGCCCAGGCTGGCCTCGAACTCACAGAGATCCGCCTGGCTCTGCCTCCCGAGTGCTGGGATTAAAGGCGTGCACCGCCGCCGCCCGGCCCACCTTTTCTTTTTATTGAAAACTTTCTTGGCCTCATTTTTCATGAATTGGCTTCTTCATCTTTCAAGTGTCAGATAAGGAAGTCCCCTCAGAGGATCCTTCTTCGACATTGTGCTAATGGAGGTCACCCTTACTGTGTCTCCCAGGGCCGATTGCCTTCTCTCCCACACCATCCCACACCATTAGATAAGTGCACACACACCATCCCACACCATTAGTGAAGTGCACACACATCATCCCACACCATTAGATAAGTGCACACACACACCATCTCACACCACTAGTGAAGTGCACACACACCATCCCACACCATTAGTGAAGTGCACACACACACCATCCCACTCCATTAGTGAAGTGCACACACACACCATCCCACTCCATTAGCGAAGTGCACACACACACCATCCCACTCCATTAGTGAAGTGCACACACACCATCCCACTCCATTAGTGAAGTGCACACACACCATCCCACACCATTAGATAAGTGCACACACACCATCCCACTCCATTAGTGAAGTGCACACACACCATCCCACACCATTAGTGAAGTGCACACACACCATCCCACACCATTAGATTAGTGCACACACACCATCCCACTCCATTAGTGAAGTGCACACACACTCTTTCCTCTCCCAACACCTTTCCACTAGACTGTAGTCCCTATTGGACGTGGGCTGACTAGGTCTCCACTGTTCTCTACGGCCTAGCTCAGTGTCTGCTACTGAAGAATTTTCTTTTCTTTTTTTTTTTTTTTTTGGTTTTTCGAGACAGGGTTTCTCTGTGTAGCTTTGCGCCTTTCCTGGTACTCGCTTTGGAGACCAAGCTGGCCTCGAACTCACAGAGATCCGCCTGCCTCTGCCTCCCGAGTGCTGGGATTAAAGGCGTGCGCCACCACCGCCCGGCGAATTTTCTTTTTTAATCAGTGAATTTTGAGACCTTAAAATTGTGAAGCATGCTGGGCGGTGGTGGCGTACGCCTTTAATCCCAGCACTCGGGAGGCCAGCCTGGTCTACAGAGTGAGATCCAGGCCAGCCAGGGCTACACAGAGAAACTGTGTCTTGAAAACCTAACAAACTAACACAAGATGATGATGGTTAATCGGAAGCAAATCCACTCCCACGTACTACGCCTGGGCGGGGCCGGAAACACATGCCAAGAACAAAGCCATGTTAGAGAGGAACAGAGGGTACAAGACTGTGGAGTTTGTTCATGAGCCCTCAGAAATCTCTCCACACAGCTTCGTTCATAGACTGTGTTCCGACACTGGGGAGACCCGCTCAGTCTGGATTTGCTAGCTTTCATTTTCTCTCTTTTCTTTCTTCTTCTCTCACATTTATTTATTATGGTGTGTGGGGGGCACATGTATGGAGTCAAAGGACAACTTAAGGAAGTTCTCTCCCTCTACGATGTGTGTCCCAGGGATCCAACTCAGATCCTCAGACTTGTGACAAGTGGTCCGCTGAGCCTTCTGGCCAGCCCCTCTGCCCTTTATTAAGACGGGATCTTCTGTAGTCCAGGCTGCCATTGAGCAGCCAAAGGTGTAGCTAAGGATGTCCTTGAACTCCTGATCCTCCTGCCTTCATTTCCCAGGGGCTGGGATTATAGGCGTGTACACCTGCATCCAGCTTCATTTTCTGTTCTTCTTTTGAGGTAGGGTCTCAATGTGTAGCTCTGGCTGGTCTGGAACTCGCCATGTAAGCAGGCTGGCTTCAAACACACAAACACCCACCTACCTGTGGCCCCAGAGTGCTGGGATTAATGTCTACCATGCCCAGCATTGTTTTTCTTTTTAATGAGACAAGTTCTCACTCTGTGGTCCTGGTTGGCCTGGAATCTGTGATAAGCCTTATGCTCTGCCTCCTGGCGCTGAGACTAATTTTCTTTCATATCCTGACTGAGAACATTTCCCTTAGTGTGCTGGGAGGAAGCCAGCTCCACTTCCCTGTTGACTTGTAAGCACAATGGATTTTTAGTTCGAAACCCGTCTCATCTCTGCAGAATGGGAACAAATACATTTCTCACCTCAAGGACCAGTTACAAGAGATGAAGGCCAAAACCAACTTGGAGAATCTTTATATGAAAAGAAATACTGAGCTGCAGATTTCCCAGACCCAGAAGAAATGTAACAGAGCAGAGGAACTCTTACTGGAGGAGATTGAGGTAACCTGTGCTACACTAGACTATCTGGGAATGGAGCTCAGAGACAGCATGTGCCAGATTCTGAGTCCATGATCCAGTATCAACAAACAACAAAATAAAACAAAAATCCAGGTCGATAACTTGATGATGTCATGTGGGATGTCACTTTAAAAAAAATGATTTATTTGGGGCTGGAGAAATGGATCAGCTGTTCAGAATACATGTATTTCAGCCGGGCGGTGGTGGTGCAGGCCTTTAATCCCAGCACTTGGGAGGCAGAGCCAGGCGGATCTCTGTGAGTTCGAGGCCAGCCTGGGCTACAGAGTGAATTCCAGGAAAGGCGCAAAGCTACACAGAGAAACCCTGTCTCAAAAAACCAAAAAAAAAAAAAAAAAAAAAAAAAAAAAAGAACAAAAGAATACACGCATTTCTTAGTCAGGCAGTGGCACACGCCTTCGATCCCAGTACTTGAGAGGCAGAGGTAGGCAGTACTCTATGAGTTCAAGGCCAGCCTGGTCTATAGAGTGAGTTCCAGGACCTCTAGGACTATACAGAGACACCCTGTCCAGAAAAACAAACGAAGAGTACATGCATTTCTTCCAGAGGACCTGTGTTCTGTTCCCAGCACTCATGCTGGGAGGTTTACAATCTCCTGTAACTCCAGCTCCATGTTTTAAAATTATGTATAGGTGTGTGCATGTGGGTTCCCAGGAAGGCTAGAGGCCCTGGGCCCCATGGAACTGGAGTTACAGGTGGTTTCGAGCCCCCCAGCCTGGGTGGTGGGAACCGGACTTAGGCCCTCTAGCAAGAGCAGTATGCGCTCTTGACTGCTGAGTACTCTCCTGCCTCAGCGAGCTGTCGTTCCTGATACACTGTCAGCCAATGCAAGAGGAGGAAGAGGAAGATAAAGGGTATCCTTCATGCCCAGCACAGCCCTTGAGGTCAAACATAAAAGACTAACTGGGCTCTTAAGTATTTGTGACTAGAGATTTGAATGGCTGTACCTCATGCTTCTTCCTATGACTTGGAGAGGCTGCCGGGAAAGCTCTCCTCCCAGGTGGTGCTCTTGAACCCCCAAAACCTGCTGGTTTTGTTCGGTTCTGTTGTCGTCTTCTTCTTCCTCCTCCTCCTCCTCCTCTTCGGCATTGGCTTGTGTAGTTCAGGGCAGCCTCAGACTCACTGTGCATTGCAGGACTGGTCTTGAACTGACCTGCCTGCCTCAGCCTCCAGAGAGCCGGGATCCGGGGGTGGGCCGTCTTGAATTCTGTAACATCCTTCCCTGGGCCGAGAATCTTGTACCCTTGAAGCGTTGTTTTTCAGATGACAGGACTGCGATGGCCTTTTCTGGGGCCCTTGCGTGTGTCTGAGGAGGTGCCAGCCCATGGCTCTGCAGTGTTTGTGGAGTACAAATGGATAGCTCTGTAGGGAAGCCTGGGCGTGCCTGGGGTCCCTGCTGCGCCTGCCACCGGGGACTGCTGGTCTCAGCCTTGCTGAGTAGAGAGCCTGTGTTTGGTGCTTTACAGAAGCTGAGGATGAGAATTGAAGAAGAGAACCGAGTTCACATGGACATTGAAATGTTCCTTAAAAAAGAGCAGCAGGTGAGTCACCTGGACACGGATAACGCAATTAGCATCAAATTAGAGATGCCCTAGAGGTTAAGAGCACTGGCTGCTCTTGCAGAGGACCTGGGTTCAGTTCCCAGCACCTGCATGGCAGCTCACAATTGTGACTCCAGGCTTTAATCCCAGCACTTGGGAGGCAGAGGCAAGTGTATCTCTGAGTTCAAAGCCAGCTTGATCTACAAAGGGAGTTCCAGGATAGCTAGGGCTGTTACACAGAGGAAACCCTGTCTTGAACCCCCCCAAATAAACAAACAAACACCCCAAACTCTCCCTGGTCTACATAGCAAGTTCCAGGGTAGAAAGGGCTCAAATAGTGAGACCCTGTTTCAAATCAAAGAAATTCCCCTCATAAAATTCTGAGGAAAGCAATGCTTTTGTATTTAAGGACACAGTGTCTCACTATGTAGTCTGGCTGGCCTAGAACTCATTATGTAGACCAGGATTCGGTACCTCTGCCTCCCAAGTGCTGGCACTAAAGGTGTGCGCCACCATGCTCAGCTCAAAATGAATTTAGTAAAGGAAAGAAAAACCAACCCTAAGACTAATGAATGGGGAAGAAAAAAAAAACAACTAATGAATAGGTTCTGGGGGTGGAGGGGGGGGCAGGGGTGATGGCACATGCCCAGCACTCAGGAGGCAGAGGCAGGTGGATCTCTGTGAGTTCGAGGCCAGCCTGGTCTACAGAGTGAGTTCCAGGACATCCAGAGCTGCACAGAGAAACCCTGTCTCGAAACAACAACAACAAAAAACAAACAGCAGTAACAAAAAGACTAATGAAAGACTACATACAGCATCTGAATACAGCACACAACTGTAATGTAAGGGCAGATACGGTTTTCTTCACCCTTCTAAATTTCACTTGTGTAAGACACAGTTTGCTTGTTCTTTCATTGCTTCATAGTTATAATTTGAAAATAAGATATTTTGATTTTTTTCTTCTTGTGGTGCTTTGGGTTGAACCCAAGGCACCAAGGACGCCAGGCAAGCACTCTGCTGCTGAGCTGTATCGTACCCAGCCCTCTATGTGCTGAGGGTTTGTTTTTTTGGGTTTTTTTTTTTTTGAGACAGGGTTTCTCTGTGTAGCCCTGGCTGTCCTGGAACTCACTCTGTAGACCAGGCTGGCTTTGAACTCACAGAGATCCGCCTGCCTCTGCCTCCCGAGTGCTGGGCTTAAAGGCATGTGCCACCACTGCCCGGCTTGATTTTTTTTAAATTATAAAAATAACATGCTCAGTTGAGGGAAGCTTTTAAAATTATCAATTGCTTTTTCATTTTGTTCATGTTCTTACAATCTCTTTGCAAAATAATTTAAAATCATTATAAACTGTCCATTGAGTGGACACATGTCTGCTCCGACCACTACTGATCATCACTGCAGGGTATTTACTAAGTCAGTCTCAGGGATAGAAAAGCACTTTGGAGGGACTGGGACTGGACTTTTGTGATTCTGGATAAATGAGACAGACACCTTTCCCCATCGTGTGCCGTGAATGTAGCCCAGGCACTGTATAATCTGTTCTGCCGTTGGCGATGGATGCAGTCATTTCAAGCCATCTCTCTCTTCAGTATTGATTGATTGATTGATTGTGTGTGTGTGTGTGTGTGTGTGCATGCGTGAATGCAAGTGTGACCCATTATTCTCAGACACAGGAGAGCAGGGTATTTCCACTGGTAAGAGAGCCTCAAAAAGAGGAGGTTCGATTTTACCCAAGACCAATCATGCAAAAATCCAGATTCAGTTGTCCAGTTCTCAGTAATGGCCTAACTAGCATACGAGAACTTGGTACAGATGTCCGTCTATGTGGAATCCTGTTCAAAACACCATTAAAGCCCCAAATAAAAGAAGCCATGCCCCATAGCCAGGTGTGGTAGGGTAGCACATGCATTTCATCCCAAGCACTCAAGAGACAGAGGCAGGCAGACCTCTATGGGTTCTAGGCCAGCCTGGGCTACACAGTGAGACCCCGTCTCTGATGATGATGATGATGACAATAATGCCCCAAGCCAGGCACAGTTGCTTACATTTGTAATCTTAGCATTCGGGAGGTAGAGACAGAAGGATCAGGAGTTTGAAGCTAACCTGGGCTACATGAGATCGTGTCTTACAAAAAAAAAAAAAAAAAGATCCAAAAGGAAAGAAATGAGTAAGGGACAAAGGAAGGGAGGGGTAAGAGGAGATGTGGAAGGAAAGGAGGTGAGCTGGACCCATTATCTTTAGTGCTAATCAGCACCACACTGTTTAACTACAGAGTTAGTGCTAAGACAGAAACATGTACAAATGATATAAGGGAAGATGTAACAGTGTTTCCAGCCAATAAAATCATCTATCTAGAAAACCCAAATAGACTGACTGAAAAACCATAGATCTAACGTTATAGGAGTGTGCACATGGCTGGCTTAGATGTTCTGTTCTCTCCTCCTCTCTCCCTCAACCCTTCCTCTCTCTCCTTCCTCTTCCTTCTTCAATCAGATGAATAGTGTATACGATGGACTATTGTCATTGAGATTTTTTCTCTTTTAATATGTTAAAGTAAAACACTATGGATTTGCTGTTGCATCCTTTAAATTCTAGGAATTCACCACACCCGGTCATAATGCAGATGGTAAGCAGAGGCTGTGGTTGTTAGTTAAATGTGTTGGTGCCCCTGGGTGTCACAGCACTAGCAGTGTGCCCAGGAGCCTCCAGACCTCTGTCATGTCCTCCAGTGCCCTCTACTGACAAAGCTTAGTATTTTGCTAAGTGGCCAAACATTTCCAGTGAGGCCAGGCCCTGCAGAAAGTACTGGGAGCTGAGAGCTGGAGGCTGATGGCTGACACAAATGGGGCGGAGTACTCTGTAGATCACGGGTGTGCAAATTTTATTACGTTAAGGAGTTTCTTGTCAACGTTGTTTTGTTTTTTGTTTTTTAAACCAGTAACTACACATTTGTTTTTAAATTTTAAATTTTTAATTGTTTGAGACTGGATCTCATTACATAGCCCTGGCTGGCCTGGAATTCACTGTGAAGACCAAGCTGGCCTCAAACTCAAAGAATTCAGAGTTGTCTTGTGAGTGCTGGGATTGAAGGTGTGTGTCACCACGCCTGGCTGAGATGCATTTTTTCATCCATCCAAATCATCATTTATGTATTTTTTCTCCTTTAATACGTTCATAAAGTAAAATACACTTGTGTATCTTAAGTATATTTATTTATGTGTATGTGTATGTGTATCTGCCACATTGAAGCCAGAGAACGGTGTTAGATCCCCCGGAGCACTCAGGAGGTGACAGGTGGTTGTGAAGTGCTCAAGCTTAGCCCCTCCACAAGACCAGGACAGGCTCCTAATCAAAAAACTAGTAAAGCCATAACCGGACCTGAAGTTCCTCAGGAGGCAGTCAAGTCTAATGGGAGGTGCACAGGCTCTGAAGGCAGATTCCAAGGTTCAGATTCCAGCCTCACACTCATATTTCCTTGAATTCTTTAGACCTCTAGCTCTCTCAGCTAGTGGATGTAAAGCGGAAAGACAACAATCTTTGTACAGCACAATGCAGCACAATAATAGATTTTGTATGCCAGTGTATTTGACATTTGCAAAAAATTGATTTCAACATAGGATATTGGGAAGGGGGGTAGGTAAATACAAATTTTTACTTTAATAAAAGCAACAGAACATAGACAATGATTAATTCTAGACTTAAGAAAGCAAAACCTAAGCATGTATAAGAAATTTAAAGGTAGCTACAGAGTTGAAGAGATGGCACAAGGAGGAAGTTTATCCTGCTCTGCCGGAGGACCTGAGTTCAGTTCCCAGCATCGGCTTTCATTTTCCCTTGCAAAAGTGCATCTTCAAGTAACTTTCCAAGACTGACTCTCATCTTTCTGTCATATTGGAAAATTAGGTTGGCTAGGCATCTTATCCTAGATTCATATCTGTTTTCATTGAGAATTTTCAGTACTCCCCTCTCCCCAGATAGTGTCTCATGTATTCCAGGCTGGACTAGCTTGCTATGTAGCTAAGGATGGCCAATCCTCCTGCCTCTACTTTGGTTATAGATGTGGGCAATCATGTCTAGTTTTATGTGGTGCTGGCGGTCAAACCCAGGGCTTTGTGCTAGACCAGCACCCCAACTGAGCATACCCCCAGCCCACATTTCAGTCTTAAAAAAAGAGCTGATGTCATTGCTTACCTTTCAGAATTTCTACCTGCTCCTCTGCCACCTCCCCCATGACACTGGAGCCCCTCCCTACGACACTGGAGCCCCTCCCCCACGACACTGGAGCCCCTCCCCCACGTCACTGGAGCCCCTCCCCCACGTCACTGGAGCCCCTCCCCACGTCACTGGAGCCCCTCCCCCACACCACTGGAGCCCCTCCCCACGTCACTGGAACCCCTCCCCCAGTGTTTTTATCTTGGCCTATGAATGTTGATTCATTTTTGAAGAGTTCAAGCGTTTGTTTCGAAGTGCTGGGTGTCAAACCGAAGGCCGCATGTCAAAGCAAGAGCGACCTACCCAGAGCTGAACCCAGCCCCTCCTCCTGATTTTCTCGTCACTTTATGTATCTTTTTCATCTTATTAGTAGACAATTTCATAAAATGTATTTTGATGACATTTACTCCTTCAACTCCTCCCGGATCCAACCCCACTTCCCTACCCACCTCAAACTGTCCTTTAAAAAAACCCTCAGACACAATTTGTACTGCCCAGGTGCTCTTGGTTGTGTGGCATTCCAGTGGTGTGTGGTGACTTCTGGGGGCCACCCCCTCCAAGAGGACAGGCTCTTCCTCCCCATCAGCTGTCAGTTGCCATCGGCGTCCCAGCTAGGGTGGGACTTCTTGCCCACCTCCACCCTCTGAGATTTTGCCTGGCTTGAGTTCCACACATCTTGTGCATGTGTCCCATGCTGTTAGCTCACAGGCGCCCTCCTCCTATTTTAAAAGCTGAGCGGCTCACACAGGAAAGTACACACATGTGGAGTGTATAGTGTGTGTGGCCACCAACCAGATTAAAAGCACCCCTGCCTCATGCCCTCACCACGTCTGTTCTGACTGGATCTCTGTAGCAAAACGTGCGTGTTCTTGCTGTAACCGGCATCACACAGTCCTGTTATTTTATGTCTGGTGGGAGCCATGTTTTAATGTTCTTTCCAAATAGAAACTTGAGGAGAAGCTAGAGTTCTGGATGGAGAAATTTGATAAAGATACAGAAGCAAAACAGAATGAGTTAAATGCTCTCAAGGCTGCCAAGGCCACCAACCTATCACACCTTCAGGACCTTGCGAAGACGGTAAGGGGTGGTAGTGGACCCCCGGGGAATGAGTGGAAGCCAGCGAGGGGCTGGGGAAAAACGTTCTGGCCAAAAGTAGAGGTGTGTCTGTAAACCAGTGGGACTCTGATGACGACAATGACAGGATGGATGTCTTTTGAGCCGTCCACTTGCTGTGTGGAGCGGGCTGGCCTTGGCCTTGCAGCAGTCTTCCTGCCGCGTCCCCGGTGGAGCAGGCTGGCCTTGGCCTTGCAGTAGCAGGCTCTTCCTGCCGCGTCCCCGGTGGAGCAGGCTGGCCTTGGCCTTGCAGCAGTCTTCCTGCCGCGTCCCCGGTGTTCCGGGATCACTGGTGTGCGGGGCTGGTTGCGCTGTGACGACTGTGCTCCGTGTACTTGTGCAGATCCGGGAGTATGAGCAGGTCATCATTGAGGACCGGATGGAAAAGGAGAAGACCAGGAAGAAGATGGAGCAGGATGACCTGGAGCTGAAGAGCATCGTGAAGGTAGGGCGCTCGGGTGAAGGTAGGGCGGGCGGGCGGGCGGGCAGGCGGGCAGGGTGGGCATGGGGGGTAGCCTGCAGGCGCTCTGCAGCGCACGGTGGGTGCAGGCAGGCAGGTGACAAAGGAAAGGGCAAACCCGGCTCTGGCCTGGGCAGAGGAGGTGAGCAGTGGAAGCAAAGCCTCTTTCCCAGCCATGACATCTGAGGAGGGGACTACGGTCTAGGCAGGATGCTCCCGGATGCCCTGCCCCCCTCCACATCCGGTTGTAAGTCGCCGTCTGCTGCTGTCCAATACAAGTTGCTTAAAAAAACAAAACAACCCGAAAGGTGGAAGGGACATGCAAATTAGAAAAAACATACTTAAAACTGCTTTTAGCTTACTATTTTTATTTATTGAGACAGCGTCTTTCTCCATAGCCCTGACTGACTGGGACTCACTATGTATGTAGCCTACAATGCTCCTTTTACCTCAGCCTCCTGAGTCTTGGGGATTATAGACGTGGGCAATCAAGGCCTGGCTGAGATAGTAGAATATCTCGTAAACATTTTATGTGAACTTGCAAATATTAATAATGACATGATCGAGTCCAGATTCTGGAAAATATTGTTAAGATTCATTTTTACTTTAACTATGTAAATGTCTGTGTGTCTGTATGTGGGTATGTGCACTCAGGTGCATCTGAGGCTCAGAGAGGCATCAGATCCCTTGGAGCTGGAGTTACAGATGGCTGTGAACTTCCAGATCTTGTGGATATTGGGAAACTAACTCAAGCTATCTGCAAGAGCTTATGTGCTCTTAACTGCTGGATCATCTCTCCAGTCCCTGGAAAAATGCTTAAAGCAAAAATGGTAAAGATAGCAGTTGGTTTGCAAAACGCTGCCTGGAAGAGCATCCTTCAGGGGCCTGCGGGGAATGAGTTTGCGATGTAGAGCTGCCTGGAAGAGCATCCTTCAGGGCCCTGCGGGGAATGAGTTTGTGATGTAGAGCTGCCTGGAAGAGCATCCTTCAGGGCCCTGCGGGGAATGAGTTTGCCATGTAGAGCTGCCTGGAAGAGCATCCTTCAGGGGCCTGCGGGGAATGAGTTTGTGATGTAGAGCTGCCTGGAGGAGCATCCTTCAGGGGCCTGCGGGGAATGAGTTTGCCATGTAGAGCTGCCTGGAAGAGCATCCTTCAGGGCCCTGCGGGGAATGAGTTTGTGATGTAGAGCTGCCTGGAAGAGCATCCTTCAGGGCCCTGCGGGGAATGAGTTTGCCATGTAGAGCTGCCTGGAAGAGCATCCTTCAGGGGCCTGCGGGGAATGAGTTTGTGATGTAGAGCTGCCTGGAGGAGCATCCTTCAGGGGCCTGCGGGGAATGAGTTTGCCATGTAGAGCTGCCTGGAAGAGCATCCTTCAGGGGCCTGTGGGGAATGAGTTTGCCATGTAGAGCTGCCTGGAAGAGCATCCTTCAGGGGCCTGTGGGGAATGAGTTTGCCATGTAGAGCTGCCTGGAAGAGCATCCTTCAGGGGCCTGTGGGGAATGAGTTTGAGATGTAGAGGAGGAAGCAAGTTCTGCCGGTGTCGTTCAGGCTGTCTGTGAACTCCACTGATTGTGTGCTGGAAATACAGGTGTACGCCACCATACAAGGCTGTATTCTGTTCCGTTTTGTGGTACTGGGTTTTGAGCCCAGGGCCTCTAAGCATCTCACCACTGAGCCACAACCACAAGTCCAAAATGAGAACTTTAGAGTACTTCCCGGACCAGGTATCCAAACTCATCATTGATCTTCCTATTAGGAACATTTAGTGTATAATTAGCAAATGTTGGTCCAGCTTGTTATGTTTTCCGTCTGTCAAGATTCCATTCAGAGTGAAGAACTGAGCAGACTGCTTTTGTTCTCACTAGTGGATTCACATGCTCTCAGTAGGCAAGGCGAGGCTGATTTGATAACTTTGATTGTTCAGAACAGTTGCATCACACTCACAGACATTCCCTAAAGATGTGATACACCATGAACCACTGAGACGTCTCAGCTTGGCCCTCAGTGCAAGCAGCAGACATTCATTCCCTTTACAGCCAATGGCTGTGAGGTGTGAGGTGTTCACCAAAGGAGCAAGCCCTGAAGTGTTGGGGCTCTAAGTCTGATGGAAAACGGGGCCCAGCACACTGCATGTTCACTCTCGGCCAGCAACAACAGGGTAGCCATACTGACAGCAGCCCGGCCACTTGCCATGTCTCAGTGATGTTCCTTAAACACTAACGACCGTGGGTTCTCTCTTGTGTAGCAAGAGCACAGTGCTGTTGGGCACATTGAGATGAACTGCCTCCCTTCTGTCTTCCAGCTCCAGGCCTGGTGGCGAGGTACAGTGGTCCGGAAGGAAATTGGAGGTTTCAAAATGCCCAAGAAAGGGAAAGATGACGGCAAAGATTCCAAAGGCAAGGAGAAGGATAAACGGAGAGGCAAGAAGTGAGGAGTGACAAGTACCTGTTGTTCTTTCGTCTGGTCTCAAGAGACACCCGTGATGAAGATCTTCACCCAGGACGCCTAGGGAGGTCCCCAGGCCTGTTACCCTAGTTTTCAAACCCCGAATGGGGGCTATCCCATGGCTGTAGGGCCTCTTCAGACTGTGGATTGGGGGAAGACATGTTGAATAGTTTTGTGAACATTCTCATCAGAAAACAGTTCATCAGCTTATAGTGATGGACTAAAAACTTCTGTAATATTTGAGTCTGATTTAATGCCATATGATTAAAGTGAAAAACTGTTATAAACAAAAGTGAGAATTCAGTGAGAATATAAGGTTATCACTTAGCATATGTATGCACATGGTAGTTAATAAACTTTGGTTCTCGACTGTCTCACAGGGCTACTATCAGTCTAGGGTTGGTGGTATCGGGGGATGGCATCTAATACACCTCTTACATAAGCTGCTCCGGCAACTTTTCTGGGGATAAAGATGGAAGTGGCCAATGTGAGAGAGATGGAGTGGGGATACACAGTCCTCTAGTGGTAAAGATGGGACACGGGTCCCAGAAGGTTAGTTCCAAGAGATTTTGGCCAAGTGAGACACAACTATGCCCATCATCTGGGCTATTCCGACTTAAAGAAACAAGATAGGTGAAACTGGCCTGTGCGGCATACGGCCAAGTTGGGCTGCGGCTTTCCCTTAAACCGGCAGTCTACTTCCTGGCTCATTCCTGCTGTGACCAGCCAATAGCGAACATCTTGGACCGCTAGAGCTTTCAGTTCGGCGCCGCTGGCTCGTGTATCTCCACTCCGCCCCCCTTCCTCCTGCGCATGTGTGCATGATGTGTGCTGATGTACGTACGTGCAGAGTTCAGAGGACGGCTCCGTGGACTCGGTTCTCTCCACCTTTCTGTGGGTACTCGGGCTCAAATTCAGGTCGCCAGGCTCATCTTGGAACTCGCTGTGTAGACCAGGCTGGCCTTGAATTCAGAGATCTGCTTGTCTCTGCCACCCTGTGTACTGGGATTAAAGGCATGCACCACCATGCCTAGCTTGCTTCTTTAAATTTAAAAAAGTATTTAGTGTGTGCATGCAAACATGTATGCATGTGCATGCTACAACTCATGTGTGGGGGTCACAGGGGGACAGCTTTCAACAACTGTCTCCTCCTATGTCTCCTTTGGGTCCCTAAGATTAAAGTCAAGTCACTGGGCTTGGCAGCCAGTCCCTTTACCTGATAAGCCATTTCATTAGCCCTCAACTGGTTATTTCTGAGAGGAAAGTTACCTTAATGTGTCTTATGTCTTAATTCACGAATTAAACCCATTTAACTTTTTGAGACTTCATGCAGCTCAAGTTGGTTTCAAACTCACTATGTAGTCCAGGCTGGCCTTGAACCTCCTGCCCTGTCTCCAAAGTGCTAGGATTGCAGGTGTTTATGCAGTGTGGGAATGGAGCCAGGACTTCATGCATGCCAGTAGGCACACTACGACTGCACTATAGCTCCACCTGAATTAGCCGTCTAATCCTGCTACCTCACTACCTGTGCCTCCTTAAGAAGTGGGTGTTGTTGCCAGGCGGTGGTGGCGCACGCCTTTAATGCCAGCACTCGGGAGGCAGAGCCAGGCGGATTTCTGTGAGTTTGAAGCCAGCCTGGTCTACAGAGCGAGATCCAGGACAGGCTCCAAAGCTACACAGAGAAACCCTGTCTCGAAGAACCAAAAAAAAAAAAAAAAAGTAGGTGTTAACCTCAAAGGCTGTTTTTTTTTTTTTTTTTTTTTGTTTTTTTTAAGATTTATTTATTTAGTATACAATGTTTGGTCTGCATGTATGTCTGTCTGCAGGCCAGAAGAGGGCACCAGATCTCATTACAGATGGTTGTGAGCCATCATGTGGTTGCTGGGAATTGAACTCAGGACCTCTGGAAGAGCAGTCAGTGCTCTTAACCTCTGAGCCATCTCTCCAGCCCTCTCAAAGGCTGTTTTAACAAGAGTCGTCCCCTCAGTGAGCCAGCCAGACAGATGCCCTTTCCTTGACTTGTCTTTGCTAAAGAAACAAGTTTTAGGCTTGAACATTTGCAAGTGTTTATTTATTACATGCTGCTGAAGTATTGGCTTTTATTTTAATGTCCACATATAAGATGGCATACAGGCAACTTAAAATAACATACACGGTATTGACATATTTATACTTAAAACTTACACAGTGTATTTACAGACATACAAATATAGGACAATGTTTACAAAACCTTTTACTAATTACATGTGTGTAACATTTCAGAAGTCAAATCTGCTGTAAGCACCTCACTGCAATGTGTATATAAAAGGCTTCTACACGAGTTTTTCCTTCATTTCTACAACCATCTAAATTCTTCTTAGCTCTTCCAACTCATCAGCATAGCGCGTTGTTAGTCACTGCTGACTAGAGGAGACCAGATTACAGGCTCCTTGATGAGCTGCAAGGGTGTATTTACAGAGCGGCTGGGTTGGAAACCACCCACTGATCCACCTTTTCTAGTCTGTTCTAGCCAGATACAAGGGTTCCTCCGTGAGTCCCTCAGAGCCGCTCATTACAGGAGGATCCTGGTGCGAGTGCTAGGCAGAGATGCCTCTGAGAGCCTGGAGACTGCTGACGTGACATCTCTGTAGGGGCAGGGTAGGGCTGGGCAGGCACCTGGCTTGTCCATCCTCAGCACTGGTAAGGTAGCCAGTTCTGGTTAGGGGACTATGACAAGACTAACTATCCTACACTGGGGTCTCTAGCAAGGTTAAATATCAAAATGAATTGTTCTTCAACTTAGAAACAGACATATGAAGTCACAAAAGACCAACAGAAAACCTGATTTGTTGTTATATGCTGACTCAGAAAACCTGTAACAACCTCAGCCCAAACTGTGCAAATGTTTCCTAATAATTAAATCTGAATTAGCCTGATAAGTACATAAGGTCTCACATGAAAAATTAAAATGTTAAAATGTCCTCTTTTTTTCTGAGGTAGGGTCTCACTGTGTAGACCAGATCCACCTCCTCTGCCTCTCAAAAGCTAGGATTAAAGACATGTGCTACCACACGGTGCAAGGTCGACTTACTCTAGGGAACCCTCGTAAGTCTTCTGGACTCATTTTCTACACAATACTGCGATCTAGAATGTGGAAATGATGCTGAGGTTTAATGTGGACTAGAAGGAAAGTGTGCCAGCCCAGCAGCATAGCTGGTGAAGAAGCCTTGCTGCTTCCGCTCGGGAGGAGCCTGCGGGCTGGGCGGGAGCCCAGATGCGCTACGATGATATACTCACCTTGAGATAAGGTCTTGTAGTGTAGCCTAGGCTGGCCTCAAATTCACGATCCTCCTGCCCTAGCCTCCTGAGTTACAGGCATGTGCCACCATGCCCGGCTGCTGTTACATGCTTCTAAACTTGGATAAAGTAGCAATGTTCTGTAGCAATGTTCTAATAAAAACTTCTCTGCACAAACAAGGAGAAATTATTTTCACTAGATACTTAAAATGATTTTGTTCAAAGTCACTTTTAGAGGAAGGATATTTAAAAAAAATTTTTACATGTATGAGTGTTTTATCTTCATGTATGTATGTGTACCATGTACATGCCTGGTACCTGAGGAAGTCATTGGAGGGCATCAGTTATGAACTGCCATGTGGGTGCTGGGAATTGAACCCTGACCCTCTGCAAGAGCAGCCAGGGCCCTCAACTGCTGAGGCAGCTCTTCAGCACAGTCTACTACAGCCCAGGTGGGCTGCAGTTACCTAGCATCCTGCCAAATCCTGACCACCCAGCTTCCACTTTTGGAATGTTTGGAATTACAGGCTCGTGTGCCTCTCTGCACCTAATTTTAGGTGGTGCTGGGGATGGAACCACGGTCCAGTATCAAAGTTATTACTTTTAGATGCTGCACAGGGTCAATACTGTTCTCAAATGCAAGCCTTGGGAAGAAAACCCATAAAAGTGAACGACTATACAGAAAAGCCCTATTAAACAGCTTTATGAAATTACTCTATTTGCCACACCAAACACCAAAGAGACAACTAAGAACTAAAAAGTATGCAAACTCTGGGGAGGGAAAACTTCTGTGCTTAAATTTAACTAAAGATGCCCGCCCACGCTGTGTTGGATCCCTGGGCCCTTTTGTGCCCTGCTCACAGCTGTGCAGTAAGGCACAGGCAGCGGGTGTGGGGAGGAGGAGAGAGAGGATGTAAGAGTGTGGCTCTCCTTCAGGGCCCCAGGAGCTGGGAGGGCACCTGCCGTGCCCGGTTCAGGTGCCCTGGCATCAGCATGGCTCACTGAGTTACATGCAAACACTGTTGAGAACGTTATACCTTATAGCTTAGAACTGTGAGTGGAGTGTGTCTCCGTGTTTAGGAAATAGCAGGGTGATGCACAGAACCACCCTCTAGAAAAAGATAGGGTGGTAGTGGGCAGGGCTGGGGAGAGGCCTGGACGTTGGTTTAAATAGCTGTTAGATTGTGCAGAATCGAGGGCTTCTCTATTATTTCTGTTTTCTTTTCTTTGACAGAACTGTCCAAGTCATCATAACACAGCCTTTGATATAAATGCAGTTGAAAACGCAGCGGGGCAGGACCCTCAAACCACATAACTATGTGTCTTGGAACAGTGGTCTCTACTGCCTGAGAACAACTACAATGTCTGCTCAAATGCAGGTTCCCAGGCCACAGCCAAAACTTTGATGCAAATCTGGATTTCACAAATGCTCCAGGAGAATGAAGCTCAACTGTGGAAACCAGTGAGCTGTAGACATCCAGGAATTGGGAAAGATAATGGCATGTCTGTCCTCTGAGAGAGCTAAATACCCGGCTTGGAAGCTGCTGGCTCTGGCATGAAAAATGAGCCTGCTCCCCACGAAGAAGGCATAGCCAGCCTAGGCTTCCAGGTGGGGTCCTCAGTAACGAAAGTTCCACTTAAGAAAATTGTGTCCTCATTAAAAACAAAAACTAGTGGAAATGGGTTTAATCTCCCCTAAAATGGAGAAGTGAAGCAAACATTCCTGGCAGGAATCGTGAAGACCGCGTCTAGGAACACACAGGGCTCCGTCTGAGCCGTCTGAGCAGGCGGCGCCGGCAATCGCATCCTCCCGCTCCTTGTTTTGGCTGTGCCAACACCACCCAGGGCCTGGGAGTCCTCAGACAGCAGACAGCTGTGGCGGTGGAGGCGGCGGCGGCTGCTGCTGCTGCTGCTGCTGCTGCTGCTGCTGCTGCTTGGGTGGGGCAAGCTCCAGGAGGGCCTGGACGGTCACCGCGACCTGGCTCAACCCTTTCTCTTCTAAAATGTGCAGAGGCAAACATAATTGCTCCTGAAAGGGGACAACGTAACACAAAACAAACAGAAAAGAGGTGAACATTACAGAGCCGAAAGGAACTTTCACCCCCACCCCGGAACAACCAAGTGAGATCCGCAAAGTTCCCGGGAAACCCACCCGCTAAAGGAGGCAGACACAGACGCTGACGGTGTCTCACACTTAGGGGTACTTTATTAACAGTTGAAGGTCCATACAGAACGTCTGGAAAAGCGGAAGACTGACAGGTGACACACAGTCACACAGCAGGAGGAACAGCCCAAAGATCAGGGCAGACTTACAGAGCAGGAAACGTGGAAAACAGGCCAAGTTACACCAAGCTACGGCTCAAGGGAGAACAGCACTCACAGAGGACCCTCTGGGACACACCATGGTTCCCTGATGACCTTAACTGCAGGAAAGGGAGGGGCCAGGACCTGTGCCACAGCTCCATTCTGTAAGCCACGGCCCTCAGAGTTACATGGGTTTAAGAAACATTTCTCTACTTTGGGTAATTTGTGGAAGGGTAAACCTAAATTAGTTGAAAATCAGATTCTAAAAATTGTATTTTAGCTGGGTGTGTTTGATCCTAGGACTTAGGAGGCAGAGCCAGGCAGGTCTCTTCGAGTTCAAGGTCAGCCTGGGCTACAAAGTGAGATCTTGTCTTAAAAACTGTACTTGAAAGGTGAGTGGTGGCACATGCCTTTAATCCAAGCACTTGGGAGGCAGAGGCAGGTGGATCTCTGTGCGTTCAAGGCCATCCTGGTCTACAAAGCAAGCCTGAGGCCAGCCAAGGGTACACAGAGAAACTGTCTTGAAAAACAAAACAAAACAAAACAAAACAAAATTATATTTGAAAAAGTAAAGTATTTCATATAGTAAAATTCAGCGCATTAAGTCATGCTGGAGAACTATTATGTAAACTTACTCACATCTTAGTAACTGATCCATAAAAGTGATTGTTCCTTTGGGTAGGAAGTTGGATATATCCATCTTGCTACTCTTGTAAGAAAAAGGCAAATCTTAGCATGACACTTACTAGTTTTTCTTCTCACCAAAATTATTTATTTATTTATTTACTTACTTACTTATTTACCTATTTATTTATTTAGAGACAGGTCTCTCTCTGTAACTCTGGCTGTCCTGGAGCACGCTCTGTAGATCAGGCTGTCCTCAAACTCAGAGATCCTTTTGTCTCAGCCTCCCAAATGCTTGGATTAAAGGTGTGTGCCACCATGCCTGGGTAAAACTCACTTTTTTGCTTTTAGTTGAGAAAGGGTCTTGCTGTATAGCTCAGGTTGGCCTTACACTCCAGTTTGAGGGTTACAGGAGTGCTCTACTACATGCTGTATCACTTGAATTACAAAATGGATTGTAATAAAAATACAGCAAGAGCTGGTTGGTGGTGGTACACACCTTTAAAGAGGCAGGTAGATCTCTTCTCTGAGTTCGAGGCCAGCCTGGTCTACAGAGCAAGTTCCAGGGCAGTCAGGGATACACAGAGAAACCAGAAACCCTGTCTCAGAAAAAAAAAATCTAAAACAGAAAACCAAACAAGAAAATACAGTAAGGCTTTCCAACTTGGGCCGGGCAGAATGGCCCCCACAAAGAAGGGTGGCGAGAAGAAGAAGGGCCGTTCTGCCATCAGCGAGGTGGTGACCCGAGAACACACCATCAACATCCACAAGCGCATCTGTGGAGTGCGCTTCAAGAAGCGTGCCCCTAGGGCACTCAAAGAAATCCGGAAATTTGCCATGAAGGAGATGGGTACTCCAGATGTGCGCATTGATACTAGGCTCAATAACGCTGTCTGGGCCAAAGGAATAAGGAATGTTCCATACCGTATCCGTGTACATTTGTCCAGAAAACGTAATGAGGATGAGGACTCACCAAACAAGCTCTACACATTGGTAACTTACATACCTGTTACCACATTCAAAAATCTACAGTCAGTCAATGTGGATGAGAACTAAGCTGCAGAGTGTCAAATAAAGTTGGAGAACTACCTTCAAAAAAAGAAAATACAGCAAGTATTTGTTTTTGAGGCAATTACTTGAGTGTAAGTACTTTCTTTTTTATTTAATGCTGATTTGCTAATAAAACTAAACGTTCTGAATTAATACTTTGAATAACTCTGCAACTACAGAGAAGCTGTATTTAAAATGAATCTGCACCGGCCAATGGTGGTGCACGCCTTTAAGTCCAGTACTGGGGAGACAAAGGCAGGCGGATCTCTGAGTTTGAGGCCAGTCTGGTCTACAGAGCGAGCTCCAGGACAGCCAGGGCTACACAGAGAAACCCTGTCTTGAAAAACCAAAAAACCAAACCAAACCAAACCAAACCAAAAACCCAACCAACAACAAAAAGATGAAATCTGTGTGTACTTTGCTCTGGGTGGGAAACTTCCTCCAGGGCCAAATCCCTGCTGTCTGCTCAGCGGTACCCAGGCCCAAGCCAAGGGCAAGTGGTTAGTTAGGTGCACAGTGGTCTAGACACCACTCAGAGGCGGCACTTCCACATGCACATCAACTCTGTGGATGTTTCCTAGGAACCTACCCTTGCTGGTCTAGACCACACATCAGCCTCTGTGGTGGTTTTGTTTGTTGGTTTTTATTTTAAAGACAAGGTTTTGCTATGTAGCCTATCCTGTTTCAGCTTCCTAAGTGCTGGGATTACAGGTGTGTATCACCACACCTGGCTTTAAGCCTGACCGTGTGTGTGTGTGTGTGTGTGTGTGTGTGTGTGTGTGTGTGTGTGTGTGTGTACGTATGTACGTACGTACAAAAGGACAAAACTCTACAGAACTCAGACAGTAATCACAGATTCCAAGATGTCTTAAAACTAAGACAAACCCACACCAGCACACCTTGGAAAGGCACTGTTGTATAGCACTGAGTCTGTCACCGCGCCAGCATTAGCAGGGGACAGTAAGGAACGGCCCACTTCAGACAGAAGTGCGTGAGGTAAGCGGATGCCCAGGTTAACTACAGCGGGTACTGTGTTCCTGGCAGTCTCTCTTGAGCTGCCGTCCAGTTCTGTCAGTAGAGTGTAGAGACACCATTTGTGAGAACTGCGATCTGAATGCAGCAATGTCGTTCTCGGCCCCAGGTCCTGAAACTGATCTACTAAGCATTTTGAGATGGACCTGCAGTTCTGATACAATCTCCCCAACAGCTTACAAAATACAAATTCACCTATAAAAATGGCTCAAATGTCAGAAATGTCACATTCTAACAGGATTCTGGCAGTGGATCTATCACAGGCAGTAACCATGGTAAGCGTGGCCAGATCTCAGAATGCAGACTCTGGTCATCTGCTCAGTGGTCACAGTCTTAAATGGACACAATGGCTCAGAACAGCAATCGGGGCAACCCCCAGGATCTTTAAACTAAAAATTCAGACCAAACAAAAATCGGTAAGTTTCAATGCCCTGTGTCTTCTAAATGTCCAAATACTGTTAGAATTACAGGCAAGTTAGGATTTCAGGGCAGAGAACTAAGTGACAAGGTATTCCACATTAGAAAGGGTACCAATAATTTCATGATGAGCAGCTGTTGAAAGGCTCAGACATTCTTTAGTTCAAAACTGAATTGTAGCATAGTAGAAAAAGATGGGCGGAGTTCTCTATGGCTCAGGACTGCATTGACAGAAACGCCTCAACCCCCAACCCCAACCCCCCATATGAGAAACAAGGCCACAGGGCACGCGGGAAGCCAATGACCAGGAGAGAGAATGCTGGTCTCTCTGTTAGCCATGGTCGGTGAGTACTGTGGATGCAACGCCCCTCTGGACATACAGGAAACGATGCACCTACTCCAGTTAGCACTCTGAGAAAACACACGTCAGTAACTCTGTATGAGGAACAAACCTTCACCAAACACAGGAAGGCGGTGGAAGGCACGGGCCGCACAGTCAGCTATAGGGGAAGAGCCGGTAATAAAGCACACAGAGAGTTAACATTAAAGCACAGTAAAATGCCACAAAACCCAGAAGCTGGACAGACAAAGAGACAAAGCTGGATTCTTCTGCATGTGCCCCGAGAGTAAGCAGTGTTTCGACAGTTCTTTTAACGCTGAGGTTTAGCTGAAGGATGTCGGAAGGAGAACAGAGAGTGTCCTGTCCAAACGTGAGCAGGAAAGGAAAACAGAAAAACATAGTCAGTGGAGCAGAAGCAGACAAGGACAGAGCTCAGTCAATCATGTCAGCCGCGGTCAGACACACACCCTGCGGCAGCGGCGGCATTCTATCACAAGTACGGAAATGCTGAAAACCAAAACTCTGGCCCCTCTCGGCACACAGACGACTTTTCTACAGAGCAGCAGAACAAAGTCTGCTTGTTGGTGGCTAGCCAGGAGCATTAAGGGAACAAGGGACAGAGCTGGCGTGTGGCGTGAGGCCTGAGAGTGGGGCGGTGAGTAGGGGTGTCCTCATCTCAATTCCCTTCTTCCTTATTACAGAGGAAGAGTAGGGCACAGAGGGAGGACGCTGACTAGAGGGGGTAATGGAGAAACAGGCAAACCACAGAGGCTCCATGACTGAGGCAAGCCTTGTAATGAGGGAGGTTTACTACAGATTAAACCATCAGATGAAGCCATCACCCCTAGATCTGGTTCACTACTACACACAACAGAAATGGAGAGAGCATCTAAAGCTACCATTAGTAAAGGATTAGTGGACTCAACCTGGAAATGTTCTTTAACATACACAATAATTCTAGGATATAAGATAGTAGACTCTAATATAGGGTTTTTTTAAAATGCAAAATATTCAATAAAAGCACAGTAGTAAAAGTGAACATCTATATACTCCCCTATCCAGAGGCTTCTGAGTTTCCCTATTTAGTGATTCCTTCATAGTCTGAGGGTGAGCTGGGGATGGACCCTAGGAAGGACTCTCCTATTGCTACATCCCCAGCCCATTTTCCAATAATTTGACTCATTTTTGTTTATCATTTGTCTTTCATTTTATTTTTGTCTGAAACAGGGTCTCATGCCTTGTCTCAGACTCACTACAGAGCTGAAGATGACCTTGAACTCCATACCCTACTGCCTGCATTTTTCAAGTGGAGGGATTACAGGCATGCTTCACCGCACTGAACAGAGTTCATCTCGCACAACACTTCTTAGTCATACTGAGATGTAACGATCTTTATAGTTATTTTCTAACTGGGCACCAAGTCGACAAGCTTAGCTACTAAGTTCCCTGGTTCACAGTCTAGTCAGGCCAGAGGAGGTGAGAACTACTACGTTCCCTGGCTCACAATCTAGTCAGGCCAGAGGGGTGAGAACAAACAAGACTGAGAATGCCAGCTTGACGCTACCACCTTGTGAATCTGTTCGTTATCCTTCCTTCTGTCCAGAAAATGACTAATTTTTAACAGAAATAGCAGCAAAACTAGAGCTCATCTTCAACTGGCAGAGAAGTGGGCGGAAGGCAGGAGGAGAGAAGGAAGAGGTGGCTTGTGTGGATGTCCATTTCCTCTTTCTGGAAGAGGAGCTGAGGGTGTGGTGTGGATGGAAAGAGCCCCAGGCTAACCACCCTGGAAAAAGATCAGTTTTAAACTGTACCTTTTCTGTCTCTGTCTCGACTTTGAATAGCTCAGCTCAGGTAGAAAGGGTGGCTGAGCTGTAACAAACTCTCGTAAGCCCTGCTTGGAAAATGCTGACTTACACGCGTGCTTTAAAGCACAGTGGTTTTCTATCTTGCTGACCAAGGGCAGTGACATTCTGAAAAGAGTTCCAGGTTCCGGCCTTTATATCTGAGATAAGATGGCTCTGGAGAGCCTGGCAGGCAGCTCTGATGTCTAGAAATGGTGTTGAGGAGGACTCTCAGCAAGTGCTGGTACGGGCAAAGCCAGCATGTTACTGTTCTCTGTGCTTCCCATCTTCTGGACGGGTACGTGCCACACTCTGGTGCAGTACATCTGAGATGTATGGAACTGGAGCAGGTAGCAGGCATGCTGACATAAGACAGGAATACCTGAGTGCTAATGTGCACATAAGGACATTAGGGCTTTCACTGTGGAGAAAACACATGCCAGTTCCCTAGAAAATGGGGTAAATGGTAAAATGGTTTCCTAAGCTTTTGTAATGATATAAAAATGAAAAACACTAGTTTGAATTTGTCCCTAAGAATAAAATAAGTCTACTCAGTAAGGCTAAAGAGCAGGTGTGGAATTCATGCTGGCTAATGAAGATGCAGGTGGGAACTGGCTTCCTTTTCTACTCTGGAATGTGTGGAGCTGGAAGTGAAGGGTGCCCACTGCATACATGATGTTGTGGCCTCCTTGCTCTTGGTCAGTAAGAGCAGGACAGTGAACTGGTCAAAGGCATCACTGGGAAGCTTCAGGGGTTAAATGGGGCTTAACTTGGAGCAAAGCTGGGTTTCTGATGGGCCCAGGAGCCAGTCCTTAGTTTCCGACAGTTAATCAAGCAGCTGATAGAAGAGGCTGGTGTTTTTCTCTCTGCAGACCAGACAAAACTAAGATTTAGAGACTGGAGGGTGTGGCTCAGTGGCAGAGCATGCAGGAGGTCACAGCTTCCATCTCCAGCAACAAAGAAAAGAGAAACTGCCAGCCACACCACACCAAGCTGCTAATTTCTTTACACTGATGCTAAGCACGGCTGCACCACAGTTCCAGCACTGGAATCTGAGGTGGGAGGGAAGCTTGAGCCCCAGAGCTCAAAGACCAACCTGAGTATAAGGCTAGGTCAAAAAGCCCATGTCCAGATCATCCAAAGCTCCATGCACCCCTCAAGAGTAAAGCAGTTTTTAACTGCTCTTCAAAAGGGTCACTGAATGAACAGTATAAACATTTCTTTTCTTACTAAATCTACTACGTTTAAGTATAGTATTATCAATGGCAAAAAACACAACAGACCACTGGTTCTCAACCTTCCTAATGCTGCGACCCTTTAATATACACAGTGATCCCCCCAACTACAAAAATATTTTCATTGCTACTTCATTTTGCTACTGTTATATTTGTAATATAATATCTGTGTTTTTCATGGTCTTAGGTGGCCCCTGTGTAAGGGTTGTTCAACCCCCTGGGGGTCCTATACCCACAGGTTGAGAACCACTGTAACAGTGGCTCATAGAAGAACTCACTGTCTTTTCATAACAGGGCATATTGTCTCCACTGTGCTAACTTCCAAAGGATTGCAGCCTAGTGGAAAAACGGGTGGAGCTGATTAAACCTCTAATTTAGTTAACAGGACTACCATTTGAATTAGTTGGTGGTACAGCTATACTATTTGGGTATTTGATGTTAGCATCTGGGAAATTTGGGTGAAATATATGTAAGAACCCTGCTATTCTTGAAACATTTTGTGAACTCTGAAATTATTTAATAATACATATATTTAAAATGTATTAAAAGCAAGTATTAAAAAACTGAAGCCAACAGAATTTCCAATCTGTACAGTACTTATGTGAAAATATTCTGCTATGTGTACCTGTACAAAGGTCAAACAGCTAGCGGGGATGCTTAAGAAAACAGAAGGATTATTTTTCACTTATTAGTTATAATACAACTATTTAAATCAATACTTAACATGAAAGAGTATTGCTGGGGAGAATACTGACAGAGCCTTGTAATAACACATCATGTTAGTAGTGAGCAGCTTCGTTTGTAGCTAGCCCTGGTAAGAACAATTATACCCTTACACACACACACACACACACACACACACACACACACACACACACACACACACACGTTACCTGAGGTACACCGATTTTTCTGCAAGCATCCAGGAAGTTCTCCACATTTCTCCTGCATTTTGCCATTGTTAATTTAGGCTGGAGCAAGACAAGAAGGGGGGGAAAGCATGTTATGGACAAAGGTCAAAAAGGATGCAGCTTTAAAAGCAGCCTTGCCGGTTACTTCACATACTTACTGCTGTGCAGAGTGGGGCTCATCAAAGTTTTCCTTAAAAGATCCAACAGTGAATGCTAATCTCAATCTCACACAACTGTGGTGGCCACCACTCAATTCTGCCAGGAGCATGAAGCAGCCCCAAGGGTGGGAGTGCGGCTGCATTCAATAAAAGACTATTTACAGAAATAGGTGCTGGCCTCTGAGAGGAGTTTGCCACCTTCCAATATCTGCATTTTGCTTTGGTTTAGTAAGGTAAGTGCTAAGAAGGTATTTTATCATTTTGAAATAAAACATACAAAAGAAAATTAGAGAGAACATCAAGAAAATGTATCACCTAGTGGTTCACTATTCAGATATACCATAACTAACAGTTCCTTTCTTTTGGAGGCAGCGTCTCACTACACAGCTCTGGCTGGCTTAGAACTCACTCTGTAATCCAGGCTGGCCTTGAATTTACAGAGATCTGCCTGTCTCTGCCTTCAGAGTGCTGGGACTAAAGGCGTGCGCCACCATGCCTGGCTCTATTTTAAATATTATTTTAACTTTATAGGTATGAGTGTTTTGTCTGCATGTATATCTCTACATCATGTGCACGCAATACCTGTAGAATCCAGAAGAAGGTGTTGGGTCCTTGGCAGCTAGACTTTTGGACAAGTGTGAGCCGCATGTGGGTGTTGGGAATTGAGCCTGGTACTTTGCAAGAACAGCTAGTGCTCTTAACCCTGGCCCTATCTTTTACATTTAACTCATTAGATACTTTGGAAATTAAAAAAGTCTTAATGATGGCCACAAAGCTACTTTACAAAAGGTGAATAGTTAATGCAGGAAATGTGAGCTTTTCTGTAAAGATCTCTAAAGACTAAAAATAAAGAGGCATCCCATATTCTCTCAAAGTTCTGGTTTTCAAACTTTGGTTGTTATCATGGAATACACTGTAAGAAAAACAGGGATTTCATATTCTAAAATGATGTTCAAGTATTGGGTATGGAAGCCGGATGTTTGCAGGGACTATGACCTACAGATTTTTAAATTAGTAAGTGCATGGACACTTGTACCATCTCTAGAAAGCAAAAGACTTCACTGGTAAAACCTGAGTTTTCTGCAAACATAAACATAATTCCTTGGCATAAGAAGGAACGAAACAGAAGCAGAGAAAGAAAGCACTGTAATTTTGATTAGACAGAGACATGCGGCGGGGCTAGGATTAGCCTCGTCATGAAAGAAAAAGGCAAGCAGTGAGCCGGAAGGAAAGAAACAACTACCTCCCAGTTCTGATGGGATAACCGCAAAGGATCAGGAAAGACACAGGAAGCCCGTGTACAGGGAGGGCTCCTGCCCTGTTAGCTTTCTACTGCTGTCAGACACACCATGACCAGAAGTATCTTGGGGAGGAAAATCTAGTTCATTTTACACTGTACAGCCCGTCAGGGGAACCAAGCAGGAACTCAAGGAGGATGGCAACCTGGAACCAGGATCGAAACAGAGAGCACAGAAGAACGATGTTTACACTGGCTTGCTCTCTATCCATGGTTTGCTCATCTTGCTTTTCTACACAACCCAGAACCACTTGCCCAGGAGGAGCACTGTCTCCAGCGGCTGGGCCCTTACATCAATCATTAATCAAGAAAATGGAGCACAGACTTGCCCACAGGCCAATCTGCTAGAGGTGTTTTCTCAGGTGAGGTTCCTCTTCCCAGTGATGGATGGTACAGGCAGGGAGTTCAAAGCCAGCCTTGGCTGAATGAGACAAAAAGTAGCTGGGTATGGCCGCACACATTTTTAATCCCAGCACTCAAGAGGTGGAGGCAGGTGGATTTCTGTGAGTTTGCAGCCAGACTGGTCTACATAGTTCTAGGTCTACTACACTACACTGTGAGTCTCAAAAAACCAAACTCCCAAGTCCAACAGGATAAACTACTTCACTTCGGCATATCCGTCTAAGCTGGAAATTTTCGTCACATGCCAGCTTCACTTTCTGCCTCACAGTGCCATTAGCATTACTTCCTGTGAAGTGGTTGAGATGGTCAGGACCCTGGTCTGAGTTCAGGAGAGAAGGCTAAGCAGGAGAAGCAGCCATGAGCAGCACTTTTTTTTTATGAAAGAGGGAAACGTGTGTTTCTGAAATATTAATGTTTATAGAAGAACAGACTGACATAACCTTGCTATAGGAAGAAAAAAAAATCATGTGTCTGTGCAAAAGCAAGGGTAAAAAGGATAAAGCTAATGCTGCTAATTAAAAACTGATTCAAATGCAATTTCCTATAGCTCATATGAAAATGAAGGATCAAGAGAAGGAGACATAGGGGAGGAGGGGAGAGAAGAGAGCGAACACACAGTACACACGAGGACTAGTAGTAGTAACTTAAAACACAGAATTGTGGGGCAGAATGGAAGAACGCCTGCTCTCCGAGAAGGTCAGAAATCTCACGTTTCCACCCTCCTCTGGAAACGTCAAAGGAAAGGCTCATCCATCAGTGGGATGCAGGCTGCAGCCTCTCCATCACTCACTCCAGACTGCAGGACTCACAGTTTCGTCTTAAGAAGCAAATCTTACAGGAACCCACTATCTCCAAAAGTTTCCCCAGAACTTCAAATGGCATGACATAGGATTTTGGGCAGCAAAGTCTATCCTCTTCTATTTCTAATAATGTAAAGCCTACGCTGAATATGAGATCTGAACTGAAAAGAAGAGATAAAGAATTAGTTCTGGATACTTAAAATGATCTGAACACTTTTTCAGGCATTGAAAACTTTATTTATTTTTAAGGTAGGGTCTCATGTAGCACAGGCTGACTTTAAACTTGTTGTATAGACCAGGATGGCCTTGAGAGCCTCATCTTCCTACCTCAAACTCCTAAGTGCTTGGATTACAGGCATGACCCACCACGGAACATTTGTTTATTATTATTGAGTGTCGATACACACAGTGTGCGGGGCACGTGTGCTGCAGCGCTCACGGAGGTCAGCGGACAACTCCGTACAGCTGGTTCGTTCCCTCCCCTTTAATGTGGATTCCAGGGATTGAACTCTAGTGGCCAGGCTCGTGTGGCAAATTCCACCTATTGAGCCGTGTCCAACCCAAAACTTGATACTTGTTTTTGCTTTTGAGACAGGGTCTCACTATACAGCTCTGGCTGGCTTGAACTCACAGAGATCCACCTGCCTCTGCCTCCCAAGTGCTAGGATTAAAGGTGTGTACCACCACCACCGGCCAAAAGCATCTTTTTTAAAATATAAGAAGACCCTTTTTAATTATACCTAAAGCATTAATAAGCATATACAGCAAAGCAAATTCATTTTAAGAAGGTTATATTAAGAGCTGGAAAGATTGCTCAGAAGATAGAGTGGATATTGCTCTGGCAGATGACCAGAGTGAGCCAGAATTCCTAACACCTACACAGAAGTTCACACCATCTGTAAGTCCAGCTCCAGGGGATCTGACACCCCCTTCTAGACTCTGATAGACACATACACATAAATAAATAAATCAATCCTAGAAAAAGGAAGATAACTAAAAATGTAAAAAGATAATGTCCATAGGCCCTGATCCAAATTCTAAGAGGTAGTGTATTCCCCAAATTAGTATGGCTGGGAACTGTCTGAGCATATAGATTAATTCTTCCATTTAAAACCAAAGAAGAGACTGGATGGTGGTGGTGCACGCCTTTAATCCCAGCACTTGGGAGGCAGAAGCAGGCGGATCTCTTGAGTTCGAGGCCAGCCTGGTCTACAGGACAGCCAAGGCTACACAGAGAAACCCTATCTTGAAAAAGAAAAAACAAACAAACAAACAAAAGAAGAAAAATGAGGTAGTTCAAAAGCAGACATTCCTGGCCAGACCCCTCATTTCCCACTTTAGACAAGGATGGATTTCTTTCCTATGGCCCTTGTTTTCTACCCCTTACTCCTAGTCTACCACTGTTTGTTTTTTAAACTCCCTTTCGATTTATTTCTTTTATGTGTTTGAGTGTTTGCTTATATGTGTACTACTTGAGTGACTGGTGCCCACAGAAGTCAGAAGAAGGCATCAGGTCCCCTGCACCTGGAGTTACGGATGGCTGTGAACCACCATGTGGGTGCTGGGAATCCAACCCTGGTCCCTTGCAAGAGCAGAGTGCTCTGAACCTCGTCAGCCATTCTCCAGGCCTTATACCACTGATTTCTAAAGGTGAATCTAAAATTTCTTCAAACAGCATGATACTGGGCTAAAACCTGCTATTTACAATGTCTGGTTCATAAGGGCTGGACTTTGAAGGAGAATGCTTCTTAGTGATATTTCCTGATTCCGCAAGAGGTAAGATAGTAAATGAACACAAAGAAGTCTGGCAGGACTCTGCCAACAGAGCAGCCAGTCTGCAGACACCAGTCATAAGCCTGGCTCTAACCTGGAGCCAGGGGTGAGGTCAGGAAACTGCTGACCACAAACGGTCAGGAAAGTACAGAGCCCTTTCCGCATGCGCCATCTCCACTGCAGACCAGGCTGTGGGCTGGCGGCAAGAGCTTCCTTTGATGCGCCGGTTTGCCAGCCTCTAGTGAAGCTCTAACAGGGAGCATCAATCGGACTGCTCTGCCTGCTGAACAGTCAACGAGCATTTTTAATATCTCCCCACTATTTACACTGATACAAACCTCTAACTCCTTGACAGGTTTTAAAGCTTCTCAAACACAGCCTAGGCTTAACTCTTAGCTTCATCCGCTGCCATCTGCATCCACACACTCACCCGGTGTGTGATCTAGTCTCAACAACTGAACAATTCCTTTATTTAAGTTGCTAGCTGGCCAATTCCTTACCTATACTTCATAACTGGATTAGTTCAACTTCTCTAGAAGGCTTCTCTGAATTCTCTAGGCAGAATTAACTGGTCCCCTTTTGGTATCTCAACAGCATACTTCTTATACACATCTTACAACACTCAATACATGCTGTAAAAGATTGTTTATGTATCTCCTTTTTCTGTCGTCAGTGAGAACAAGAAAGTGGGGACTGGGCCCTTGGAATCTGCATCGCTAGCTTCCAGCACTATGACTCCACTAACTGAAAAGCATCCTATGAATAGCCAATGCTGCCTGGCACTATAACTTACCACGGCTGGAGACGGGACATGAATGCTTGGGACAGATCGAGGCCGAACATGATTGGCTAAGTGGCAAAGTACAACACCATCAGTTAGAGCCGCTCCAAGATCACAGGGCAGAGATACTTTTAACCGATACTCAATATGCTGCAAGGACAGGAAACGTCATGCATTAATTGAAGACCGACTATCATATAGGCTATAAAAGCAAGACAATGGAATGTATCTCATCTAGCTGGAAATCCAGAAAAAAGCTGGTGACATATGCCCATAATCCCAGCATTTAGGATGCTGGGGGAGCGGAAGGACTACAGCAAGTTTGAGGCCCATCTGTGGGTGGGGGTGGGGAAACAGTGAGTTCCAGGCTGGCTAGGGCCATAAAGTAAGACCTTGTCTGTAAATAAAAACAACAACAAAGTCAAAACAAAATAAAACAGACTCCAGGAAAAAAAAAGGAAAGAACTTAGATACTCTAGCCCCGTTGTCGTTCTAACTCAGGTCAATAACTCACAGGGATGAGTGTCTGCATCGCAGCCAGGTGACAGTGGTCCAAAGCACAAAAGAAATGACCATCATTTTATGACTTAGGCCATCCTAAGTCCTGGCATGGCGGTGTGTGCCTGTGATTACAGACTAGAGAGGAGCAGAGAGGAAGACGGAGAGATCAAGGCTGGAGGGACTGAGTGGGACACAGTGAAAACGTGTCTCCACAAACAAAACCATGAAACCAAACTGGATACTTATTCAATTCCAATCCCTCAACACAGACATATGGTTTGAGAGTGTGCACATGCACACGTATCCTCTCTCTTTTAAGAAAGGGTCTCTCTAGGTCACACAGTCTGGTCTCAAACTGGTGATCCTGTTACTTCAGATTACTGAGTGGTTATATGCGTGGAGCACCATGCCATGCCTGGCTCTTATGAATTATAACTACTTCTCTGAGATTGCCTTTTAACATGATAAAAAAACAGAAATGAAAAAAAATGAAAATGAACACGGCTATGAAGTAAGCTTTCAAAATTAAAATTATTCATCTAATTTTCTCAGTAGAAAGTTTAAAGGAATTTCCTCAGTAGTGGCATTTCTTGGACATTTATCACAAAATACAGCATACAATGAACACGATGGACTTATGGTGATGGGAGAAGTGAGCACGTGAACAAAAAGCTATGGACTATAGAGGCCACGGCCAAAGTGCAATCCAAGATACTTCACACACTTTGCGCAGTTGGTCTATTAACTTCAGCTCCTCTTCTCGCTGTCTGGTCACAGGATCTGCGGGATCGGCTGCAGGTGCAGAAGACAGGAGAAGAGCTGGAGCACAACCTAGAAAAGGTGAGAGGGAGAGGTCAGCTGCCAGCGCTACACCTGTCTGCCAAGTTTCCCTGACAATACAGCATTCTTTTTTTTTCTTTCTTTCTTTTTTTTTGATTTTTTTCAAGACAGGGTTTCTCTGTGTAGTTTTGCTCCTTTCCTGGAACTCGCTTCATAGACCAGGCTGGGCCCACAGAGATCCTCCTGCCTCTGCCTCCCGAGTGCTGGGATTAAAGGTGTGTGCCACCCATACAGCATTCTTACTTTCTGGATTGACGGTTTAAAAGCATTATCATCTAGGGCTGGGAGAGATGGCTCAGTGGTTAAGAGAACTTGCTGATCTTGTAGATAGAGACCCAGTTTCACTCCCCAGCACCCACCTGGTGGCTCACAAGCACTTGTAACTCCAGTTTCAGGGAATTCAATGCCTTATATTCTGACCTTCTTGAGCATGATGGACATTCATACATGCATGTAAAACACCCCCACACATAAAGTAAAATAATAAATTTTTAAAAACAATTATTATTATATGAAAGATAACAGAATTACTGAGTAAACTGAAAAGGGTAGTGGGCTGGATAGTGGCTGTGGTGGTTTGAAAGAAAATGGTCCCCAAAGGGAGCGGCACTATTGGGAGGTGTGGCCTTGTTGGAGGAAGTGTGTCACTGTGGGAATGGGGGTTGAGGTCTCCTATGCTCAAGCTACTCCCAGAGTCACAGTCTACTTCCTGTTGCCTGCATATCAACCTGCAGCAGCTCCTTCTCCAGCACCACGTCTGCTTACATGCTGCCATGTTTCCTGCTATGATGATAATAGACTAAACCTCCAAAACTGTAAGCCATAACCTCAATTAAATGCTTTCCTTCATAAGAGTTGCCGTGGTCATGGTGTCTCTTCATAGCAATAGAAACCCTAAGACCACTAAAGAAACCCTAACTAAGATGGCTAAAGTACCACTGCAGTTAGAAATTTCAGATACAGAAATACAATGGCATTTAGTTTGAATTACATCCATTTACAAATGTTTTCTTTGAAAAATACAGCAGATATGTAAAATTACACAGTCCTAAATAGAGGTCAAAAATTATCCTTACAACATGAAATGGCTAAGTGCTATAAGAGAGATTTGCCAAAGGGTACCAGTATCCTAACCTCAAGGACCGTAGATTTATTTTGTCCATTGTAGACAAATTTCTAAACAGTCTTATTAACTAAGAAACACAGAGCCAAATACAGAGTTAAAAGCCCAAGAGGTCAGAGCACTAGCGAAGAGACAAGACCACCTTTAGCTTACCACTCACTGCCATCCTTCCCCTCAGAGAGAGACCTTCTCCTGTGTGTCCTGTCTTTTTATTGCCTTTCTGTTCTGCCTTCTCATTGGCTCTAAACCCAAGCACATGACTTCCTCATCACTGCCTGTCTATACAGACCTCCAGGTCTCTATGGTTGGTACTGGGATTAAAAGTTCGTGTTACCACGCTTGGCTGTGTCCTTGACCACAAAGAAACTCTGACTGCCATGTGGTCGGATTAAGGGCATGGGCCACCACTGCCTGACTTCTGTTTTCGGGTCGCTAATGACCTCTGATCTCCAGGCAAACTTTATTTATAAACATACAAATAAAATCACATTTCAGCACAATTAAAATATCACCATAGTACATTTTTGAGAACCTTCTATAAATTAAACCACACTGTATGCATTCTTTGCCTACGGCTTCTTTTGATCAACACTAAAGATACTTATCAGTACTGCACATTCCTGATCTAACAGTATTGTTGTATGTATCATTTTCACTACTTGCACGACGTTCCACTGTGGAGATACACCAATGTTCATCTCCTTTCTACTGTGAACATTCAGTTTGGTGCTATTATAAATAATGCTGCTAGAAATGGTTTTGTAACTATCTTTTGTTCTACACATGTGATTATTTCTCAAAATAAAACTGCTGGTAATAGGTATACAAATGTTCAACAGTTTGTCAATACAGAAAGATCTGAGAAAGAGTTCATAATAAGGGGAGAATGTTCTTTAACTGAAAGAGCATTTTATTTGTTCAATCTGTTTTTGGTTTTGGCTTTTGAGACAGGACCTTGCAATGTAGCCTGGGCTAGCCTTAAAATCAATTCTGCCCCAGCCTCCTAAATGCAGGAATTATAGGTATGTACCATCACGCATAGTTGAAACACTATAAAATATATTTTATATGGTACTAAGAAAATTTCTAATCCAAATAAAAAACCCCAAGATGCTCCTAATTTCATGTTAGTGAGGTTGCAGACACCTGCAGAGCTAACTCTTGCCAAGATGGTAGCTAGGTGTGCAGCTGAAAAGTGCAAGAGTTCCCGTCATTGTGTAAAGCCACCCCACTCTGCCACGCCTTTACAATCGCCACCACTCACCTTTGTTAGTTTCTGCCCTAACAGCGGCTCGGAAAAGGAAGCTTTCAGGGCGTTGGGACTGATTTCTCTGGGTAGCAGCAGGAAAAGAATATGCAGGGGAATGATGGACTATATCAGCATGGAAAAGCAAGATGATGTTAATGGAGATGGGAAGCAAATCAAAGATGATGTAAACATATGTCACAAAAGTCTGATTAATAGCACAAAAGGAAAATCAAACAAACATGGCAATGGATAAAATGATGATTCTATTCATTAGCGAAAAACTCATGTATAAAGTAAAGCTGCTTATTTATTTTAAAATTCTATTATTTTTAGTATATCAACATTTAGTATATCAAATGCAGGCTAAAAGTTAATACAATGAACTTAGTCTCTTGTAAACCTATAGCCCTGTTAATTCCTATTCATTTTTTTCTTACCCAATGGCTAACTAGTAAAAAAGAAATCCTAGTAAGGAGGTGCTCGGGCTGTGACTCAGTTGGTAGAGTGCTTGCCTCGCACTCATAAAGCCCTGAGTTTGATCAGCTGGCTCCCCAGCACTATGGAAACCAGGCATGGTGGCAGAGCTAATGCTCTGGGGTTGGAGGAGATGCAGGAGAATCAGACTGCTCCTTATCTTTATACCAACTAACAACCAGCCTGGGTCACATGAGATGTTGATCTGTTTCTGTGTCTGTGTCTGTGTCTTTCTCTCTCTCACACACACAGGAATCCTGGTAAAGAATAACTGTGGTGAGCCTGGTAACAGGCACCTGTTGTAATCCCAGTATTTGGGAGGATAAGGCAGGAGAACCATTAGTTCTGGCTAGCTTGGGTTATATAACAAGACTCTGTTTCTCTCTCCTCCACCCCACCCCCCCAAAAAAACATTAGATACAGCATTTTTGTGTCGATTACCTGTCTCTGTCGTAGGAAAGCTTGAGATAACTCTGTCGTCACTCTGTGGAGAAACAGATAATATCAACAGTTACTACCCAAGAAAGGGCAGTTTCCACATTTTAGTAACTTAGGAAATGTAAGAAAGCCATGCAACCTCCCTTCAAAACTAAGTCTAGAAATAAAAGTTTGGTGAAATTGATTTTCTTAAAAAGACAAATTTTTTGCTTAGTTGTGTTTACATAATGCATTCTCTAAAGATCTAATGACCTCTCCAAACACTGTGGGAAAGGATCATTTTAAGGCAAAAACAATTATTGAGAAATATACCAGAAAGAGAAACTTTACTTTGTTTTATTACATTATTTTTTTCATTATTTTACACACCAACCAGTTCCCCCCTCTCCTCTCCTCCCATCCCCTCCTCCCACCTCCCTTCTACCTCTACCCCAGCCACTCCTCCTCGGTCTCCATTCAGAGAGGGTAAGGCCTCCTATGAGAGTCAAGGGAGCATGGCACATCGAGTTGAGGCAGGACCAATCTCCTCCCCCTGCAATCCCAATCCACCATGGGATATGGGCTCCCAAAGGCCAGCTAAGTGCCAGGGACAGGTCCTGATCCCACTGCTAGGGGCCCCACAAACAGACCAAGCTACACAACTGTCACACACATGCAGAGGGCCTAGGTCGGTCCCATGCAGGCTCCCTAGCGACAGGCCCAGAGTCATTGAGCTCCCATGAGCTCAGGTCAGCTCTCTGTGGGTTCTTCTGTCATGACCTTGACCACCCCTTGCTCATATAATCTGTCCTCCCTCTCTTCAACAGGACTTCCTGAGCTTGGTCCAGTGCTTGGCTGTGGATCTCTGCATCTGCTTCCATCAGTTACTGGATGAAGGCTCTCTGATGACAATTAGGGTAGTCACCAATTTAATTACAGGAGAAGGCCAGTTCAGGCACCCTCTCCACTATTGCTACGAGTCTTAGTTGGGGTCATCTTTATGGAAACCTTAATTTCTAATACAGTTTCTTTTTTCTTTTTTTTTAATGATTTATTTATGTGCATTGGGGTTTTGCCTGCATGTATGTCTGTGTGAGGGTGTTGGATTCCCTGGAACAAGAGTTACAACAGTTGTGAGCTGCCATGTAGGTGCTAGGAATTGAATCCAGGTCCTCTAGAAGGGCAACCAGTGCTCTTAACTGCTGAACCATCTCTCCAGCCTCTCTTAGTTTCTTAAGTACTATTTTTTCTTTACAGAGTAAAATGCAATTTTCAAAGAAAATGTGATTGTCATTTCTTAATTTCTGTTAAAAATATATTTAAGGGAGGCGGTGGCAGTGCACGCCTTTAGTCCCAGCACTCGGGAGGCAGAGGCAGGTGGATCTCTGTGAGTTTGAGGCTAGCCTGGTCTACAGAGTGAGTTCCAGGAAAGACTCCAGAGCTACACAGAGAAACCCTGTCTCAAAAAACATATATATATATATATATATATATTCTAAATATATATATATATATTTAAAACATGATAGATAATTGCTGGGATGTGGCTTAGTGGTAGGTGGCTTATATAACATGCACACATGTTACCATACATGCACACATATACACACATATACATAAATGCACACACAGAAAATGACAGATATTTTTTAGAATATTTGAGTACTAACATTTTCCTTTTGGTTTTATATGACAGGATCTCAATGTAATTCTGACTTTCTTGGAACTCTACATAGACCAGGCTGCCCTCAAACTTATGGAGATCTGCCTGCCTCTGCCTATGGAGTGCTGGGATTAAAGGCGTGCACCAGCATACCTGGTCAAGTCCTAACATTTTCAATTCATTGACAAAAGTGTAAAAATGAAACAGTAACTTACTAAATGGGTATAAAGTTCATCTGCAAAAAGGAAACAAAGTTCAGCTAATCAAAACAGAAACATTCACTTCCTTAACCACTGTGCAGTCCAGCTCCTTGATGCCACACAGACCCTTCCGTGTCCAGTACAGTGGTGGAGACAGTGGAACCTGCCTGCTGGCAGCTATGGCTCTGCAGGTGGCCATTACCCACTTGGTAACCAGAGCATTCAACATCAACCCAAATGAGACATTTAGTGGGAACTGCGTGTCAGTATGGTGACCCTGACAGTGTGGAAGGGGAAGGATGTCCTGGAATTGCAGCTGGGGATGAATCCAAGTTCTAGCTTGTTTTTCCTGTGAGGAATGATGCCAAAGAGCCCACATTAAGCGCGGCCAACAATTCATGGGCAGCAGTGAAGGTCGCTATTGAGAACTCCTATGGTGCAACACTGAGAAGCACGTCTGTGTAAGCAAAGCGTTTTCCCTTGATGTCTTCAGCACTCAAGCCTAGGCTTTCACAGCTGAAAGTAACAGGTCTGGGTCTGTGAAAGACCGTGTGCAGGGTGGAAACAGCATGTGAAGTCCCACTGCTGTAGGCAGTGCCCTGGCATGGCTGGTCCTCCTCCTCACTGCCTACCTCATCAGCAGGAAGAGGACTCACTCCAGTTACTAGACCATCTAGCCTGAGGAGGAGGTGCCACAGATACACAGCAGTCTTTTCTCATGTCTGAATTTAGTTAGGTGTGGAAGGGAGACATACTTTCTGGAAAACTTTTTGTTGTTTGTTTGTTTGGAGACGGTTTCTCTGTGTAAGAACCCTGGTTGTCCTGGAACTTGTTCTGGAGATCAAGCTGGCCTTGACTTCAAGAAATCTGCCTGCCTCTGCCTCCCAGTGCTAGGATTAAAGGCGTGCACCATGAAAAGCTTTTTACATCTGCTTTATCAAATGTGAAGTTCATCTTGCAACATTTACTATGCACAGAGGAAGAACTATTGAAATGATGGTGTTGATTTTGCTAACTGGGAAATATTCTACTATTGGTTAAATGTTAATGTTCCCAAAGCAGAGCTCTAAGAAGGGGCTAGCGCTTTTCAGAGTCAGAACAGAGTTGGTGTTTGGTTTCTTCATGCTTTTACTCAGATTTCAGCCTTACAAAGGGAATCTCTGGTCTGAACACGTGGGCCTGCTAAGGAGGCTGATCATTACTGTACACTTTGGAAGCTAGAACGGGAGATCAGGGAAGTCCTACCACACAAGCATTAAAGGGTCAACCTCCGAAATCCGGCTGGGGCACAACTGATAGTGTTTTCTGTGCTCTGCCACCCACAGGCCAGCACTTTTCTAAGTAGAAAAGGGTGTTATTTTTACTTACTTTATGTAAAGCGATTTCCAGTCTTGTGTTGGCATTCAGGGTGGCCCTGTTTCTGCACTGTGTATAATACTGGAGTCACACTGCTGACCTATCCTGTGGCATGGGCAGACTGAACACTGAGGATCAGCTCACATAGTGTATTGCCTGTAAGGATGCTAATACAAAGTCTCCTTGTCTGTCTGGCCTTGTGCTTCTATGATCCACAAGAGAGCCCTGAAGGAGTGCTGATGGTGTTTTGGGAATCTGTGTGGGGAGGCAGGGTACTGCTCATGTGCTCTGGGTTTGGGAGAGTGTTCAGATAGCCAGCTTTCCAGTCAGCACTTGAGAAAACTAAATGGTGTTTTATTTTTTGTTTTTATTCAAGAAATGTATTTGTCATGATTCTAGATACAAAAATAAAAATAAAAAATGTTTACCGGTTAAGGATATTGAATATACAACAGGGGAGTATAATCAAATAAAAAACACCACCACCACCACCACCTAGGCCCCGATACCCAATTACATCTAAATATAAGTTTATGACATGATAACAAGAGATTTCTGAACTAATCATGGCTTTAAAATTACATTGGATCTTAGCTAAGAGCTTGAGAAAAGTGGCCAAGACTTTATTTTTTTAAATTTTATTTATTTATTTATTTTTTTCCGAGACAGGGTTTCTCTGTGTAGTTTTGGTGCCTGTCCTGGAACTCACTTGGTAGCCCAGGCTGGCCTCGAACTCACAAAGATCTGCCTGGCTCTGCCTCCCGAGTGCTGGGACTAAAGGCGTGCGCCACTGCCGCCGGCCAAGACTTTAAAACTAAGACATTTATCAGCTTCCATATTTCTCCTCTCTCAGGTTTTGTCATTGTCATTAATCTCTTATTTGTAGTTGAAGTTTTGTGAGATGAATTAACCATGACTGAATTTTAACTCTTAAAAACAGTCATACTGTTGAGAATATTCTTTGGACAGATGTGAAAAACATTTTCTGGTAATTATTCCTTACTTTGATATTCGTGGCCTAAGAACTATTTTTTTTTCATTTTCTCTGTCTCTGTGTGTGTGTGTGTGTGTGTGTGTGTGTGTGTGTGTGTGTGTGTGTGTATTTGTGTGTGATGGAAGATGATTTGTTGGGGTCTGATCTTTCTTCGCACCACAGGCTGGGAATCAACTCAGGCTATCAGTCTTGGCAGCAAGTGCCATTATCCACTCAGCCAGCTCACTGGCCCAAGAATTTAGATGTGTACAAAATAAACTGTACTCGAGTAAAGACTGGAAGACTGGATTGCATTTCCGGTGAAAGTCATGTTCCTCAAGATAGAAACCAGGTTTGGCATGTTGAGGAATAAATGGAAACTTAGGTAAGAAATTGAACTTAAACAAGAGTATCAGGAACTAGAAAAGGAGACTCAACATGCAAATGAGCTTTTTCTAAAGAAACAGGTGGACTGGAGATATGGCTCAGCAGCAAAATGCTTGCCACACAAGCAACAGGTGTGAGGCCAGGAGCTTGCATGCCCAGGACCAAGGAAATGCCAAGTGGGCGAGGGAGCCACGTGTACTGCAGCCCAGGGAGGCAGAAAGGAACCCTGGAGCAAGCTCACCAGCTAGACTAGCTGTCTGCCAGCTTTGGGTTCAAGCAAGAGCTTTTGCCTCAATGACTAAGGTGGAAAGCCACAGAGGAAGATTCTAAATGTCAGTCTCTGGTCTCCACGTGCACCCATGTGCATACAACACACACACAGACGTGTGGGGAAAAGAGATTAATATGAAACAAGACGATTCAAAGGATATGAGCTAAGAAGAGAGTCTGCTAAACACAGACATTTCCAAGGACCAATGGTACAGAAGGAAAACATTAAATGACAGATTGTGGTCTGAATAGGTATGGCCCCACAGACTCCCGAGTCTGAGTGCTTGGCCTACAGGGAACAGTGGTACACACTTGTAACTCCAGCACTGGGGAGGCAGAGAGGAAGACCCCTGGGGCCTACTGAGTGTGGGTGCTGTATGCATCCATGTGTTGATGTGGGTGTACTGACCCGTGAGTATCGATGTAGAGATCCACGTTCAATGTCCAATGTCAAGTGTTTTCCTGTGCACCATTACAGCTTTGTTCATAAAGTGTTATGGTCGTTGTGAACTGGTAATTCCAAGCTCGTGTGCTGAGACGGTGGCACTGTTTTGGGAGGCTGTGAGACTTTTGGAAGTGGGACCTGGCTGGCTCAGGTAGACCACCAGAGAAAGGCCCTGTTTTCAGTCCTCTCTTCCTGTCCTATTGCTAAGATAAACTCACTGCTGCGACCTCCATCACCACACCTTCTCCATGAGCAAAAGAAAGCCTTCTTCCTAAGCTATCTTTGTCACAGGCGTGAGAAAAACAGCTAATACACAAACACAGGTGGCCCAGAGGTCACAACAGTTAATCTTTCCTCTAGAGCAGGGGTTCTCAACCTTCCTAAGGCTGTGACCCTTTAATACAGTTCCTCGTGTTGCCGTGACCCCCAACCACAAAATTACTTTTGTTGCTACTTTTTTTTGCTTTTTAATATTTATTTATTTATTTATTTATTCATTCATTCATTCATTCATTCATTTATTTATTATGTACAGTATTGTGCCTGCATGTGTCCTTGCAGGCCAGAAGAGGGCACCAGATCTCATTACAAGTGGCTGTGAGCCACCATGTGGTTGCTGGGAATTGAACTCAGGACCTCTGGAAGAGCAGTCAGTGCTCTTAACCACTGAGCCATCTCTCCAGCCCTTGTTGCTACTTTTATGACTCATAATGTAAATATCTGCTATGCAATCCCTGTGAAAGGGTCATTCAACCCCAGAGGGGTCGAAACCGACAGGTTGAGAACCATGCTGTAGAGGGTTTTGGGCAACTACACTTGTGCAGAGTGGACTCAAGTTATTCTGTAGGCATATTAGGTGACAGAATTAATTCGACAGTGCATATTAACCACAGTAAATAACCTCCAGCAAAAAGTCAGAGTGACCTTTCACACAGAACCCACACGCACTTGATTGATGCTGGCTCTGACTAGCTCTGGCGTTGGACAACTTGCAAAGCCAGGCGAAACTAGTGCCAACACTTCCCCAACCTTGGGTGTGCGTCAGGAGACCCTCGAGTCTGCTGTCACTCCAAGCAATGGAAATTTAAGACCCCCCTGCACACCCCGGCCCCTCCTGGAATTTCCTGGTGCATTAGTGCAACCTTAAGAGATACCTTAAGAGGTGTGAAGGCAGAAGAGTGAGGCGGGGCAGCCACACAGCTTACTTGATCCATCCCTGACAGCGACTACATTTCAAACAAAGAAGAGAAGAAACAGAAGCAGCATGTGAGTTAGCAAATGTCAGGCAGGCAAAGCTAAGAGGTCAAATTAGCAGAGGGAAGGTCATCAACAAACTTTTAAACTGTCTACTAAGATACTAGGGCTGACAGAGAAGAGCTGGGAAAACCTGCATCATGTAATCATTTAGACAGCAGAATTTTTCCACCTACATAATTCAGAATAATCTCATGACCTCAGATCACATTAATCTATAATCAAGAAGCATTATTCTAGTTTTATAGCTGTTAGTCATAGAAAATAAAAAAGACAAGCAAATGTTTCAGAACTCATGTTTCCCATATAGACATCTTGTAATAAAAAGAGGCATTTCTTAATAAAAATTATTTTGTCTTAAGACATCTGTGATTTTAGCATAACACCTTTGAAACTAATGTGACTTCTATTGTTCTGTGAAAAGGGAAATAAATACATCCAGAGAATTCATTTTTAATGAGGCAGGGCTGGCATAAATCAAAATATTTCTGAATATTAATCCAAGTTCTATTGGGGAAGAAACAGGACACAAGGATTCTGCTTCACACTGTAAAGACGACCCCTCATTTCATCTCTGTATCTGTGAAACTCCAAATGACCAGAATTTCAAGGAGGTAAAGTGTAATCTTACTTTTATTTGACTCCTTTATCTTTTTACAAACTCTTCATGTGTAAGATGTGAAGTGTGTGGAGGAGTACCATGATGGAGTCAGAGGACAACCTGGGTTTTGGTCCTCACTTTCCACTTTTTTTAAAAACAGGGTCATCAGCTGCTGCACAATCAGTTTACAGAGAGTGTGTGCATTCACTCTCACTGCAGGGCACAGGGGTTACAGAGAGTGTGTCTGCATTCACTCTTACTGCTGGGCACAGGGGTTACAGATGCACTACTGTGTCCAGCATTATGTGGCGTCCAGGGATCAGATTTGCACACAAGTGCTTCACTCCCTGAGTCTGTCAAGTAGCCCAGGCTAGCTGGCCAGCAAACCTTGGGGATCCACCTCCACATGGCCCAGTACTAGAATTATAAGTGTGCACCATCATATCCGGCTTTTTAAAGTGGGTGCTGTATAAAACACAGGTCTTTATGCATGCAAGGCAAGTATTTTACCCACTGAGATATCTCCTCATGAACACAGTGCCTCCCCAATCATACAATGATTTAGGAGTGTTTTGCCTTAATGTATGTGTGTTCACCATATGCACCATTTGTGTGCCTGATGTCTGCTGGAGGTCAGAAGGGCATCAGATCCCTTGGCAGTAGAGTCACATACAGTGTGAGCCACCATGTGGGTGCTGGGAACCAAACCCAAGATGTCTGCAAGAACTCTTAATTGCTGAACCATCTCTCTGGCCCCAGGACAGCCATTTCAAAGATGGATGCTTAAGCAGATCCTTGATGAGTGAGCATGAATCAATCAGGGAGTGTAGGTAGAGAGGAAAGCAGTCCATGCAGAGAGAATAGCATTACAAAGAGCCGAGGACAGGGCTTTTCACATCTGAGGAACTAAAGAAAAGAAGGAGATTTTGAGCGAGCTCAGAGATAAGGATGGAGACTGAGTATCCAGAACACACAAGTTTCACTCAGGCTATACTGTAAAATGTAGACTTTAAGAGCAATATGAACCCTCTGAAGAACAGATCTGAGAAGGTCAGAGATGAAATTTAACTTTTTTCTTCTCTCTCTCTGAGATAGGGTAGCTGACCTTTGACCTTGAACACCCACATCCTCACTGTCCAGCTTTTGTACAATGTTGGCTGGATACTGTTTATCATACAAAGAAGTGGGAACTTTGCTTTTATCTTGTTATTTATTTGGGTGTTTTTGAGGGTCTTGCCACATAGTCCAAGCATGCCCTGCCTGAACTATGTTTGCAGTCCAGGATGGACTTGAACTTGAGGTAAACCTCTTGCTTATGCCTAGCCTCCTAAGTGCTGGAAGTACAGGAGTACATTACAACACCCGAAAGTATTTGTTTTCAAGGCCATCTAAATCATGAAATCAGGCCTGACCATCAACAGCCAAAACGCAAGGCTTTGTGTTCTGGCAATGGCTAAAGGCTATTTTAGATTTCATGCTAAGGGCATTTTGCTATTGTTGTTCTTCCAAATTCTACTTTTCCTTTTACAAAAATATCTGGACACTCGGACTTTTATCACTTACTCTATGTGCTATTAAATCTCATCTTTGGTTTCCTATCATGCCTTCAGTTTTAGCATGGAAGGCAACCCAGCATGGGTATTTACTACAGGCCTTGGATTAGCCTGATGTAGATTCAAACCCAGCTCTGGACTTACCAGCTCTCGACCTTGATCAAGCCACACCTGGGTAAGGTATTCTCTGTCTCACTAAATCAGTAGCAGTGAGTTTAACCTTAATTTTTAAGGATGTTGTGAGAACTGAGTGAAATAATTGGCATCAGAGACCCTCAGCATTTCCTATATAAATTAGTTTTCACTTCTGGTGGCAGTTAATTTCTGCTAATACTCCAGAGGCTGGTCATCATGGTCACTGTTAAGATAGCCCAGTGAATACATACTTTATCCATCTTAACAGAAACGAAGACTGCAGGATACAAAGAACTTTGAGGACCAATGCAAGTTCCACTGTAAGGACCTTTACACTAAAGCCTGTGATTTGCACAGCACACACGATGGCAGTTTCTAGCACTTAAGATAAGGACTTGCTACAGACATGAAATTTTTACTATAAAATAAAAAACTATAAAAATAATAGCATAAAACATGATGAGAAAAGCAATTTTACAAATGTTAGAATTCTCTTTCAAGACTGACAGAGAACACTTGAAATAAAGCCTTCATGTTATGTTCACTTTAGGTGGCTAAAGCAACAGCCAATGAAGGACAGCAGTACTGAAAACAGTACTCAGTAGACAGTGCTCCAGTTAACGCTCTCCTGAGTTAAAAATGAGCGTGGAACAACAACCTTCAAATACAAACACTTCAACTTCAAGCTTATAAACAAAGCCTTTGTCGCCACTTCTGCAACCAGAAGGTTTTTCCAGTGCCGGTGTGCATGTGTGATACTGCATGTGTGATACTGCATGTGTGATACTGCTTGTATTTGCAAGAGGGTGGGAGGGCATTCTGTAAAAATGAAAACAACAAAAAACAAATACAAATACGTGATAAAATAGGTTGCCACAGATAGTGTCATGGAGTGTGGGACTCCATTTAACACTCAGGGGTGACTCATGAGCCAAATTAATGATTAACAAGATGCCCTCAGAATCAGAAAAGGCATTTAAAAAACTGATTAAGACATTAAGTCTCGTCATATATAAAGCCAGTAGGGGTCTCAATGCCAATATTTTCCCTTGAGAAGCACTGGAAAGGTGTATGAGTCAAACTCTAGAAGCCTGGCTAGATTACAAAGTTAACGGAAAGAGCAGTTCTGTTATTTATAAAGCATTTAGTGACGGTGCCCATCATGTTTTATGGTATTTACATCAATGCTGAGTGTAAAGCACAACAGCTAGAAACAACATGAACTCCATCGTGCACATTCTCTTACCACTAACAAGGCACTATCATCAGTGTGCTGAGACCTTCGGGATGGGAAGGGACACTGGGAAGGTGAAGAAAACGAAGCAATGTCAAAAACAAACGATGTACACAAGTGACACATTTCACAAGTACATACACAGGAAAGCAACATATGAAGGCACGTTTCCAAAGATGCTGACACACAGGACCACATGCATCACCTGTAGTTCACGCACCATCACAGTCAGTAGGTTGACTCTGAGTACTGACTTCCTCCTAGAGACCTTAAGCAACGTCAAATGAGACCTCACTGCCTACACACCTGCTAAGCTCAGGCACGGGGATGATTCTGCTCACAGAGAACAGTGGGGACTGATATAGCTACAGCATCAAGAATCTGTGTTCGTCTGTAAACCTAAGAGTTGTGATTTCTGGTCTAGGCATCTTTTCATGGCCTTTCTCAGGCAAGTAAGCAAATGCAAGCTGGTGTATTGGCACCAAACACTTGGGGAGTGGGGTCAGGGGTAGCAAGAATTCAAGGTCATCACCTTACACAGTGAGTTTGAGTACTGGCTGGGCTACATGGGACATTATCTCAAACAAGAAAAAAAAGAAGAAAAAGAAAAAAAACAAAAACAGAAATATTGAAGTAAAAAAAACTTTACACATATATACATAATATATACATATATATGTATATATATATATATATATATTAAGTTCATCAAACTTTCAAACTTCGGTTGCTAAAAGTTTGTACAATTATCACTCTGAAGACAACTGAAAATACACGCGTGATTCTTTAAGGTCTCACGCCACATACAAAGTGTTTATACAGAAGTAAATCAAAACAGTTACTAAGAACTGGCTTCAAAAACCACGTGCTATAAAAAGCTCCAATTAGGTTTGACACTTGTTTATTTAGAGTGTGTGTTTGTGTTCCCATGTGCATGTACCACAGCACACATGTGGAGGTCAGAGGACAACCGTGGGAGTCAGGTGTCATCTTCTAGCCAGTGGGTTCTGGGAATTCGACTCAGACTGTCATCAGGCTTGGCAGAAGGAGCCCTGCTTGCTGAACCATCTTGCCCACCTTCCATTAAGTTTTCAAATACTGCACTTTACAAAATCAAATAGAGCAATCATCATAAATTGAAAAATATAGGAGGTAAAAATGAAAGTCAACTATCCTAAAATACATTCATTTAGTAATCTTCACTTTAGCAGACCAAAATAGGCACAAAAAATTTAAACAGTTAAGCAATTAATGGTAAATATTTTATTTGTAATGAAACTGTACAGGCTGATCTAGAACTAACACATATGAGTTCTAACAAGGAAATAAGCACTGAGCTGAAATGCAGCAGTCTCTTTGGTTGAGCACCAAAATCATTCACTTGCAAAGAAGGATGATTCAGGCTGCAGGTGAGGGAGGGGATGTAATCTCTAAGATGGCTGTATATACAGCCCTAACCTAACCTATGTATTCTCATAACCTCCTTCCTTATCCTGTACCTTACTTTCCTTCATATATAGACTTTTGTGGAGGGGGAAAAAAGACAATTTGGGGGAGCAGGTTGGTTTGAGATGAGGGTTTCTTTATATAGCTCAGGGTAGCCCAGTATTTACTATGTAGCTTAGGCTAGCCTTGAACTCTTAAGCCCCCTGCCTCTGCCTTCCAGGTGATGGAATTTTGGACATGTGTCACTACACCAGGCAAAAAAGCCTTTTTTTGATCATTTAAACATTTTGATCACTGAAAACATGATAATCACATGCTAAACATTTCATTTCCATTGCTAAAATAATGAATTCCAAGAAAAGTAATTATCTGGACTTACCTCACCATCTCCGGGGGGTTGCTGTTTCTGTGGACTTTGTGATGCTTTCTGCTATATGCCCAGAAAGAGGAAGTTAGTTAGAATCTCAACACTGGAACTTACACAGTCCATTTAATTAAATGGTCCCCATCCATTTATCTCTTATATTTACTAGTTAAGGAGATTATGCTCCTGTCTTAAATGTTTTAGTTTAAATGAAGAACAGCAATAAACTATACTATCATATTTTTATAAGCATAAATAGAAAAAATGAAAAACCTACACAGACACATTCAGAGTATCGTGAATACTCTCTTATGAACTCATTCACTCAACTGGCTTTACATATTTCTTCCTAATTTTATCTCAGTGATTATTCATTGTTCAGTACCCATCAATTTAGAAACTTCCCATATGCTTAATTTCCAAAGGGCACAGCACCTGCCACAGTAATATTAAAAGTTTAATGTCGTACATGGGGGCACAGAAGAGCTCAGAAGCACACAGTGACACAGGCAGGCACAAGCTCAAACACTTCCAACTCTCCTTGGCAACACTGCCAACCAAGTGCAGAGGTTACACCTTCTTTTCGTACCAGTCTAATTACTACAGTTACTTTCTATTCCATTTCCCCCTTTTGTTTCTTTCCAGACTGTTCTGATATGAGAAGATGGATTTTTCAGAAAGATCTTTCTTCTCATGTTTTTCTCCTGCCTAAGAACTTAAAATTTCTTTCTTCTGCTTACTAGATGAAACTCTTGGGAAATTAGTTTGCTCAATCTGATAGTATGACTATTTACCTCCTATTAGCTGTTAAACTTCTACAAAAGGCAAGCTAGCTGAGCTCCCAATAGCACCTGAGGTACAGTGGTCATTATGGATTACTGAGGGGCCATACAGCAGTCTAGACAGAGGGGCGTCTTTAGAGCTAGCTGGCTTCACTAGAATCCCCACTCGAGTACTAGCTGGGCACCTCAGGCCAACCGCTTTGCTTCATGCAGCTCAATTTTCTGATCCATAAAAAGAGGACAATGATAATTCCTTATTATGAGATTATTGGGAAGATTAAATGAAGACAGAGAAAGAGAGAGACAGAGGCCAGGCGTGGTGGTGCATATCTTTAGTTCCAGCACTCAGGAGGCAGAGGCAGGCAGATTTCTTGAGTTCGAGGCCTGTCTGGTCTACAGAGCGAGATCCAGGACAGCCTGGGCTACACAGAGAAACCCTGTCTCGAAAAATCAAATACAAAGCAAACGGGGGAGTGGGGGGAGACAGGGGCAGAGCCAGAGACACTGCTCCACACCATGTCTGGTGTGCAGAGAGCATTCAGGAAACTCTGTAAGTCCACTGTTACCGCTGTCACCATCTTATCACGTCACTGGCTTCTGCGGTCTTCAGTCCAGTTCTAAACTAGCTGCTGTTGTCCTCAAGCGCCACTATGTCAAGTGTGTAAGTTATGGAAGAGCATTGCTAGCTCCTAAACTACCCACAGCCTCTCAACCTGTAACGCCACAGACCCGTTCCTAAGATAACACATCACATCCTTCTGAGGTCAGTGCTGAGGACACGCTCTCTAGTTTCTTCTTTGCCTTGATATAAACCCTGTGCTTTCATGGCAAGCTGTTTTCTTTGACTTCTGTACTCACTGTTCCCTGACAAGACTTCATTAGATTGCGCCTTGTATTTTATTTACCTTTACAGGCCTATCACCAGCACTCCCTCAAGGCCTATCAAATCAGTGAGTGATCACATGATCACATGAGTCAAGTAAGGCTTTAGGAAACCTAGGTTTGTTGTCTGACCACGATTAACCTACTCTATGTGGGACCAGTGCTTCACTTCTGGAGAGCTGCAGCTTCCTCTGTGAAACACAAACATTCTCATCTTCCCTGTTACAAATATAAAATAAATGGACATCGAGTCTTGACTATGTTTTAAGTCTTTTTTTGGTAACAAGTCAGATAAAGACTTATGGAAGAGAGCAATGCTTGACAAATGAGGAGAAATAGTGTGTAGTAATAGATGATTTGGGCAAAATCATGACAGGGGGTAAAAAAGTGTGAGCAAACAGACATTTTAACTACCTACATCTCAGAGATAAGAAGGCACAAAAGAAGGCGAGAGGGCCTGGGAGGCGACAGGCCTGGGTGAGGTCACTTTTCAGACCTCCACAAACTTGTTTCTAGGAATACTGAGTTTAGCTTTTGTCACTGGACAAATGATTTCCCTAAATTTTGACAGAAACAGTAGGCAGTGGTTCCAGTGAGGAGGAGGACCACCATCATCCCAGGACTGAAACAGCTGGGGGTTGGGGTTGGGGTGGTAGTGGGGACAGATAGACACAGGGCTGGAGAGGTGGCACAGGGTTAGGAGCACTGGGTGTCCTTGCAGGGGATCTGGGTGTGGTGCTCAGCAACCACATGATGGCCTACAACTCTGTTCCACAAGGTCTGAAACCTTCTTACATCCAAGGGCCCCAGGCATACATGCAGTACACACACACACATACATGCAGGCAACATACATATACAATCAATAAATATAAAGGAAGAATTCATCATGTAAAATAATAAAACAAAAATGCATAGAGCAGTTTCAAAAAATGATCTAAAATTCTAAAACACCGGAGAGAAACTTTTCTAGGCAAGAATGACTCATTCAGCAAAAATCTCTGAGCTTTTCTACAGAATCAAACCTACTAAGTTCTAGTGAGCAAAACAGACAGTTCCTGTCTTGAAGTTTGCAAATGAATAGGAGAGACATATTAAGTGAACAAAATTATAAATAGTTAATTACTTATTAAGTATTGATTACTTAATAATTCCAAAGATGATTTCAAAACGAAAAAACAAACCATACAATCAAAATTTGTTTTCCATAGTACTCCGACTGCACTACAGACGCTATAAAATAGCCACAAAAGAAATGGTAACGGGGTGTCCTTGCTGAGCAGGTATAAAAACAGGAAGGAGCCGGGCGGTGGTGGCGCACGCCTTTAATCCCAGCACTCGGGAGGCAGAGGCAGGCGGATCTCTGTGAGTTCGAGGCCAGCCTGGTCTACAGCACGAGATCCAGGAAAGGCGCAAAGCTACACAGAGAAACCCTGTCTCGAAAAACCAAAAAAAAAAAAAAAAAAAAAAAACCAGGAAGGAAGGAAAGAATCAGAGACCATGAAAGAACGAAGCCTGGGAGCCTCCCAACAAACAGCATTTGCTACAGGAAAGATTTAGAGACATGTTTGGAGGATAACAGTTTGGAATTCACATGGCACTGACACTTTCATGATCTTTTGGTTTTTTTTTTTTTGATTTTCCGAGACAAGGATTCTCTATATAATAGTCCTAGCTGTCCTAGCTCTCACTCTGTAGACCAGGCTGTCTTCAACTCACAGGGATCCGCTTGCTTCTGCCTCCCGAGTGCTGGGATTAAAGGTGTGCGCCACCTCTGTCTGGCCACTTTCAAGATCTTTACTACACCTGAGATGGGAGATCCAGCATCCCCATAGTAAGGTGGTTAGAATAATGGTTTCTACTGGCCTATAACCAGTCATGACTATGGCTATGGGAGACAGTCACTCTATCTTTAGTTGCGATTCCTTATGAGAGAAACAACTGGTCCTTCAATTAAGGCAATAATAACTGACAGTTTTGGCAAAATGAATAAACATTTACTTCTCTTAAGGTCAAGATTATCTGTCAACAATGGTAACGAACTTACTCTGACAAAGTCCAGGACAGCATCTCTCTGAATCTGCTTGGTCCTTATTTTCTCCTCCTCATACTGCAGGGCTGCAAGCTGTGCCTCTCTCCGAGTGCACTCGACCGACGGTTCTCTCCTCTGATGAAGCTCTAGGTCTGAATGTGAAAGCTGTAAGAGAGATTTCATTTGGGACATGCAAGCGAGGATAGGGTCAACATGTCAATAACTGGTATCAATATAAAGAATGCTGCTAACTCAAGGTTTATTTTACAGAACTAACATTTTAAAAAATTCACTGTTCTTGTATGTATGAAAGCAGGAACTATCATGTACACATGTTACATGAACTAACTGAGAAGACAAATAGATTTAGAGATATCTGGAAATTAATGGCAGTTTAAATACTATAAAAGAAAACTGGGTTGGCAAGAAAGCTCAGCCAGTAAAGGTGCCTGCCATCAAAACCTAATGACCTGAGTTCAATTCCAGGAACCCACGTGATGGAAGAACCAACTCCCCAAAGTTGTCCTCTTATCTCTACATGCATGCTGTGGGATGTGCACGCATAGGCACACGAAGTGCACATATACACATATACATAATAAATATTAAAAAATTAAAAGAAAGTCATCTTAGGTTAGCAAAATCAAAACTGAAATAACAAAGCTAAATCTAATAACTAAGCTAGATGGTGGTGGCATATGCCTTTACTTCTAGCACTTGGGAAGCAGAGGCAGGCAGACCTCTGTGAGTCTGAGGCCAGCCTGGTGTCTACAGAGTGAGTGCCAGGACACCCAGGGCTACATAGAGAAACCCTGTCTTGAAAAACCAAACAACAACAACAAAATCTAATAGTTAAAAAAAACTTACCCAATTGTGACTTGGTGGCAGTGATAAGACAGATGGTGGCTCAACTGGAACCCTAACTCCCCAAAAGGAAAATAAGAACTCATTAACAAGAAGATAAGGAACAAGTGGAATTCTCATTGTTAACAGAAGTTTCTGTCAATCAGTAGGCAACTTGTTGAGTCAGCATTGAAAGAGTACCTGCATTTGGTAAACCAAAGCCCAAGAAACTGTATTAAACCACAGGTCTGCCTGATGTCCCCAACTTGCATATCATGTAATGGTACCACTGACGGCTAGCTAACCACTGTCCATGCCAGCCAATACTGATGATAGCTGGTTGGAGCACTTTTCAAACAGCATCATTTTTTTTATAACACCTAGAGCCCTTACCCACTTTCCTACCATCACAAAAACAAGAGATGTGTAACTGAGATCCTTTGATGGACACAGCCATTTTATCCACAGAAACCTGGGCTGCGCAGAACCTGGGGACTATACTTACAAAGCATCTTAAGTAACAAAGTAATGATTCTATTGAATTTCATTCTGAAGGAGAAGGTAAGGTCCTACGTGATGCTTAACAAACACAGACAGCACGACTCTCCTCGACTCTACACTTTGGTATTTATCTTCTTCCTCAGGCTCTGTAAATCATGTGTTCTGCTGACATCAGTAAGCTAGTAGGCAAACAGAAGCAAACTTTCGAAGCTGTTCTAGTCTCAACACCTGAAAACGGAATTGTTTTCTTGCTAGTGCTCAAAGTCAAACTCGGGCTCCACTCTTTAATCTGGCTTTAGGACTGTCACCTCACCTAATGTGCCTATCTTTTCACATGCTAAGGACACAGATTTCAAGTCTTTTCTAAAGACTCTGTGCCTGTCAGTTTTTATGTCAATTTCACACAGGCTAGTCACTTGGGAAGAAGCCATTACTGAGAAAATGCCCCCACAGATTTGCCTACAGACACATCTGTGTGCCACTTCCTTAGTGTTTGATGTGGGAGGGCTCAGCCCGCTGCGGGTGGTGCCACCCTAGGCAAGGGGTTCTGGAGTGTATAAGAAAGCAGGCTGAGCAAGCCAGTAAGTATCCCAACTCCATGGCTTCTGTTTCAGGTCCTACTTCCAGGTCCCTAGCTGATTTCCTGCCCTGGCTTACCTCACTGATGGACTTATAAACTAAGGTGAAACAAACCCTTTCCTTCTCAAGTTGCTTTCAATTGTGATGTTTTACCACAGCAACAGAAATGCCAAGACAGACTGGAGAACATCTCAAAAAGGTCTCTTCTTTTAGTTTTTCAAGACAGAGTTTCTCTGTGTAACAGCTATGGCTATCCTGGAACTCACTCTGTAGACCAGGCTGGCCTCAAACTCACAGAGATCCACCTGTCTCTGCCTCCTGAGTGCTGGGATTAAAGGCGTGTGCCACCACTGCCTGGCAAAAAAAGGTGTCTTCTTAAATATTATTTTTATTTAAAACTGGGATTGTTCCCCGTAAGAGTTGTATAGTACTGATTGACTGATTTTGTGTATGTGTGTGCTTGTATACAGCAGTGTATGGAAATCAGAGGAAAACTTGTGTGAGTCCATTCTCTCCTCCACTATGTGGATTCCAGGAATTAAACTGACGGTGTCAGGCTTGGTGGCAAGTGCATTTACCTGCTGAGCCATCTTGTTGACTCAGAACTTCTCCCTTTGATACACTTGTGAAATCAAGTTTTTTCATTTACAAAATAAAGCTTGTATCATTTTTTTCTTTTCCTTTTTTTTTGTTTTGTTTTTTGTTTTTTGGAGCTGAGGACCGAACCCAGGGCCTTGCACTTGCTAGGCAAGCGCTCTACCACTGAACTAAATCCCTAACCCGCTCGTATCATTTTTTAATATAATGTCTTTCTGGGACAAACAGAAACAAATACTCATTGAGTTCTTACCATGTACTACTACATATCCACTGTATTAAGAATTTCCCACATACTATGTGTTTCTTGATTATGCCTCACAATAATCCTATGAACAAAGAACTACTATAATCCTCAGCTGAAAACTAAGAAATTTCAGCCATAGAAACAGTGACTCTCCCAAGGTGATACAGTCAATAAGTTGTAGAGTTAAACTTGAATCGTGTTATTTGATTTTATATTCTCAACTACCATGAGATCTATGAGAACTGAAAGGGACTTTGGGTACTGTGCTGTATAAGCCATTACTTTTACAACTGAGAAAAATGAGCCCCTTGGGGCTTAATGGTAGCTACATATGTCAGATCCTGAACTAGAACCCAAACTTTCTAGTGAGTAGTTTAGAGTTCCTCCTACTCTATCATCCCCACTCAATACAGAGAAGTCTAGAGCTCCTCCTACTCTATCATCCCCACTCAACACAGAAGTCTAGAGCTCCTCCTACTCTATCATCCCCACTCAACACAGAAGTCTAGAGCTCCTCCTACTCTATCATCCCCACTCAACACAGAAGTCTAGAGCTCCTCCTACTCTATCATCCCCACTCAACACAGAAGTCTAGAGCTCCTCCTACTCTATCATCCCCACTCAACACAGAAGTCTAGAGCTCCTCCTACTCTATCATCCCCACTCAACACAGCAGTCTAGAGCTCCTCCTACTCTATCATCCCCACTCAACACAGAAGTCTAGAGCTCCTCCTACTCTATCATCCCCACTCAACACAGAAGTCTAGAGCTCCTCCTACTCTATCATCCCCACTCAACACAGAAGTCTAGAGCTCCTCCTACTCTATCATCCCCACTCAATACAGAGAAGTCTAGAGCTCCTCCTACTCTATCATCCCCACTCAACACAGAAGTCTAGAGCTCCTCCTACTCTATCATCCCCACTCAACACAGCAGTCTAGAGCTCCTCCTACTCTATCATCCCCACTCAATACAGAGAAGTCTAGAGCTCCTCCTACTCTATTATCCCCACTCAACACAGAAGTCTAGAGCTCCTCCTACTCTATCATCCCCACTCAACACAGCAGTCTAGGGCTCCTCCTACTCTATCATCCCCACTCAACACAGAAGTCTAGAGCTCCTCCTACTCTATCATCCCCACTCAACACAGAAGTCTAGAGCTCCTCCTACTCTATCATCCCCACTCAACACAGAAGTCTAGAGCTCCTCCTACTCTATCATCCCCACTCAATACAGAGAAGTCTAGAGCTCCTCCTACTCTATCATCCCCACTCAATACAGAGAAGTCTAGAGCTCCTCCTACTCTATCATCCCCACTCAACACAGAAGTCTAGAGCTCCTCCTACTCTATCATCCCCACTCAACACAGCAGTCTAGAGCTCCTCCTACTCTATCATCCCCACTCAATACAGAGAAGTCTAGAGCTCCTCCTACTCTATTATCCCCACTCAACACAGAAGTCTAGAGCTCCTCCTACTCTATCATCCCCACTCAACACAGAAGTCTAGAGCTCCTCCTACTCTATCATCCCCACTCAACACAGAAGTCTAGAGCTCCTCCTACTCTATCATCCCCACTCAATACAGAGAAGTCTAGAGCTCCTCCTACTCTATTATCCCCACTCAACACAGAAGTCTAGAGCTCCTCCTACTCTATCATCCCCACTCAACACAGCAGTCTAGGGCTCCTCCTACTCTATCATCCCCACTCAACACAGAAGTCTAGAGCTCCTCCTACTCTATCATCCCCACTCAACACAGAAGTCTAGAGCTCCTCCTACTCTATCATCCCCACTCAACACAGAGAAGTCTAGAGCTCCTCCTACTCTATCATCCCCACTCAACACAGAAGTCTAGAGCTCCTCCTACTCTATCATCCCCACTCAACACAGAAGTCTAGAGCTCCTCCTACTCTATCATCCCCACTCAACACAGAGAAGTCTAGAGCTCCTCCTACTCTATCATCCCCACTCAACACAGAGATGCTGAGAAAGGGAAGTGCTCTGGGACTTAAAAGTGGAGCACTATACACACTGAAGAAACACGCACCTGTAATGTCAACAACTAAGCTGTGAGAAGTTAAAGACGGAGAGCAAGAGGGAAGCTCAGTTTATTCAAGAGCCAGTGAAGATGACACCTGGGCCACAGTGTGTTAGCTGTCCTACAGCATCACTTGGCATACTGTGGGCCCACTACAGCCTGGTTCCTGCTGGTGTGTCACTGTCATACTTCCTGTCACATGACTTTTTAATTTATGGATGGGTCTAGACAATAGTATCACTTACATTTCACATAAGATAATTCTTAAGAATGTCCCACATATTAGAGGTGGCTCAGCCTTAGATATGATAGTAGCACCTACAGTCATTTTGGGAACTGATTCCCAAAAGGAATAAATACCTTTTCAAATAGCCTCTTAGGAGTAGTGCTGAATTTTGTTGAGGAACACTGGCCTATTTTATACTTCCAGAATTTTTTTATTATTGTGACTGACTGAGTCTGGGGCCCCCACCCCTAGACTTCTCTAATGGCCATAGGGGCCGTTTTGAGCCCCTCAAAGTAAGAGAGTGGCCAGACCCCACCCTAAAGAAAAAAAAAAAGCCCAAGATCAGGCCACAAAATCCCACCAATCCCTGAGCTTGTTCCAAGATCAGGCCACAAAATTCCTCCAATCTCAGGCCACTCTGGAAAGCCCTGCCCCATTAGAAACTCTACATAAAGCCTGCCTCCTGTCCAGTTCTTTGCTGCTTCTCTCCCACGGAGAGGCAGCCACCCTCCCTCCTGGGTCTTTCCCAATAAATCTCTTGTGTGAAGTTTATTATGTGGTGTGACTTTGTGGTATTCCTTGGCTCCCAACTGCCAGGATACCTTTTCCCTCAGAGCTAGCTGTAACACAACAGTGATCCAGCTCAGTAGAAAAGATGCTTGTCACTAAGCCTGACAATGTTGAGTTTGATCCTGGGAATCCACATGGTGGAAGGAAGGAGAGAAGTGACTCCCTACAAATTGTTCTCTAGTGTCTAAACACATACATGGTGTGTACACACACACACACACCAAACAAACCAACAAACCAAAAACAAGGATTCAATTTAAAACTAAAAAGCAAGCAAAAATTTAATTGACATTGCTGTTCGTTTTCTCTCCCCTTTTGTTACTGGTAAATGCCTACTCTCCAGACAGGTTCATTTGGCCTTTGCTATTTAGACCCACATCCAAGACATACATCTCTAAAAAAAGTAACAGAGGCAACAGGGAATAGCCTTAGTTAGTGTATGAGCACTGCCTAATATTTGCTTAGGGAATAATCTGATAATTATTAGTTATATCTATAATTATATATATTTAATAATTATATATATACTTATTAGAATATCCTTAGTATATGAGCATTGCCTATATTTGCTTTGGGAATAATCTGATAATTAATAATTCCTATATATTGTTATAAACCCAATGAATTAGGAAAGCTACTTAAGTCTGCTGGGCTTTAATATCTTCATTTATAAAGTTAGGGTAATTACATGTACCTCTATGATAGGTTATTAAAACCAAATAAGATACTGCAGGACTGGGGAGGTGGCTGGGTTGGTAAATTATTTGCAAAGTAAGCACTGGAAAGTGAGTTCAGCCCCCAGAACACACATAAACAGTGGTGAGCGCTTATAATCCTGGTGTTGGAGAGGTGGACACAGGATCTCTGGGGCTTGTAGCCAGCCAGCTTGTCTCATCAGCAAATGGAGAATTCCAGGACAGCCAGAGACCCTGTCTCAAAATAAGCTGGATGTGTTCCTGGGGAACAACACCTGAGGTTGTTTGGCCTCTACATGCATGCACACACATGTGCATGCACACCTGGATACACATTGCATCCCCCAAACATACATGTTCATTCACACACAAAAGATATTACAGGTCCTCATAGACCATAAAAACATACTGCAATGACTACATGTTTAGGATGACAGGAATTAATGACATCTTTGTCCCAGCTTTCGTACTGTGATGGCGGAAACTTCCTACAGCCTTTTATTAGCCATCTGTGGATGAGCTGAACCCAAACAAAGGAAGGACCAACAAGACCCATCCCCAGGCCTATGTGTTCTCCCCTGAGTCATTCTGAATCATTTAATATATACCTAGTCCTACTCGATTGCTCTCATTTTTCAAACAGAAGCTAAGGAAGGACTCCAACACTGCACGGTGTTTTTAGGCCCTGCCTTCTTTTGCACATTTGGAGACGGTCTCACTAAGTTGTCTAAGTCAGCATTGAACTTTCAATCCTTTTACTCCAGGCCCTGAGCGCCTGGGATTCCAGGTCTGTGCTCAGCTCCTACTGTATTTCTTTACCATCCTTTTATACTTGACTTTCTTTTAAGAAACCAGTCAAACCCAGTCTCCATTTTGTAAGGTTTACGTTCCCTGGCCCGCTTGAGCAGCAAAGCTCTCTCTGCCCGTGGTGAACACTGTAAGGCAGCAGCAGGCCTGGTCCTCACCCAGCCCAGGGCACCTGTGATATGAGGCACTTCCTCCTTGTCTCTTTTTCTTCTGCGCAGTTTCTGTGTTTGATTTATCTACGCATTTTCTCTGCTGTGCTTCCTGGCATTGGGACTGCTGACTGACGGCCAGCTGTGCTGCCCTTTCCACTTTGTGGTTCTTGGAGGCAATGATGTGAGCAATCTCAGCACAGTAAGGTCTGCTGCACACCAGCAGCACTTCCAGCTCCTAGCCACTGTGGACCAGGAACTCCCAGAAGCCACTGGAGAGCATGCTGTTGCTCCTGTAACTGATGCTGGGCACCAGAGTTTGGCCCCAGATCTTCTCTGCACCCTAATGTCAATACATCTGGCTTTCTGCCAGTTTTGCCTAATTTTGACACATCTGCCAAGTGAACTTATTGGTCTTCTTTTTGGCGATCTTTGGCTTCATCAGATGCTGAAGGGTAGCCAGGATGCTGCTAAAGAGATGGCAGCTATCTTGAAGGCTGCACAGAGGAAGAATGAAGTCTTCTCTATTTTTAAAATCATCTTTTCCATTTTAGCCTTCTAGACATTGTCCTCTGTCTTCCATTCCTATGAGCTCTCCTGCTCAGGCTCTTTCGCCAGGTGTTTAAGCTCCAAGTTCTCCATATCTCTTGTGTATCTAACTGCTTACTCAAGTGTGTGCCTAATAGGCAATTATAGAAAATGACCATATCCATCCTGAGATAAATTCCAAAGTATATAAAACTTAACTAAACCTCTAAGAGATAAGTGATGAATATGAAAGGCCAAGTTATAAAATTTTTATATTCGGGGCTGGAGAGATGGCTCAGTGGTTAAGAGCACTGACTGCACTTCCAAAGGAACTGAGTTCGAGTCCCAGCACCCACATGGCAGCTCACAACTGTCTGTGTTTCTTCAGTTTCAGGGGACCCAACACCCATGGCAAAACACCAATGCACATAAATTAATTTTTTTTCTTATTCATTATTCTTCCTACATTTTCTTTATTTCATCTACATCATAGTTCCTGAGACGACATTAGCATGCTGTTTGGTATAAAGACCTATAGGTGGATGACTGATGGTATATAGTAAATTCACTGTCATTTAAGAACAGATATATCGGCCGGGCGGTGGTGGCGCACGCCTTTAATCCCAGCACTCGGGAGGCAGAGGCAGGCGGATCTCTGTGAGTTCGAGGCCAGCCTGGGCTACCAAGTGAGTTCCAGGAAAAGGCGCAAAGCTACACAGAGAAACCCTGTCTCGAAAAACCAAAAAATAAAAAAAAAAAAAAAAAAAAAGAACAGATATATCAGCTGAGTCTGGTGGCACATGCCTTTGATTCCATGAGGGAGAGGCAGGTGGATCTCTGAGTTCAAGGCCAGCCTGGTCTACAGATTGAGTTATAGGACAGCCAGAGCTACACAGAGGAGCCCCAACTTGAAAAACAAAAACAAAAAAAGAACAGATATATTCAGTCTACTGTTTTTAAGATTTCATACACAAAGACCAAAGAGTGAAAAAAAAATTAACTCCTGTGATACAGTTTATAGTCAGGAACATGTTAGAATTCTAGAGTGAAAAACAGCATTGAGCTAATTTGAGGAATATGGATACTCTAAGCACCGTGGAGAGACTGCATACACTGAAGTAAGAATGAAAACGCATATATATAGCCTGCTGTTACCCAGGCAAAGATCTAAGTCACACAGCGGGGCTTCTCAAAACTATTTAAATTTTCTATGCACAAAAAAACAGCCACCACCACAAAATTTCATTACTACTAAGACTTTCAAATCAACTGACTCTAAGGTAGTGGTTTAGGTAATGGTGGTCTGGATTTGGAGTCAATAGACCATTTTACAATGGGTGAGCATAGATGCAAACTGACCTAGTTCTAAACACACGGCATGCGAAGCACACACAAGCCAAGTGTCTTCATTATATTTGGATTTGCACAAAACCAAAACCAATTCAGTCTCATGACTGAGTTTCAAGAAGAAAGAATAAAGTAGAGTTGCTTTTTCAAACCTGTTTTGATGTGAGTATCTTTTCATGTCTTCTGTTTTCTGAAACCCTCTAACAGCTATTGGCTTTACTGGTGAACCCTAAACCAAAAAGAAAAAAAAGTCAGTAAATAAATTTAACACACATAATATATCAAAAACGCTGTAATGGGGGGGGGGGGGCAGCGGCGGCGCACGCCTTTAGTCTACAGAGTGAGTTCTAGGACAGGCTCCAAAACTACACAGAGAAACCCTGTCTTGGAAAAAAAAAAAAAAAGGCTGTAATTATATTTTTAATTAGTTTTACTTTTAGGAAATTAGACACTAAAATTTTATTTTGATAGGATTGTCCTTTGTGAGCTTTGTGTTTAAAAGCATGCAGGGTAGCAGGTTGTGATGGTGCATGCCTATAACCTCAGCACTCAGGAAGCTGAGGCAAAAAGAACTGAGTTTGAGGACAGCCTGGGTGACAGGAAGACTCCATCTCAAAAAACTAAAAGCAAGGGCTGCTGAGAAGGGTTAGTGCAGAAAGGCACTAGCTGCACAGAGCTAGCAACCTGAGCTTTATCTTCAGAACCTACAGAAAGCTGGACAGAGAGAACCAACTCCCCAACATTGTCCTGACCTCCACATATGCCCTGCGGTATGTGCGCGCGCGCGCGCGCACACACACACACACATCAAATTTAACAAATGAACAAAAGCAGAAACGAAACAAAACAAACATACACAAAAAACCCGTAGGCTGTATTACATAGGCTTTTGATAAAAAAAATATGCAAAATCTACGAATATTTATTTTATTTAAAAGGTTCTCTTCTTACTGTAGTATATAAATTAGTGATTATGCAGAGTAATAGTGTCAGAATAAGAAAGACCTTAGCAGCTGGGCATGGTGGCATACATCTTTAATCCCAGCACTCAGTAGGCAGAGGCAGGTGGATCTCTGTGAGTTCAAGGCCAGCCTGGTCTATATAGTGAGTTTCAGGACAGCCAGGGCTCTGTAGAGACTCTATCTCAAAACCCAAACCAAACAAACCAAACAAAGGATCCCTCAGAACTCCCCTACTGGCAAGCTTACCATTACCCTCTTCCAGTGCTGCATTGTCGTTTTACAAACTGCCCACTTTAGAAAGCTATACGACAGCCATAGACACATTCCAGCCACCACACCCAAGAGGTAGCTAGAACTTAAACACACTAAAGGAGCCTCTACAGTGTGGTAGGGACAGAACAACACTGCTGAGTAGTCCAGGAAGCAGCTTCTGTTCCATGCTGTGGAGACACTCTACTTGGACAACCTAACATTATAAAGTGACTAAAGGAAGACAGGAAAAGAAAGGGATTTCTCGAAAGAGCATTATGTAGCATTATTAATTTAAAGTTTACTAGAAAGTAACTTTTGACTGCAGCAGAGAGACTAACAGCTTGAACCACAGGTCAGTTTGATCAATCACTGGTCTATCATTATCTCTTGGCTACAGGATTTGATTTACGTGATTTTATCTGATTTTAGAAACAAGTGTCTTCTGAACTGCAACAAAAACGACTGTGTTCAAAAGCCTTCAAACAGGAGCCAGAGGACTCTTTTAAGGAATGCTATTGCTCCACAGTGCACTCCACTTGAAGCAACTGATTCTTGATTTCTAAGTTAAATACATCATTCTTCAAAAAGGCCCCTAGTGTTTCTCAAACAAGCCCTGCTCAGGGCCTGGGACAACCCCCAGACATCAACACAGCACACACTAAAATGAAGCCATTTTCCTACGCTGACTAGATAGACTGAAGAATGCTATTCTACTTGAGACCCTTGAGGAATTGGCAGAGATTCTACAGTGGTCTGAATGCTTACTTGTTTTTTAGGCAATTCAATGCTTCATTATAAGAGACACCCAAGAATTTTAATAGCAAACAATTTATATTCTATTAACTTAGGATAAAAGCACCAGTATAATTAAACTTATTATTATTCTATGGGTAACTTGACCATTTCCTCAAAAATCAACCTTGGTTTCATTAATTATCTATTAAATTATGATTTAATTTGGCAATAAAAAAAAGCAAAGCAATCAAGAAAAAAAAGCCAGCCAGAAAGCAAACCAACACAATAAGGAAAAGTATCCTGTCCCGTGCACTCTCTTCAAAGGCCTGAGGTCACACTCAGTGGCACTCTCGGGGCTCCTTTCACTGCGTCTTCAGATGAATGACATCTGCCTTCTTACCTGGAGAATAAAACTTGAACCATTTTTGGGACTACTTCCTGATTTTTCCAAAGTGAAAAATCCAGGAATAAAATTGGAAAGGAAAATAAAACAAATAGGTCAAACCCAATAAATCATTGCTATGTGAACTGTTTTCAGCAGGGGATACTAACTTACTTAGGCTGGGATAGGGACACTACCTCATGGGAGATTCGCCGGTGTTCAATGTATGCCATAAACTGTGAGCTGAGGCTGTTGGTGTCCAAGCCTTTGGGCTGTCTGACATCGTTCTCTTCTTCTTCTGCAGTACAGCTGTCAATGTAGTCAATCTGATCCAGATCATGCTCCACTGTAAGCCGGGAGAGACCGAGAGAGAGAGAGACAGACAGACAGACACACACACACACACACACACACACACACACACACACACACACAGTGAGAGAGAGAGACAGAGAGACAGACAGACAGACAGACACACACACACACACACACACACACACACACACAGTGAGAGAGAGAGAGAGACAGAGACAGAGAGAGAGAGACAGAGAGAAACATACACACAGAGAAAAACAGACAGAGAGACAGAGAGAGAGAGAGAGAGAGAGAGAGAGAGAGAGAGAGAGAGAGGAGAGAGAGAGAGAGAGGAGAGAGGGAGACAGAGAGTAGGAGGGAGAGGGAGAGAGGGAGAAGGGGGGGAGATTCAAAGTTAAACAGCCAATAACGACACTTGCTTAAATTACATTCTCCCCTTTCCCTGTACCTGTTCTGTGACACAAGCCTTTAGTATTTATTTTGTCTACAGCCCCTTGCAAAACTCGTCTCTTGAAATCTTAGTCCAATACACTCAAGAGTGCCCAACTGAGGGTGAGTCACTGAAGTGCAGACCTGACATGTATTTTCTCTGGATGGCACCTTAGTGTTCTAAACAGGCAGTCTGAGTCTGGGGGACAGAAGCTGGCTGTGGCTTAGAGACAGAAGGCTGTGGCCTCTCATTAGTTTGAGATGCAGAAAATGTAACAGTCAACTCCAAAGAGAGCAGAAAACAACAAAAGACATGGGTAAGAAGAATCCTATTGACTGCTTCCCTTCCTGGAGCTCAAACTTAAAAAAGAGAGAACAAAGACTTCCCTATTCAGAAGATTACTGCTGGAGGTCAATGCTTTAGATATTTTTGTAGCGATTTGTGACTGAAAGAGAGTCATCTGAAGAATTTTTTCTTCTCAAGATACTTTATTAAAAATCAAATACTGACTGGAAAGTGTATCTTATAACTTACTAAACAGATTGTCTACTCTGCTAAAAAGACACTGTAGAGGAAAGGGAAGCAATGGAAGACACAGCCATAGAATGGTTTCGTCTGGAAGCTTCTGCATGTCTGTCGTTGTTACGTTAAATGGCACACTAGGAAAGACACAGTCATAGAATGGTTTCGTCTGGAAACTTCTGCATGTCTGTAATTGCTACGTTAAATGGCACACTAAGAAAGACCTCGCTCTGAGGTTCTCAGGCAATGCATTACACTCCAACCATGGTTTTATGCTGTCTCACTGTGCCAGAACACTGGATTTAACTGAACTACAGTTTATATTAAATTGAATTTTGTGTTACAAGCTTACTAAGATCTAAAAGGATAAAAAGGCTATAAGGTGACATTCCATTAGAAATCTGATATATTCATTTATTCTATGTGCTGTAATTTGTCCAATTAAATAGTTAAGACCATTTCTCAAGAAAGCAACATCAGACTTTTATACTATCCAGATTAGCACAGTCAAAATTTGATGAAGATTTTGTAGTTATATCTCAAATCAGAAAAGCCACATTTCAGCTTTTAAATTTGTATGTTGGGTATATCTGTGGTATACGCATGTGTACAAGTGTGTATGTGGGCGTATGTGCCCATGTGTGTACACATGTGGAGGTGAGAGGTTATGTGAGGTGTCTATTGTTAGCCACCTTATTTTTCGTAAGCTAGCAATTTTTTTTAACATTTATTAACTGGGGGTGTCACATATACCATGGCATACATGTGGAGGTCACATTTATTGTTTGGGGGTACATATGAGATGTAGAAGTCACAGTTACTGTTTGGGAGGGACACCTAAGCCATGGCACATGTGTGGAAGTCAGAGGGAAACTTGCATAAACTGGTTCCGTCCTTCCTTCCATCATGTGAGTTCCAGGGATCAAATGCAAATCATAAAAACTGGTTGCAAGTCCCTTTACCCAGTGAGCCGCCTCGTCGGGCTCCCCTTTATTTTTTGAAGCAGAGTTTCTCCTGGAGCCTGGAGATCACCTTTCGGTTAAAGCAGTTGGCCAGTGAGCTTGAGGGACCTCCCTGCCTCTGTGCTGCCATGCCTGACTCTCTGGTGGGTGCCTGGGGTAGAACTGCCCCCCTGTGCTTTTCAGTAAGCACTTTCAGTCATCTCCCCAGTTCCCAAACGCCACATTTCAAATGCTTAATAACCCCATGGGGCTGGTGGCTACCGTATGAAAAGCACAGCTGGAAATTACGTTGTCTGAAATAAAATGATGGTACATATGAGGGTAAAATTTAAATACAATTACTAAAATGTGAATGGGATGGTAAGTGACAGAAATAGAGAAGATTGTAAGCTAGAGAGGACAAAATAACAACAAAAATAAAAACCAACTGACATCATCAGAAATAAAACCGCTTCTCAGAAACATGCATGTCTAGAGAATCTATGTGATTTCTCCCTCAGCACTGGCCCTCAAAATCCGAACAACAGGCTTTAAAATTCAATTTGGAAGAATACAGAACAGGATTCTAAAATGTGCTTTAGAAGTACATGGAAGCAGAGAGAACTGTTTCTTTTATAAAAACGACTACTAAGTTCAAAGTGTTGGAATAAGAACAACTATCTTCCGAAGTCCCAAAGACCACCACTCCAGATGGAAAACGCAGTCGACACTAAGGCAAGCCCTGGAAGACGCACCTACAGTCCCAGCTGTTCAGGGGCTGGGGTTAGGTTACTTGAATCCAGGAGTGGAGGTCAGTCTGGATAACGGGGTGAAAACTCGTTTTAAACAGTGCTGGCTGAATGACTCAGTAGGCAAAAGCATTTGCCGCCAAGCCTGCTGACCTGAATTTGATCCCCGGGATCCGCAAGGTGGAAGGAGAGAAAGAAAGGTTGTCCTCTAAGCTCATCATGCCTGTGGTGGCACACTTCTTCCCAAGAAACAAGTAACTCCATTTTTAAAAGTTAAAAACAAACACGAGCAGAGTAACACAATTGATGAAAGAGCTCACGAAATCTCTTTAAAATGGAGACTCTTAAAAAGAGACGATGTTACTTCAGAAGAACAATGCAGTCAGATCAAGACTAACAAAGATCTGCTCCAGATAAACTGTCCTCGCTAAAGTTTCTCCTGAAATAAGCATGAGAGGGAAAGAAATTGAATTATAAACTGAAAAGACAGAGAAGTTCAATTTTCACCCTAGTGGCAAACTTTTTTTGTCCTATATAAACAGAAGTCTTCAGCAGAGTGAAGGAGCTACAGATACAGAAGGAGCAAACACTAGTTAAGGTAGGAGCTGGGCTCAGCTGGTAAAGAAAGTCCTTGCCTATCATGCACAAGGCCCTGGGTTCAATCCTCAGCACTACAAAACCAGGTGTGGTGGAACACACCTGTACTCCCAGGGCTGGAGAAGAGGAGCGGAAATTCAGTTATCCTTGGCTACATAAGGGGTTTAAGGCCAACCTGGGCTACAGGAGAGTCTGTTATAAAACAAAACAAGCTAACTATAAAGGCTTTAAATGGCATCAGAATCATGTTTACCTCCGCCATTTGTGACCACCACACTGCTGCGATTCTCCTGGTACTGGCTCTCTCTCCGAAGTCTTTGCTCTTTAGTAATCTCTGCCACTCGAAGAGGCAGATCTGAAAACTCATCTGTAGGCTTAAAAAGCAGAAGCATTAAAAACCATCATTTCTACCAGGCGGTGGTGGCGCACACTTTTAATCCCAGTACTCAGGAGGCAGAGGCAGAGGCAGAGGCAGAGGCAGAGGCAGAGGCAGAGGCAGAGGCAGGCAGATCTCTGTGAGTTTGAGGCCAGCCTGGTCTATACAGTGAGTTCAGGACAGCCAGGGCTACACAGAGAAACTGTCTTGGAAAAAAAAAAAAGATATAAAAAAATAAACAAGCTGGTTGGCTATGGCGCACGCCTTCAATCCCAGCACTCGGAAGGCAGAACCAGGCGGATCTTTGTGAGTTCCAGGCCAGCCTGGGCTATAGAGTGAGTTCCAGGAAAGGCACAAAATAAAGAGAAACTCTGTCTTGAAAAAACAAAATAAATAAATAAATAAATAAATAAAATAAACCATTTCCAATTTTAAATAATATAAAGTACAGGGATAGAAACTAAAATTTACATAGAAGAGATAAAGCAAAAAAGTTTGGGGAACTGACAGTGAATACTGTATAATTATGTGAATATATTTAATGCAACTGAAATATGTACTTTAAAATGACAAACTTTACCACAATTAACAAAAATAGAAAGATATTCATCACTGTAAGTAAATATATTCATCGTTTTAAATTGTCCACATATATGTACATAGCAGTATTCATTAACATAGTCACCAAGATATACATACATAACTACAAATTATAAGTTGTGATCTAATTATAATGTTTTGATTTACTTATTATTTATTTACTGTTTTAGGTTTGACAGGGTCTCACTGTACAGCCCTGGCTGGCCTGGGATTCACAGAGATCCACCTGCCGCTGCCACTTCCTCCTGAGAGCTGGGACTAATCTTTTTTTTTTTTTTTTTTTTTGGTTTTTCAAGACAGGGTTTCTCTGTGTAGCTTTGCGCCTCTCCTGGAACTCACTTGGTAGCCCAGGCTGGCCTCGAACTCACAGAGATCCGCCTGGCTCTGCCTCCCGAGTGCTGGGATTAAAGGCGTGCGCCACCACCGCCCGGCAGCACCAGGCTTCTTAAGGAGGCAAAGTTATAAAATGTCTGCTACCAGCCCCTCTAGCAAAAGTGTAGTCATTTAATTTGTAGCTAAACTATGATCTAGGCATTTTAAATGACAGAAAATACAATACTGTTAGTTAATCAAAACAAACAAACCAAAGCCCCATATATTGGGGGCACGTGAATGAACTCACTACAACGGTCCACCTTCTGTGGCCTGCCGGCTGCTAGGGAAGAGCCCCACCATTGAGCTAACATTTGAAATCCGGTTCCCGGCCCTCTTTCTTTCCCAGCTTCCAGTGCCCCTCCTACCACCATCTCTGCTCCAGGTCATCAAGTTCTACGTGACATGGTTTTTATTGCTTTGTTTGAGACACAGACTCGCTATTCAGTCCAAGCTGCCTGGAACTTACTACACAGGTTAAGCTATCTTCAAATCTGTGGTCCTCCTGCCTCAGCCTCCTAAGAGCCAATTAGGTTTGAGTTTTAACCACCTCAACTCCTATTCAGCTTTTCAGAATATTCATACATGAGATGAAACAGAGTAGAATTCTCAGATGGTAGGACTATGTAAGGTTTTTGTCCTTTCTTTGACGTTTCTCTCTATTTTATGTACTAAACTAAATTCCAGTTTAGAAATTCCCATTAATTAAATTTTTTTTTTCTAAACCAGGAGTTTGAACATATGAAGAGAAGAACACTCACCTCATTTCCTGACCACCTCTTATCCCCACTATCCACACTATTGAAGCCTGAGTCAAGGGCTCCGTAAGGACGACCTGAGTACAGTTCTTCATGGCTGTCCAAAAGAAGTGTTAGTTGTTACTGTGAGGCTGAGTATTTTTAAAATTAGCATTTGAAATTAGCCAGTCACAACGTTATTAGCAAACATCTCATGGCACTCAGTCACATAAATATTAGAGCTAAGTGAGCATTCTCTGAGCTTTTTAACAAGAAAATTCCAAACAGGAACAAAGGCAACAGACTAGGATGAGCGCCCCGCCCCCACTCAGAATCCAGTTTGAGAAGTACCGCTGCTCTACTCTGCTGTCTGTAACGTCAGCTTACAAAGCACTGGATTTCATCTCACGGCCTCTCCCCACTCCAGTGCCATCACACTGTCTTCATCTGTTCACACCCCTCCTGTTCTCCCTCCCAGCCATCTCCTTCCCCGTCAATCCCTCTTTCTGCCTTATCATCACAAATGTTCTACTGCATTTTCATGTCCCTTAAGATCTCTTTCTCCACTCCCATGATCCCCTTGATAGCTTGTGCGCGCGTGCGCACACACGCAAATGCAAGTCCTACACAAATGAACACATCCTCCTCATCTGGTTTCGGTACTAGTGTAACCTGGCTTCACGGGTGAGTTGGGCAGTGTCCCTCCCCGTTCAGTGCAGCAGCTGGAGGGCACTGGTACTAACTCTTCTTTCCAGGTTTGGTAAAACCAGCAGTGAATCTGGTCCTGGACCTTCCCTTGTTGGAGACTTGATTACAGCTTCCATCGTCACTGATTGCTATTGGCCTAAGTTGTTTATGCTATCTTAATCTAATTTTGGTAAGTCACACGTGTCTAGGAATTTACCCACTTCTTAAGAGATTTCCTTGTTGTTGGAATATATTTTCAAGTATACACCAATGATTTTTGGACTCTGTGGTCACCTCCCTTTCTTCATCTCTAATTTCTGTCTCCCCTCTCTTTCTCTTGGTTTATCTTGGATTGTCACCCTTTCTTCTAGAGCCCTGGGGTGCATCAACAGGCCATTTGGATCCGAATGTTTAAATGTGAGCACTCCTGGCTATAGACTCTCCTTAGTCACATCCAAGGGTTCTGGTGAACTGTGCTTCATTTGATCTGACTCTAGGATTTTAAAACTTCTGTTTCCTGGGCTGGAGAGATGGCTCAGAGGTTAAGAGCACCGACTGCTCTTCTAGAGGTCCTGAGTTCGATTCCCAGCACCCACATGGTGGCTGACAACCATCTGTAATGAGATCTGGTGCCCTCTTCCGTATACATAATAAATAAATAAATCTTAAAAAAAAAAAAAAAAAAAAAAAAAAAAAAAAAAAAAAAGAAATTAAAAAAAAAAAAAAAAACAAAAAACTTCTGTTTCCTTCAATGAGTATACTGTCCTGTCTCCTTGCATTTATATGATTTCTGTAATTTTTCAGAACTGTATTCTTTTCTTTTCTGCTACTGATTTCTAGTTTCACCGCACTATTATCTGGTAAGATTTAGACCCTTCACATTTGGTAAGACTGACCTGTGGTCTAGACTGGTCTGCTTCTGAGAAGGCTCCACCATACAAAGAACACAGCTCCTGTATCTCTGCCAGAATGTCCTCTATATTTTGGTTAAAGACGTTTCATGCATGACGTAGTTTAATGTCCAACTTTCTTTGTTGACTTTGTGCATGGTGTGATCAGAAGACAACCTGTGGGAGCTAGTTCTCTCCACCCTGAGTCCAGGGACTGAACTCAGGTATTCACGCTTCTGCGCCTTCTACAGGCCCACTTTGTTGAGCTAATCTGGATGACCTACCTGAAGATGAGCGAGGAGCTGCAATCCCCAACTATTATTGCACCAGGACCTACGCAACTTTTTATATCTCTTAGTCTATTGTTTTTGTTTTGCCCCTAACTCTGGTACATATGTTTAACAACAACATTAGAATCAGATGGTTCTCTCCATCATGTGCTTTCCAGGGACTGAACTCAAGCAATCAAACTTGGTGGCAAGTATCTTTATGTGCTGAGCCATCTGTCCAGGCTAGGCAGCTTATTCTTAAAATCACGATCTCCAGAATCTCTTCTGAATCCTCTCTCCACCCCCACTGCTCTCTGCAAGGACCTATTGGCCTTTCCCTGGGATTTTTCACTTCCTCTGTGGATTTCCAAAGCTCTTTCTCTACTCTCTTCTTTACCAGTCACATAGGAAGAGCCACTACTAGTCTGCTGTCTTACAGACATCTCTGCTATTCTGAAATTCTTGTTTCCCTTGTACCTACAGCCATTCTCTACACCCCTCACTGTTTTTATATTTAAAATTTTACTTATTTTATTTTATGCTTTTTTGAGGCAGGGTCTCACTATGTAGCCCTGGCTGTCCTGGAACTCACTATGTAGACGAGAATGGCCTAGAACACAGAGGTCCACCTGCTGCTGCCTCCTGAGTGCTGGGATTAAAGGTGGGCACCACCACACCTGGCTTGTTTTTTACCTTCAATAGTATTTTTCCAAATAAAATTTAGATACATTTAAATATTAGCAGTATAATGCTGATAAAATGCTGTATTTCTGTAATTCTAGCAGTACAGAGGACATTTCTGTTTTGTCAGTAAGTTCCCACACACCTCTCTGTAGCTAATTCTTGTCATCTTGTTATTGTTGTTAGGGACAAACACTGCTCTGAGGTTTTTATTTTATTTTATTTTATTTTTAAGTCCTACATTAGTGTGGAAACTGAACAACAGATTCTAAGGATACATACAAACATCAAAGATTCTCAGGGCTTTTGCTAAGCATAGTCACAGCAAGATGCCACACACTACCTCCACTCCCATGAAATCCTAGGACAGGTAAAACACTGGCAGAAGCAATCAGTTGTCTGCTGGGTCTTGGGGTGGAAGAAAAGAACTAGCTTTGAGGGACAGGAGAGAAATGGAAGGTTGTGCTGGCAGCTGAATGCCTCTAGCTAGTTTCCCAATCGCACAGAACTAACTCGCTGCACCTGGTAGAGGTACTGTTTGTAACTCCTGTCTCAGCAGAACTGCTAAAGCACTGGAGGCACCATTCTTCCCACATTTCTGTCAGTGTCCGAGCACCCTGGCTGCTCTATATCCTCACCAGCAATCGATACTATCACCTCTCTTCAACTCAGTCATTCCTGTGGACATTCAGTGGCTTAATTTGCATTCTGTGATTAATAATGATGTTGAGTACTTTGTCGTGTGTGTACTGACCATATAAATCTCTTTGTGATGAGTCTCTTCAAGCTCATTTCTCATTGGGCTGTTGATCACTAAGTTGCAGGTGTTCAGTGTCTATCTGGATGAAGGGTGACTTTCACTCATAGGCTTTATGAATATTTTCTCCAGGCCATGGCTAGCATTTTCTTTGCATGGAGAGCTGCTCTTAATTTTGATGAAGTCTAACTTATTTTTTCTTTTAGAGCTGCCCCTGTCTCTGTGATCAGCAGGACATTCTTCTGTGTATGTGTGGTGTGAGGGGTGCATGTGCACGTGGAGGCAGAGGTCAGCATCAGTGTCTTCCACAACCGCTGCTCACTTATTTTTTGAGCACTGTCTTTCACTGTCCCTGGAGCTCCCCGAGTTGGCTAGGATGGCCAGTAAGCCAGTAAGGATCCACCTGTCCCTGTCTCCACATGCTGGGGTAAGATGTGTGCTTCCATGTCCAGGCTTTTATATGGTGCTGGGGATCTAAATTCTCCCAGCCCCAGAGGGGTTTTTTCAGGAGTTTTGTAGCTTTAGTTTCTGCTTCTTCTTAAACATACCTTTAAAAATGTAACTTAATTAGGAATCTAAAAACTAACAAATCCTATTTTACAAAATTAGTCTACCAGTATTTTATTTAATAATTCTTCCTAAGTGGAAAGCAACTTTAAATTGTACAAATAAATGGTGATTGGGTTTTTTGTTTGTTTTTGAAACAGGATTTCATTCAGCCCAAGGTGGCCATTAATTCCTGATCCTTCTGTCTCCATCTCTCAAGGGCTGGGATTACAGGCATATACTAGGATAGCTAAAATAAAGTGTTCTCCTGAAATCTACCTGGCCTCCAGGCTCTGTTTCTGTCATATTCTATCTTTACCCATAAAGTTGTTTCCTTAACAAACTAGCCCCAAAGTAGCTTCAAATATACTGGTAACTTCTCTATAGCAAGATGATGAAGTGGTACAGTACAATGAGGTTTATAGTGTAGTTTCTTAGTCTAAGAATACAACCCAAAGATTGTACAGAGCCTTGAACAAACCATCAAATAAGTTATCACTTCAGTAAGAATGTGCGCTTAAAAGACAGCAAGAAAGCATTTCTTGTTAAAAGTCACTCCATCTATTTCAATTGAATTTGTGCATCTAGCACTGACTGAATGTCACATGGTGTTTGTTCTAGATGCTAAGAATATTAAGTATGAATAAAGAATAGTCACTTGCTTGTAAAAGATCAGGCTTGTTGAACAAAATTGATTCAGTGGGTGGGGTTATAGGGGCAGGTCTTTCTTTTTTGATTTCAGAGGCTCACTCTGTAGTCCAGAGTTGACCTTGAACTCATGACCCTCCTGTCCTGAGTCTCCTGGCTGCTAGGATGCAGAATTTTTTTTCCTTATTTACTTTTATTTTATGTGCACTGGTGTTTTGCCTGCATGTATGTCTGTGTGAGGGTGTTGAATCCCCTGGAACTGGAGTCACAGACAGTTGTGAGCTGCCACGTGGGTGCTAGGAATTAAACCCAGGTCCTCTGGAAGAGCAGCCAGTGCTCCTAACCACTGAGCATCTCTCCAGACCCATGGCTGGATTTTTCTTATCAGTCAGTGACTTAGTATTTCCTTAGTTTTGGTTTGTTCTCACATCAACAAAAATAAATATGTTTAGTCGATAACATAAAGCTGCTTAAAATTATCTTATCAAAAAGTAGGTCTCAAGCCGGGCGGTGGTGGCGCACTCCTTTAATCCCAGCACTCGGGAGGCAGAGCCAGGCGGATCTCTGTGAGTTCGAGGCCAGCCTGGACTACCAAGTGAGTCCCAGGAAAGGCGCAAAGCTACACAGAGAAACCCTGTCTCGAAAAACCAAAAAAAAAAAAAGTAGGTCTCAGCCTGTCGTGGTGAAGAATGTCTTCAATCCTAGCACTCCAGCTCTTGGGAGGCAGAGAGAAGCAAGGGGATCTCTGAGCTCGAGGCCAGCCTGGTCTACAGAGGGAGTTCCAGGACAGCCAGGGCTACACAGAGAAGCTCTACCTTGAGGGAAAAAAAAAAGCAAGTCTCTATCAATCACCAATAAAAACCATGATGCCACTAAATAAAGCAAAGGTAATAATGATGCAGTTTACCAAATGAGATGGAAGCATTTGTATCTGGAAAGGAATAAAAACTTTTAATTTTTATAAATTGATTTCTGGGAGTTTCTGCCGGTGCTGGGTTTTGTGGTAGTATTGTTTTTTTAATTAAATATGAATTTTTATAGTAATTTCACACAGTGATTTATTTTACAAAGACATTTTTATACAACTAATTTTATCATGTACTTGGGCCATTACCCCCATGCCTTAACTGTTTAAAATAGGGTCTTGTTCTTTATCAGGCTCAGGATCTCTCTGCCTGCCTCCAAGTGCCAGGATTATGGTAAGTGCCACTATGCTAAACTTATGGATCTTTTTTAAAAAATGATATACAAACAATAGGATGGTTAAATCTGACAAGGCATGATGGTGCACACCTTTAAATTCAGCACTCAGGAGGCAGAGGCAGGCAGAACTGAGTTCAAAGCCAGCCTGATCTACAGAGTGATCCCAGGCCAGCCAAGGCTACACAATAAAACACATTCTCAAGAAACAAAACAAAACAAAAACCCAACATCAAAAGATGATGGCCAAATCTAAGAACTGAAAGTACTATCCTGTGTAGTTTGTACTGAATATTCAAAGAGTAAGGGATTCTTCAGGAGATCTGGACTCTAAATTAATCTTTCTCTAATATTTACATAGGTTTTATGGTCACGTAAACAACTTTTAGATTCAGGATATTTGATATTTAGAACTACTGCTAGAGTATAAGCAGTGCAAAGATTATACTGAAAATGGAAGTTCAGAGAGGATAAACAGCTTAGTACCCTAAGAAGACAGAAACGCAGAACCAAGAGCCTCCAACTCCATGCCTACACTTTGAACAAATAAACCAGTAACTACAACACAATTCTATTCATCTGTACTTCTGAAAGAAAAACAGGAAGGTACAACATTTCATTCCATGGTACTTGAGGAGCTAAATGAAATATTATATATAAAGCCTTCCTTCAATATTCATGGGGAACTAGTTCCCAGATTCTCTGCAGACACCCAAATCTAGGGAGACTAAAATGCTAACATGTAAAATGTCAAAGCATTTCCATGAAGTCTATGGATATCCTACGTACTTTTGTTGTTGGTGCTAAGAAGGGTCGTGAATTCCCTATGTAGCTGAGGATGGTCTTCCCAAGTGCTAGGATTACAGGAATGTACCATCACACCCAGCAGGGTTTTTGTTATTATTAGTGTCTGTCTGTCTGTCTGTTTGTCTTTCGAGACAGGGTTGTCTAAGGTAAGTCCAAACTCCTGGGTTCCAGCCATTCTTGTGCTGAAGCCTTTTGAGGGGGGTGGAACTATAGACACATGTCACCAGACCTACTGATCCTCTGCCCATGTGCTTTAAAACCGTCTTAGATTATTCATAATGTCTAATGTAATATAAAAGCCAGGTACAGAGTTGCTGTGCTGCATTGTTTAGGCAATAATGACAAGGAAAAAGTATAAATGTCTAGTACAGGTTTTTTTCCCCTGAATACTTTCCATCTGTACTTGGTTGAATTCATGGAAACAGAGGGCCAGCTATATCTACATAATTGTACCAAATTAACATTTCTAGAATGTTCTGAAACAATAGTTTGTCTCTGAAAAATGGAAAATATAAAAAATAGCCTAATTAGTGACCATAACTAGAGATTATGATAGGGACTGTAATGCATTACTTCTATAACTTCTAATTCTTTGGAGAGAAATGACATCTTTATGCTACTTAGGTTTCCCATTTACTTAGAAAACTGAAAGAACATTTTTCATAAATTCAAGCCTTTTATCTGTTAGCAAGCATGCACTCAAGTCCTTTGCCAGGTAATTTAATATTTTATGTATTTCATTATGTATTTAAAATAACATAAGTACTATAATATTTACAAAAATAAATTAGGCCTGTCTCAGAACTAAGGAACAGGTCACAGAGAAACAGGTTCTGCAAATAGTACATCAGCCCTCAATCAAAGTGCACCATTCATTACTGAGATCTCCTCAGGCGGCTCTTCAAACACAGACCTGCATTCACCATCATTAGCCAGCTTACATTCAAACCTCAACAGCAGCAGTAGCAATTTCATGCTCCTACTCTGCCTTTTAAGAGAGGAAAGTTTTCCTTCCAAGAGTCAATGGCTCCATCAGGGAAAATCAATTGTGTATACTCAAAAGAAAAGCCAACTTTGTTGTATATCTTGTAAGAGTATCATATAAAACATTTTTAATGAAAAAAAATAGGAAAATCAAGGCTTTCTTCCACACCTAACAAGCATTTCCATATTATGAGCAATTAACTGAGCTGGGAAAAAAGCAAGGAGAAAGAAAAAATAAATGGCAAAATGAAAACTCTTGGCAATAAGAATCTGAGTCATTTCATATTCTTCACTGCTAAAATCCTCCTCCGAGAGGCCTACACGTAGCACAGTATGTCACACTCAGTCTCTACTGACTGCCCAAGCTCACCTGTCATGTCCTTAGCATCCTTTATCTGCTTCAGTGCTCTGAGAAGTAAACACGCATCTGAGGGTGTTCTCGGTAGGGATGGTTACAGTATGACTTTCATTTTCTTTGCTGTACTAGTTTATGCTTAAGCAACTAGGCTAGGGAGCGGCTGTTCAGAAACTCTTCACAGTGTCCAAGTCTTCAATCTAGCAGACAGACTAAGCACCCTGGAATGTCACTACAAAGATCTTTCTGATGATTTTATGTGGAGGAAAGTGGTATTTGTCTGATTAAATCAGCTTTTCTTGGGGTTGGGGACTTAGCTCAGTGGTAGAGCACTTGCCTAGCAAGTGCAAGGCCCTGGGTTCAGTCCTCAGCTCCTGGGGTGAAAAACAAATCAGCTTTTCTTTCATTCAATAACTATTTCCTGAGTAATTACTATGTATACCAAATACCACAAGGCTGGCAGAATCTGCAGCAAAGGGTAGGAGTGAAATCCCTGTGGAGGAACATGCTATTTCCCCAAGAAATCCTGTTACATGTAAGTGAAGTTTTCAGACAGCTTCAGATTGCTCCTTTGTAAAACACTTAATGTTTCATTTTAATAATTCCTAATAAAAACTATAATAAATTGCCCTTTCTGAATGTGATACATATTTAATATAGCATAGCAATGCCTGGCTACATGTGTTTTTAGAAACTACATGGGCATTTGTTGATCTATTTTAGGCTAGAAAATTACAACACAAGCCCATGTGGACTGTGGTTTTAGCAAAAACTGACAAAGGCCTGAGAGGTTCTCTGTCGGGTAAAGTCCATGAGCATCGCAACATCTTTACTGGGATATCTACTGTGCCTTTCTGAGGGCTTTTTAATTCAATCCCTACACTTCAGATTGTTCCACATCTTACATGGCATGTGGTATGTAGCTAAGGGATTCACAGACTAAAAAGATCTCAAAGTGATGTCAACATCCAACAACTTCTTCACACTTACAAAGGAAAATGAAGCAAAGTACCCAATGACTTACTGTAAATAAGAAATCTTTTAAGTAGCAGAGCTAAGGTTAACATTCAATCTGTTCAAACCAGCAAACTTCAAGGGGGCTTGCCAGGGATACCGGCAATATTTGACTATCTGGAAACACTTCAATGTGTTATTGGTACCTAGGAGGTGGGGGCCAGGATGTTGCTAAGCATCCACACAATAGGGAAGAGCCTCCCCTGACCAAGAACTGCCTGTCCTACAGTTTCAACAGTGCCCCACTTGTAAGAGACTGACTTAGAACCACACTTTGTAGGCTCTGTGTAACGGCTTCACGTTTGATACAAGCATTCTGAGGATAAGAGTGTTACTTTCCTTCAGGCAAACACTTCAGGCAATTTAAGAATAAAGTTTATTTGATTTTCCCTGTGATGTACTATGACAAAAGCATGAAACATACTTACCACGAGCCAAATCCCAAGGGTCTCCTTTCAAAATCTGGCAGATCTGGAGCAATCTTACAAGCTTGTATGTTCAGGTATTTAAATATGTGGATTTTGCCTTTTATACATATCTAAATCAAATAACAAATGCAGCCAAATTACTATTCATCTGAAATATAGATGTCCTTTTAAAAAATATTATTTTATGTATATGAATGTTTTGCCTGCATACATGTCTGTGTATCATGTACATGCATGGTGCCCACAGAGGCCAGAAGAGGATATTAGATCCCGCTGAACTAGAGTTACAAACAGTTGTGAGTAGCCATGTGGATGGATACTGGGTAGTGGTTCTAGGTCCCTGGAAAAACAGTCAGTGTTCTTAACTGCTGAGCTAACTCTTCAGACCCATGGTGTTCTTTTTTTAAAAAATCATAACTAGCTCTTTGTGTAACATCAATTGGGTTTTTAAGGTACCTCTATAAATATATAGTGCATTAATTAAAAAATTAATGATTCAGTGTTATTTAAGGGTTTTGTCTTTTAGCTACTAGAAAGTTTCAGTAACACAAGTAATTTATGATTATAAACACTGTTACATACCAAGTACATTTAACACACTAATTTGTTATATACATTCAGGACTTTCCAGGTTTCTCTCTAGGTATTAATTAATCATGTACAATTACATTTTTAATGCAGATCTCTGTGGGAAAGAACTAGAAATGATCAAATGGAGAAATTTATACATATATAATTTTGTTGTGACTTGTCTCATGAGTCAAACAAATTCTTTAGGCTGATGAAACTCTTTATAATTGGAGTCTAAAAATGTCTCCCAAAGGCTCATGTGTCAAAATCTTAGTTGTTAGCTGATGGGCTTTTCAGAGGTGAATGGATCAAGTAGGCTCTAATGTGATCAACGAATTAAGGCATGATGATTTCATGGCTAAGTGGTCCAGCAGCAGACGGCTTGGCTGCAGGAAGACAGTACTGGGGGTATGCTTTTGAAGGGTGTATCCAGGCCCTGAAGCCTTCCTTCCTCTCTGTCCCTGTTCCTGGTTGTTGTGAGGTGAGTGGCTTCCTTTACTACACGCTCCTGTTGCCATGACTATGTCTCACCACAGGCAATAGCCAACCGACCACGGGCTACAACCTCTGAAACCAGGAGCCTTCCTTCTTTTAACTTACGTCTCAGATTCAAAACCGACTAACACAAACCTTTTTGTAGTTATAAAGTTCACATATAACTTTTACAGATTCTATAATGACTACCATAAGCTCATACAAGGTCATTTAAAAAAACTGCCAAGTGAGGGCTGCAGAGACAGCCTGCAGGTGATACAAGTTTTGATCCCTGGAACCCACATAAAGGTAGAGAGGTAACCAACTTCAAGAAACTGTCCTCTGAATTCTACACATTGGAGCACATGTGCACAGATACTGTGAAAAAACAAACTTTAAGAAATTTCAAAGTGAAAATTACAGGTTTGACAAATATTTTATAGATTATAGGCTATAAGCTACCTTATGGTTATTATTTTCATTTCAGTCACTGAGAAACAAATGAACCAACTGCCTAAATGAGAAACTTCCCATTTCAGGAAACAGGAAGGCACAGAAACAATGTTAACAAGAATCCATTGATAATTTTGAGTTTGGAAAGCTGTTGTTTATGGCATTTATATAGTCTAATTCAAGCTTTTCAGCTTTTATTTATTTATTTATTTATTATGTATACAGTATTCTGCCTAGATGTAGGCTTGCAGGCCAGAAGAGGGCACCAGATCTCATTACGGATGGTCGTGAGCCACCATGCGGTTGCTGGGAATTGAACTCAGGACCTCTGGAAGAACAGTCAGTGCTCTTAACCTCTGAGCCATCTCTCCAGCCCCCTAATTCAAGCTTTAATAGGAAAAAATTACCAAAAAAAAAAAAAAAAAAAAAACCCTAAAATTTTATTAGAAAACTAGTTTTTGAGGAGTTCTTCAACTTAAAGTGCCTAAGGACCGGGGAGAAAGCTCAGTCAGGAAAATGCTGCCTCCTATGCAAGCGTGAGGGCCTGAGTCTGGATCTTCAGTACCCCCACAAAAGCTGGGCACGGCCGTGGGCACCACACACTGGGGAGGTGGAGACAGGAGGGTCTCTGGGGCTTCTGGCTGGTCAGGAGAGCTGAACTGGTGAGCTTCAAGTTCAGGGAGAGATTCTGTCTCCACAACTAACAAACAAAAATACTAAGGAGGACAACGACTGGGAAGACACCGACTGTCAACCTATGGTGCACGCATGAACACACACACACACACAGAAGTGCCAAACTATGAAAGGAAATGCTGGTGCAAACATCAGACTCTCTCCTGCCTCCCTCTCACCCAGGGCACTGGGTGGGTCATGGCCCACAGAGGCTCTCTCTCCTGCCTCCCTCTCACCCAGGGCACTGGGTGGGTCATGGCCCACAGAGGCTCTCTCTGAAGAGACCTTTCCCGCAGTCACCCCTTCCCCAGGGCCCCATGCTCACCTGCGCAGGAGGTGACTGCAGCGGGTTGTTTTCTAGGGTGATGACCTGGAGGTGCCTGAGGTTCCGGTAACACACCGGGATCGCGGTGACTTTATTGCACGAGAAGTCTAGTCGGATCAGTGGCACCTCTGCCAGCTCTGCATGGAAGTAAAATGGAACGATCACTGATATTTTTACAAGTACTTCCAGTTAAATGTAGGGAACTCAAAGATCATTTACCTCTGTTCCTAGTGACTGACAAGGCATAAAATAAAATCTGACTGCTTACAGATAGGAAAACTACCAAAAATCAAGTAGTTTGACCCCCCTCCTTGTTCCCAGGACTACTTAGTTCTCAGAAGCTAGACACCATCCGGAAAAAGAAAAAAGAAGGATAACAGAGGAGTTAGATGGAGGTTTTTATAAACAGCTAAAGTGTGTCCTCAGTCCCAAGTCACTCAGCTGGGCACTCACATCACAGAAGCCAGAAAGCTATCCGCTAAATTTAGAGAGCGAAGCTCAATGGGAAGTGAGTACGTGTTGGCAGTTGAAAATAGAGGATGCAAAAGTAAACACACTAACGCCAAGCCCACCTTGTCCACCTACCCTGTCTACTCCACTCCTGAATGCCAGTAATTACAAATACATGCAACCACACAGAAGAGATGCCAGCCACACCTCTCTCTGGAGAAACTACACAGTCCCATATAAAAGGTCTTTAGATACTGTGGTGGTTTGAAAGAAAATGGCCCCCATAGGGAATGGCACTATTAGGAGGTGTGGCCTTGTTGGAGGAAGTGTGTCACTGGCGGGCTTTTGAAGCCAGGCCTAATGTGACTTTTCCTTCCTGCTGCTTGATGATTCAGATGCAGAACTCTCAGCTGCCTCTCCAGCACCATGTCTACCTGCATGCCATCATGCTCCCAGCATGACATGACAATAATGGACTAAACCTCTGAAACTGTATGCCAGCCCCAATGAAATGTTCTTCTTTAGAAGAGTCACCATGGTCACAACAATAGAAATCCTAACTAAGACAAATACTGACATGGAGTTTTCCTCATTAAAATATATAGCCTCTTGCTTAATTATCTTTCAACAATTTCTGCCCAATGTATTCAGAACTTCTATGATGATGTGTACAGATTACATATGACCCACAGAAACTGAGAGGTTTCCAACAACATGTAAGACTAAAAGAAAAATTAACTAATAAAAGAAAAAAAGAAAGGTAGAAGAAAGAAGAACATAGGAACAGAAGGAACTCTGAACAACTAGAATGTCTTTGATTTCTAAGAAATACGACATGGAATCACTTAAAAAATTTTTTCTAAAAAGTCACATAATAACAAGCATTCTACATATGATGGTAGAAACGAAAAATCTGAATGAATTTCTGAAATTAAGAATTCAAGAATGGGGGCTGGAGAGATGGCTCAGTGGTTGAGAGCACTGGCTGCTCTTCCAGAGGACCTGGGTTCAGTTCTAGGCACCAATATGGCAGCTCACCTGTGTGTAACTCTAGTTCTAGGGGATAAAACACCCACACCCAGACAAAACACCAATGAATATAAAATAAAATAAATAAATCTAAAAAAAAGATTTAAAAAAAAAACCTCAAGAACTATTTACTCCAGGGTAGCACAAAATAGTGAAGAAAGGAATAAGAAAAGTCAAAGGATCAAAGATTTAGATACAACATTCAGTTAGAAAAATGGAACAGAAAAGCCAGAAAAAAATTTTAAAAAGAGAGCGAGGCCAGCAAGGTGACTGAATAAGCAAGTATAATAGCACATGGGAGCACTTGAGCGTCAGAGGCAAGAGGATCCCTGTGAGTTCAAGGCCAGCTTGGTTTGCACAGAGCTCCAGGACAGCCAGGGTTACAGAGGGAGCATAAGGAGACTGTCTTAAAACCAAAGGAGCCTGCTGCCAAGTCTGAAGAGCTTGACCCTGGAATCCACATGACAGAGGAATGAACCAAGTTGCCTTCTGATCACACACTGGCACTGTGGCACACGCACACACACACCCAAATAAATAAATGTAAGAAAACGGGGGGGGGGGGGGGGGGGGGGGGGGGGGGGGGGGGTGGAGGAACCAAATAAAGTCTCAAGACATAAGTCTGAAGAGAGTGTCCCTAAGTAAATGGCATACCGAGTTAGCCCACACTATGGCAGCATCCTCACAGGTCAGTGGCCAGGAAAAAGGGAAGATCTTAACGTCTTCCGGACTGAAAAGGCTGCTCAGAGAGGAATGGGATTAGAGAGGGCGTCGTCACACTTTCGGCTACCAGGTCTGAAGAGCATTTCAGCTAGGTGCAGCACCTGCAAGCACGGCACCAGGAGGCGGAGGCAGCAGGACTGCCAGCAGAGTGCAGCCAGCCTGGGCTATCACCGTGTGAGTTCCAGGCTAGCCACAACTACATACCAACACCAGGTCTCAAAAACAGACAAACAAATCAACCTCCCCTCCCCAAACCACCATTTAAAAGGAGTTAAGAAATACCAGATGAACTAGCCAACAAAGCTAATGAAAATGCCCCTGGGCACTGAAACTTGGATTTAGGGAGAAGGTGAGGAAAAGGAATAGTAATAATTATTTTGAGCTTTTAAATATCTTCTGAATGATAATTACTTAGTTAAAATTAATTTAAAAGTGAAAATGGCACTGTAACAAAAGATCCATTACCAACCAAAATACAATGTCATAGATTACTAGCTAAAGCTCAAATAAACTTCCTGTCATTTCAGGCTAGTTAACATGCTGATTACAAATCATGAAATTAAACATTTACAGCTGTGTAATTTCTATTTCCAACCATTTATAGTAGAGATAAAACAGATGATAAAACCATTACACTCTGCTTGTCATTTGAAAACTCCAAATTTCACCAAAACCTCAATGTTGCCGGGTATGGTGACACCAACTTGCCATCTGCACTCATAAGGCTGAGGCAGGAGGACTGTGAAACTGAGGCTAGCCTAGGCTACACTTCGAGAGTCTACCTCTACCTCAGGGAAAAAAACTAAAAATCTATAAAAAAAAAAAAAATCCCAAACATCAGCCAGGTGGTGGTGGCGCATACCTTTAATTCTAGCACTCAGGAGGCAGAGGCAGGTGGATCTCTGTGAGTTTGAGGCCAGCCTGGGCTACAGAGTGAGTTCCAGGAAAGGCACCAAAGCTACACAGAGAAACCCTGTCTGGAAAAACCGGGGGAAAAAAAAACAAAAACAAAAACAAAACAACACAAAAAACCAAAAAACCAAACCAAAACCCAAACACCAATATTTTCATCAGTAATCTTACTCCACGAATAAGCTAGAAGATGGTGAGTAGGCCCTGAACACAGTGATGGTGAAGGGGTGCAGTGGGGCGCTCATGGCTGGCCGCCGCTATAGCAGCGGCGGTAGAGAGCACTGGATGCTCTGGTGGTGGAAGACTCACGAGCCATGGTTACCTTCTTAGAGCTTTAATAGGAGGAAGGAGAGGGAGAGAGTGGGAGAGACAGACAGAGAGAGACAGAGACAGAGAGACAGAGACACAGAGAGAGAGAGACAGAGACAGAGAGAGACCGTGCGGAAGGGAAGTACAGAGAAAATGCAGAGAGAGAGCGCGTGGGAGGACACGTCCTCTTTTTAGGGTGGGACGTCATCGCAGGCTGATGACGTAATAAGGACAGACTCCTTACAGATGGCCCTTTACTTTTGGAGAATTTTGGATCTGGCATTGTAAGTGGGTTGGTAGATATCCCAGCTACTTAGGAGTCAAGACAGGGGACAGAAAATTTGAAGACAGCCAAGGCATGTTGGGCTCTGCTTCAAAATGAAAAGAAAATGATAAAAAGTGGCAGCACAGCTTAATAATAGCATCTTGCTTAACATGCACCAGGCCCTGGGTTCAATTCTCAGTCCTGGGGAGGGGGGGGCGTGGGAGAATGTGTTGGGTTGTTAAGACATAGGTCACAATTCTTGTTTTACTGGGAGCTTCTGTTCCCACCCTGAGTTGTTGGCAAATGCCACCAGACAATGGAGGAAAGGCCTGAAGGCAAACTGTGTCGATGTAAAGGCTACCCGACAAGTTCAGTGAGAACATACTGCCGGGTAGCGTGGAGTGACAAGTGTATAAAGGTGAACTGAGAAAATAATTTTCTAATGTGTTTACTTCAGATCCAAAATGTCAAATGTATGTAAGAACTAAGTATTTCACTATATCAAACTGCAATAATGTTTGGACTTTATAGTAAAAGCAAAAACATCACTAGTTAACATTTAGTATAAATTCTGCCATATCTTATAGAACCTAGATCATTGTTATGAAAATATTCCTGAAGAGTTTCTTTCTGTTGTTGCTGGTTTTTTTCTTCTTTAGTTTTGAGATAAGGTCTCTCTATAGTCAAGGAAGGCCTCATACTCATGATCCTCCTGTCTCTACCTCCCCAGTGCTGAGGTTACAGGCACATGCCATCACAGAAGATTGACTTCTTATTTAAATATACATTCTGAAATGCTCATGAATTACTTTCTAGAATTTGCTTTGAATTAGTCTAGAGGATTAGGGTGGAGAAATGGAGGTGAGAGGATAAATGTGTGTGTGAAATAAAAATCACCATGAGCTGACCACTGTAGCACCATGTGACAGGAACATGGAAGTTCATTTATGTAAGAAAATTTCCATAACTAAGTTAAATAAATATAATCTGAATTTAATTGAAAATAGTTCTCATTTCCATTTTCATTTGCAGCCTTTTCTTTCATAGATTTGTAGTTGTGAGCACTTGATAAAGTTTAATTTGTTTAGTCATGTCTGTCGTTCAAGTCCGTGTGTCAGAATTTACAGTCAACCGAAGAGCACCCACCTTCTACTCTAGTCTCTCTCATCATTTGATATTGCGCATCACCTAAACATGCTTATTAGACCGTGTTTGAACTTTTCTAGTAATGAATGAAATTAAGTTCAATGCAAACTCCACTGATCTTATTTAATTTTCAAAATCCATTTATAAATCAGGGCTAACTGAAGAAATGCTTTGCATCACACCAGACTATCAAGCATACTACATTTCTGCCCATGATCATGTGTAGTTAAACTCACAATGACACTGCCCTGAAGGATCAACTACAATAGTTCATTAGTCAACGGGATCCAAACTGGAATCACTGAGCAAGAGTCACTAAAACTTTTCTCTCAAGTTTTTGTTGTCACTTTGCTGGTATTGAGGACTGGACCTCCAGCCTTGACTGTGCTGGCCAAGTGCTCTCCCACTGAACTATATCCCCAAGCCTCTTTGAGTCTCTCTCCCTCTCTGGAGACAGGCCCCTCCTGCATTGCCCAGGCTGGCCTGAGACTCGTGACTCTCCTCCCTTTAATTTTGACTTTCAGACAGGGTTTCACCCAGTTGCTCATGCTGTGACCTTCCTGTCTTAGCTTCCTGAGCAGCTGAGGTCATAGGTCCAGGCCATGAGGCCCAGATCTAAACAGTTTTCTAAAGTGCATAATCTAGTAGGTGATGCTATAAGCCCTCAGATCTCATATACATTGTTGACTTGTGCCCATCAGTCTGAGAGATCTTTAAAATGAAAAGACAAATACCAACAAAACAATTATTTCATAGTTTCTTACCTTCAGGCAAGCGTATTAGATGATTTCTTCTTACATTAAAATCTCTCAAGGCTTCCAGATTACCAATTTGGGAAGGTACAGTTTGAATTTCATTGCAGCTCACATCCTATTTCAAAAGAGTACAAAGGTATGATTATTCTAATCACAAAGTTGCCTGCTTTAAAATACTTACAAAATGATATTAGGCAAGATAATACCTACATTCCTTCCTGGTAATAAAAATATATGTATTTTTTTATAATATATATATTATCATCCTGTATCTAAGAATAATTCACAGTTTGTACTGTCACTTATTTTAATTATAGTCTTTGAGGTATTCTTTATATTTTATATATTTATAGAAAAATTCTAAAATTAAAATGAAATGGCTTAAGATATAAATAGAAGGCCTAGAATATCAGATCCAATGAAAATGTCAGTGAAAAAAAGGTAAAGCAAAAAAAATGGTATATTTTATTTTAGTTTTGGTTTTTTGAGACAGGGTTTCTCTGTGTAGCTATCTGTAGACCAAGCTGGCCTTGAACTCACAGAGATTCACCTGCCTCTGCCTCCTGAGTGCTGGGATTAAAGGTGTGTGCTACCACAGCCCAGCTGGCATATTTTATTTTATACTGTTTTAATTAAAATAGAAAAATAAAACAATGATAAAAATTAAATGAAAATTATTTCACAGAAAAGCCCTCATTTTTCAAAATATCAGTTTGACTGTTCAAGAATATAAAATTAAAATGTAGACAATGACTCTAATTTTTCTCCAGTGAATATAAAGAGAATATAAATAATAAAGTGTACACAACTCAAAGGCTATGGAAAAACAGGCTGTTATTATCCAGTCTATCTGAGTCTAATACACAGGATACTGAAGCCTGCTGGTAAGAGCTTGATTCTAATGTGTCTGAAAAAAAGTGACTAGCTACAGCTCCCAAGATTAATAAATTCAGAATTCTATAATTTGAGGCCAGCCAGAGTTTAAAACCATAATCATGTGTAGCAGGAGGAAGCCCAAGCTGTACATGCATACTTAAAAGTCCTACAACACATGAGTGAAAAAAGATAATTCATACACTACTTATAAAGCCAGGCTGCTTATTATAAACCTCAATAAGCTTTTGACAGCTTTAAAACTTACTACACCTATTATCTATTTGTGGATCAGAGGAAGTAGGGGAGGAAATTGTTGTGTGTGGAGGTTAGAGGACAGTCTGTGCGCTTTAGTTTTCTCTATCTACCATGTGGACCTCAGGGGTCAGACTCAGGTTGTCGGGCTTGGCTGCACACACTCTTACCTACTGACCCATCTTGCTGGCCCCAGACATGATTTTGTTCTTCTCAAAAGAGAAAGAACATAATTTTCACCTTTCCTATTCATTAGTGACTGAAGGAGACTAAAAACTTAGACTGTTAAGTCCAGTGCTCTAAGCAGTAAAATTTAAAAAGGGTAGAAAAAGAAGTTGAAAAGGCAAGAAAAGTGAGTCTGTGGTAAAGGTCTTAGTCACTTGGGATGTAACTCTCAGAAAACACCTGTGTCGACAGAAAGTCATCTACTTCCACCCAGAAATGAGGGTGGGAAGGAAGGAGAGAAGGGTGCAGTAAAGAGACCACCAGGAAAGGAGCAGCTCTGAAGTCATCCTTCCGCTGCCAAGTTCTCTGAATGACGGAGGCAGGAGGGTATCTATCAGCACCTTCTGTAGAAAACTAAAAGCAGCATTTCAAACATGTCTCCATCTGTTGCATACTTAGGATTAAATAAGTATTTAAAAGTTTAAATGATCTGACGATTAAAAATTTGGGAAACTAAGGTAGGGAGACTGAGTTCAAGGCCAGCATAGGCTACAAAGTAAGACCTTTTCTCAGAAAAGAAAAGAAAAAAGGAAGTAAAAAAAGAATATGATCAAACTATATTGTATGAAAAACTTTTTAAATACAAATTAATCTATCATGGAAAAAATAAACAAAAGAGCTTAAGAGTATAAGTTATGCCTACTTCATACTAACAAGCCAAGTTCTAAAGAATATCCCAAAACATACAATTTGAATTTTATTTTCAAGTTCTAGATAGCTCAAAAACAGTAGCCTAAAACCTCAACTCTAGATTTTAGTCTATAAATTTTTAACATATAAACCTGTTATATTTAAGTCCCCCCACCAAGGTAATCTAATTTGTCCAACTAGATTTATGCCATATTTTTCCGTTTACAACTATCTTTATCAACAGACCACACACAAAAACTATATTTCTAAATCTCAATGAACACAGTTGCATTTGATTATTTCATGCACTATGAAACAGGCTTTAGTTCAAGCAGGCTGATTCCCGATCACATAGTTGGTTACACAACCTCCAGCAGACTACATCAACTGAGTACTGGTTTCCTCAACTATAATAGCAGACAATAGTAGAATCTAGCTCATAATATGATTGTGGGGATGGAAACAATCTGATTGCTTTTTTTTTTTTTTTTTTTTGGTTTTTTGAGACAGGGTTTCTCTGTATAGTTCTGGCTGTATTGGAACTTGCTCTGTAGACCAGGCTGGCCTCCAGCTGACAGAGATCTACCACCTGCCTTTGCCTCCCAAGTGCTAGGATTAAAGGCGTGGGCCACCATCACATGGCTAGTCTGACTCTTTAACTTAAAACATAAATACTTAAGAGATGGTTTCTTGTATATTCACAAATAATAGTAGGTGAAGTTGAATACATCTTAGAAAATATATAATTGGCTTCTATTCCAAGGGCATGGTAAACAAACAAACAAAGAAACAAATAAAAAACAAAGACTAACTTTGGGAGTGCCCATACACCGATAAAGGCTAAGAAAAATCATAAAAACATTGATGATAAAAATTTCAATTTGAAAACTCAACTACATTATTAACTTACGTCTCAAAATTTTAGTAACACAGAAATCATTCAATGCTGGTCAGAATATAACCAATGACATTTCCACATTTTGTGTGGAGATGTTAAGAATTGTACATTGAGTCTTTCTTAATTATATGTCAAGCCAATGCTATAAAATTATTTTAAAAACAATCTTAATATCCAATTTTTATCATATAGAAGACTGCAGATATGTTGGACAATCAAAAAATAAAATGTTAACTTACAAGTTCCGTCAAATGTCTGAGATGTCCAATTTCTTCAGGAAGTGAGACCAATTTGTTATTACTAGCAATTAAGACTTTCAATGGTAGGTTACACAAGTGTACTGGCAATGTTGACAGTTGGTTCCGGCTAAATGAGTCAGGAGAGAAAGAGCAGTCAGACACCATCTTTGTCATTTTAGATACAAAAGTCAGTCTTACAAGGGACAAACAGGCTACTAAATTTGAGTTCCTGTCAGTTTAATCAGTTCCCAGTTGACTAAATTTAAACAGATAACAGGAATTTTTGTTCATTAAAAAAAAAAAACATGAAAATCAGAAACATAAAATAATAAAGTACATCTATCATTAGTATAAAAACAAATTAAAAGTTTACTATGTAAATTTAACCCCATAATAATTCTTTTAGGGCCAAGTCTTTCCCAACTTTCAAGATCTTTTTGTCGATTAACACAGTTCATGGACCTTTAAAAAATTTTTAATTCAATAATAATTCTACTCCTACACATGCTTATTAAGAAAAGAAAAAATTAACATTTACATACAAATTTCTCTAGTAGTGTTATTTTTAAAATGATTTTTAAAACTGCTAGAACTAAATATCTGAAGGGATGGATTCTACTTTTTACAGCTTTACTTTTATTTTTAATTTTTTTAAAACATATATGTATGTAAGAGAGAGGGGATTTATGTACATTGAGTACAGCACCTGAAGAGGCCAGAAGAGGGTATCAGACTCCCTTGGACCTGCAAGTACAGGCAGTTGTGAGCTGCCTGACCAGGCTGTTAGGAACTGAACTCAAGTTCTCCAAAAGAGCAGGATATGCTTTTAACTACTAAGGCATCTCTCTAGCCTCAGGGATGGAATTTTCTTTTAAGGTATATAAACCGGGCAACAAAACATTCACTAGAAAAACATTTCCAAGGTCCAACAAGATAGCTCAGTGGGTAAAGGCACTTCCTACAAGCATGGTAACCTGAATTCAGTCTCTAGAACCCACATAAAAGTGGAAGTAGAGAAATGACTCCACTAAGTTGTCCTTTGCCTCTGTACATGCATTATAACCCATACCCAAACACTCCACATTATGCACACACACAATGAAAACATCAATGTTGTGTGTGTGTTTGCTGGGGACTGAACCTAGAGCCCTGAGCATACCAGGTTAGTACTCTACCAGCGGAGCTGCGTCCCAGTCCATCAGATCTATATTTACTAGACGCTAATTCGAAAATGCAACTGGAGGATCATGGCTGCAAGACGTCTACAAGCCTATTAAGCTAATGGCTAGTAGGATCTGTTAATTATGCAAAGCTAAAAATAAAGGGAGAAACAAGAGAAACATGGGAGAAACCGTTATTATAGCCTAAGAACATGTCAGAAACTGCTGGTGTGAACAGGTAACATAAATAACTAAATATTTTAGTGACAGAGAGGAGGGAGTTTAAGATCGTATAAACTACTTTTTCTAAAGGAATACTATTCTTACCTAATATTCAAGAACGTCAGAGCTTGTAAGTTGAGAACGGCCTCTGGGATATAACGAATACAATTCTGGTATAGGTTAAGACTTTCCAGAGAAACAAAGTGACATGCTTCCACAGGAATTTCTGAGAGGCGATTTCGTGACAGGTCTGAAAGAAAATAGAAAAGCTTAAAACAATTCTTTGGAACTTGTTTTAATGAACTTCATTAGTATGCTTTATAATAACTGGAATTCTCCAGAATTCTTATTGTGGAAACTGGTTCAAGATAAACTTTAAAATATTTATTAGCTTGCTGGGTAAACCATTAAACATACATTTTTAAACTGTTGCTGGGAAATGTTTCCTTTTTACTTTCCACATACACTAAAAATAAAATCATTATTTTTTGTAAGTAATAGAATTCTAAGACATTGGCCACTCATTATATCAAAGTTGTATCACTAAATTCCAAATATCATCAGAAACAAATGGATCTCTCCCCAAAAATCCACCTTCCCAAGTAGGTATGAGAGAGAGAGAGAGAGAGAGAGAGAGAGAGAGGAGAGAGAGAGAGAGAGAGAGAGGAACAGAGAAACAGAGAGAGACTATGCCCAGATGCATGGAGGTTCTCTCCTTCCACCTCTCCTTCCACTTAGAGATCAGCTTGTCAGGTCTGGGCAGTGAGTACCTTTCATCCTCTAAGCCATCTCCTCAGCCAGTCAAAGTCCGTTGTTAAAATAAACTCAGGAACCTTCTTTGCTGCCAGTGACACAACCAGAACCTCAATAAAAACTGTCCTTGAGGGTCTAGAAAAATGGCTCAGTAGTTAAGAATGCTTGCCACCTTTGTCGAGGACCACCAGCATTGGGTTCCCAGAACCCAGATCAAAACTGCCTCTAACTCCAGCTTGAGGGGATCAAATGCCCTCTTCTGGTCTCTGTAGGCAGGCAGGCACATATGCACACATGCATATACATTAAAGAAAAAAGAGAAAACGGTTTTTCAAGACAGGGTTTTTCTCTGTGTAGCTGTCCTGGATCTTGATTTGTAGACCAGACTGGCCTCAAACTCACAGAGATCCACCTGCCTCTGCCTCCCGAGTGCTGGGATTAAAGGTATATGCCAGCACTGCCAAGCCTAAAATTTTTTAAAAACTTTTTTCAAAAGAGTAATTTCAATGAATGAAATCTATCATGCATATTCAATCACAAGTATAAAATGATACATTCCTCAAAGAGACAGAAAACTAATTCATTAGCTTATGAACTGATAAGAATCAACCATTTGTCTTGCCTTTCCTGTATGAAGATATCACTATATGCTGATATTTTATTTGTGCTGAAATGTGATTTTATTTGTATGTTAATAAAGTTGCCTGGGGGTCAGAGTTAAGAACAAGCCATTTAGCAGAAGTCTGGCAGTGGCAGCACATGCCCTTAATCTGAATCACATGGCAGGCAGAGTCTGTATGTTCAAGGACATAGCCAGTTTGGAGAAACATACCTTTAATCTCAATACCAACCATAGAGACCTGGAGGTCTGCATAGACAGGCAGTGATGAGGAGGTCATGTGGTTGGGTTTACAACCAATGAGAAGGCAGAACAGAAAGTCAATAAAAATATCGACACACAGGAAGTAGGTCTCTTTTCTCAGGGAAAGAACGACAGTGACAGCGAGGGGTAAGAAGGTGGTCTTACCCCTTCTTGGCTGCTGCTCGATCTCTGGGCTTTTAACTCTGCATTTAGCTCTGTGTTTCTTATTTAATAAGACAGTTCAGAATTACATCTACATCACTGAGTAACCCAGATATTCTAACCAGAGTCAGATGATGAAATGAAAGCACCCTAGTTACAGACAAACCTCAAAACAGGTTACAGTGTGTTTGACAATGTGCATAGGCTTAAGAAAAAAATGAATAGTTATAAAATAAAGTCTTTAAAGAGAGTGTAAAAGAAAAAAGGTACGTAAGATGGGAAATGTACAAAAACAGGATATCACTATTTAACAACTCCCAATGAATTAATGGATACAGAATAGGGCATAAGTGGCTATCAATTTTTAAAATTAACTTTTCTGATGTGGGCATGTGCCAGAGCATGAGCGTGCCTGCCACAGCTCATGTGAAGACCAAAAGAAAACTTGTAGGCATCGGCTCTCTCTCCCCCTACCATGAGGGTCCTAGGGATTGAACTCAGGTTGTCAGGATGGGCATCAAAGACCTCTGACCTGAAGCCACCTCACGGGCCATCAACGGCTATCTTGATAAAAGGACCAGAACAGCTGGACAGGATGGCATAAGTCTGTAATCCCAGCACCCAGTGCCTGAGACAGAAAGGTTTCGAGTTGGAGGCCAGCTTGGGCTGCATGCAGAGAGCCTATCTTAAAATAATAACGACAAAACAGGAGGTAAGGGGCCTGATGAGATGGCTCAGTGGGTAAAAGCACTTGCCCACAAACTTGACACTCTGAGTTCTATCCCTGGAACCCACAGTGGAAGGAAAGAAACAGCTCCTGAAACTCATCCACTGGCCTCTCCAAGTGTACCATGGCATGCACATGCATGCTTGCTCTCTGACTCTGACACAATGACCCACTCCCCTACCCTCTCCACTAATAAATTTTATTATTTCTAAAAAAGGAAGTAAGAGGGGAGGGAGGAAGGCAAGGGGGAAAGGCAATCACTATTATGTCTCTCACTAAAGTAAAAGACAAACCAAAAAACCCAAGAACTGAGTCTAAGAGGTAGGTACAAGCAAGAATGCAGAGAACAAAGGACTGTGTTGCCACCTCACCACCCTACAATATCTATCCAGAGTCAACTAAGCACGCCTCAGGTCTGCGTGCCTGACACTGGTGGTTTCTCTTGTTTGGTCTAGGAAAAAGGACACAACACTTAAGTCTCTGCTGGGAATTCCTGGTGAGAACTCTTGACGGAGAGATCTTCTCAATGGAGGGCTTAGATGATCATCCTCTAGCTCCCTGTATATCTGCAAATATCCTGTTTGAACCATAGTCAGAAGACGACCTTCTGCGTAGGTACAGGCACACTGCTTTTCTCAGTAATTTCAAATGTGACTTTACTACTTTCTCATCCAAAATGCCCGATTACTTTTCTTTTGTAAGCATCTTGTTTGGCCTAGTGACCACCCTACTGGTCTGAAGTCCAAGTTATTTTTATTTTTATTTTTAATTATGTGTGTGTGTGTGTGTGTGTGTGTGTGTGCACGCATGCCGTGCCCACATGTGAAGGTCAGAGATGCCTGGCTAGAGTTGGTTCTCTCCTACCAGGTAGGTTCTAGGATCTTAACTCAGGTGTGAGGCTTGGCACAGGGGCACTCAGTCACCAGGCCATCTTGCTGCCCTCCAGCTCTTTCAATCCTTCTTCCAACTTTCCCTCTACTCTGTCTTCAGCTGTGTATTCCTCCTCCACTTGCTCATCTGTGTGCTAAGTCTTCTAAGTCACACCTTTGAGGACTTATAAAAGTCCTCTGTATAAGGCATGCTTTCGTCTCATTTACAAATTCTTTTATAATTAGAAGCGTGCTCTTCTGTTCTCGTGAGAATCGAGACAACTTGACTGTTCTGTCTGTTAGACTTGCCTTTCCCAGCCGTTGGTTCTACTTCTACACTTTCCGTATTCACCTCCTCTTTGGCTGCTCTGATGTAGGTAGTTGAGCAGTAAGTAGATGGCTAAGCAGACTACTTTTCCTTTTCACTACTGAGTCTCCTCATCCTCAACGCTCAAGTCACACTGCAAGGACACACTGAGGCGGTTCACACCGGAAGAGCAGAAGCAATGGGAAAGGTGCTGGAGACATTCCTTCTACACACAGGCAGCTCTGAGAGCTAAAAGGTTGTGATCACTGTCCGAAGACCTCTCCTTCTTGTTTCTCAGGGCCATTGTACCAGTCACACACTCCCTAAGGAAGTCTCCTGCTTGACTACCAGGATAGTAATTTAAGAAAGAACATCATCTTGCCTAAGTGCTTCCTGACACTGTGTGCATTAGGAAAGCCAAAGTGTTTGTGAATGTAAAATGCTATTTTATAAAAGCAAATTTCACATAGAAATGATTTTGAAGAGAGTAAATAGAGCCTCTCTTCTTCCTGAAGAATTACAATATAAAATTATTTATCATTTGATGTATTTAAGGATAAATACTTTGCATATAATCACATTGTAAATTTCTTTAATACAAAGTTCGAGGCCAGCCTGGTCTACAGAGCGAGATCCAGGACAGGCACCAAAACCACATAGAGAAACCCTGTCTCAAAAAACAAAAACACAAAGTACAACAATAATTATTTTATCAACTACCATTTATTCAATTTTAAAAGTTGGAGGAATAAAAGGAATTAATAATGTCAATAATAAAATACTTCAAAATGGGGCTGGAGAGATGGTTCAGCAGTTAAAGGCACTGACTATTCTTCCGAAGACTTGAGTTCAATTCCTAGCACCCACATGGTGCCTCACAACTATCTGTAACTCCAGTCCCAGGGGATCTGATTCTCTCTTCTGGCCTCCGAGGGCACCAGGCACGCACATGGTACACAGACATACATGCATACAAAACACCCATGTACAAAAGTAAATAAAATAAAAGGCATGCTTCAATATTTAAGTTTGATGCAATAAACTTCAGGCAACAAGTTAAAATGAAGCACAGAGCTTACAGACCTAAACATTTAGTTAGAGACTAGTCTTGCTTTTCGATGAAGGCTGGCCTTAAATGCAGCATGCTGTCTCAGTCTCTCGAAGTGCTGGGATTATAGGTGCATACCACACTTGTTTAATCCTGAACTTTTTAAAATCTCAGAGAGGGAGGCATGGCTTAGTAGGTAAAGTGCTTGTCATCTGAGCATGAGAACCTGAGTGCAAATTCCCAGAATGCACGAGAGCTGGATGCAGAAAGTGAGCAGCTATGATCCCACGTTCCTACAGGGAAAAAGGAAGTGAGGTCCAGGGACTCTGAAAGCATGTGGGTCTGCATAAGAAGGGGAAAAGAACAGAGGTTCTACATTAAACAAGGTGGAAGGCAAGGACCAATGTCCACGCACTCCTGCCTCTGCCTCCCTGGCGGGCTGAGGTATATCCCTGTGTCCCACTGCACCTGCTTCCTGGATCCTTCTCAAGCTGCTATCTCGGCTTCTAGGTCCTTCCCATT